GGATCTGCTTGATGACCTGTTTCAGGGGCCATTCCCTCTGTACTTTGTAGAGCTTTGCAATGAGGGCCTTTTTCCTCTCCCACACGTCGGCGGGGATTGAGTTTTTCATTCTGATGGAATGGAGAGGGAAGTGAAGGATGATTGGGAGTAAGGGACAATGGTGGGAAGTATGGAGATAGGAGAAATGTGTGTAGGTAGGGTAGTATAAGTATAAGTAAGTAGTAGTATAAACGGAGACAAACCGAGGCGTCCGAAAGATCGGGGGATCAACAGAATATATGTGCGTCCATTATCACTGTCCAAGGGGACCACCACCAGCACGCCATGAGCATGTGGCACAGATCCGGAAGCTCGTGCCCATCGGATCAGAGTGAACTATCCTCCCCGGGGGGCAAAGGGAGATCGCCCAGCACGATGATGCCCAGGGAACGGCACACCCACCCTGGTCGGCCGGTGGAGTTTCTCTCCCCTCGCCATCTCGACCAGGCGTTTTTAGTCGGTGGGTGGCCCGTCCATTGTCTCGGGTCCTGTCATTCAGCATCCTCCTCGCCGAAGGATCCGTCCCTTTTTCCCAGGAGAGTCCCAAGATATTGGACGTCGGACCCAAGTAAGCTTCCCTGTCGATCTTTTGGATCTTGAGGGGTTCTGGTACGTTGGAGATAGGGGCAAGCGGCCAGAGAAGAATGGGGATTGTCCGATGGTGTCGTTGAAGGATAAAAAGGAATTACAATAATCGGAAATTGATTTTTAATTAAAATAAAATAGAATCAAAGATGACACTGATCGCTATCTACCGTATCAGCCTCAGTATTGATGTGTCATTTTTCTGTTTCTTTCATGCGATTCCTATATCGGCTTCACGTAAATCTCCATTCTCCTAGTGACTCCATCAATCGCCAGGAGAATACTCCAATTGGGTGGCCGACGTCTCTCCCGTCAATAGTCGCTTTCGACCTATACGCTCATGTCTCCCCCTGTTCATGTCCCTCTCCTTTCTTTTTCTTCCCATGTCCAATCCCAAGAGCGACAGGATGCATGCATGCAGGTCGATCGATATTGACAGCTTCGACCGAGATAAGAATTTAACGGAATCCGCAGTAAGCCGGTGAAAATAGTAACATCCAGGGCGTGCTGCATGTCGTTCGCCTGCGCGGCGATCCATCGAAGGCGCCGAGACCAAGGCTGTGCAGGTTGACTCCTTCGGCGGTCGGAGCCGCCAGTGGACTCTGGAGACTCCGTACAAGTAGTTACATCAAGCAGGACGCCACACCTCGAGGCTGGACGCGATCTCGCTCTCCAGACAAAGAAGTGGACAGGACGCGAGTAATGGACGGCAGTCAGAACGGGTATGGAGGGCGCCGGACTAGCCGCATCTGGGGCTTCCACTGCACATCGAACTGCCTTGTGGGGGATAGCGTGCTGGACGGACCACTGGAGTGGCGCGGAGGGATACCGAATACATTACATTACATACATACCTACATCTACTGGGTGCACCCCATTCCCGTGTTCACTGCAGGTCTATCTAAGGTATCTCCCGAGGAAGTGTCTCTATCTAGATCTACCGTGATGGGGGGTCTCTTGGGAACAACATCGCCCTTCCATTGGATGCCCGTTATGATCCTGGCCTGGAGGATGCAGACGGATCCCGACTACCGGGCCTAGTGACGCTACCCTCCGTGTCGGCTGATTCCTTCTGATCGTTTCTCCGTGGCGGCCGACTAGTTCCCCTCTGGATTTCTGACAGGTTGCGCGGCGACGCATCCGGCAATAATCCGTTCTTTGTCATCGACCCGCCCATGGTTCCCTTTGGAGATGGAACATTGGTGGAATGGTTCAGATGGAGTGGACGAGGGGTATCCAAGCAGTACCATGCATAGATCTGAATTGGACATGGTGTAGTGATCGGAAGATACTGACATCTAGAGTACATATAGACGTAGTCGGAGATTGTGCATCAGTCTGTCGATCTACTCCTATCCCGGGCATCGCAAACAAACTCAGCTACAGACCGTTGGAAACCTTCGCACATAGACTACATTGTCCCAACTCCATGGTTCGGATCACTATCAAATATTCCCTCAAAACACAAAAACTAGATTCCACTGAATACAATCCAAGCATTGACCAGAGTAACGAGCATCTCCTCCGGTCTCGCAGTCGGCACTATTGACGGCACCGTCAGCTAGTCGTGACAGAAGTGGGGAGGGGAGGAGAGGGGAGATTGCAATAAGCGCGCTTATCTCGAGTGACTACTACTCAACTCCGGACGCTTCAACTTCTTCAGGACGTCGCCCCTCTTCGTCCCACGGAAATGCGTTCACGGCTGCCTTTCGCGGTGGATCCGTGCAAATCCCTCGTCCCGGCCAATCGACCCGGGGCATCAGAGATGATCAGCCAGGCCAGCGAGAGTGGATCGCTAGGATCTCCCCGACGAGCCTGATAGTCTCGGACCCTAGAGGTCACTAGACATTAACCGACCCAGACGACGGGCGTTGAGCATGAAACCAGACTGGTGGGAATTGCCTCAGTCAGTCTTGTTTTGGCGTCATCACTTCCAGTATTAACTCAGACCTCCAAAGTTCTCCAATGCACTTCCACAGAATGAGTGAGAGCTCCATAGAAGTCGACCCTCGAAGTAAGGAGATGCGATCCCAGACATCGTCAGACACGTCCACCGCATTATTCGCATCGATATAGGCTATATCTGCCGCAAGCACGTCGAGACGCAGGGGCGCAAGCGAACTACCTAGCCTACGCACCAACCGCATCAAGCGATGGATCTATCAGACTCCCTCGTGCTAATCCATGGATCCTGCGCCAATTACACTGCCCATGTCTAAATTCGGAGTCTGCAGAATGCACCTACGAGTAGGACTTTCGTGCCTGACCTCGAACCCTCCATCACGCCAGACGGATGTAGAATGAGCTAGGTAGCGTTTAGCGTCCTGTCGACAGTGGCAAAAGGAACAAAAAGCAATGTGAGTTCAGCTTATGCACTGCACTCCGGTGAATGCTCGCACACAGCATGGCGATTGGCCAGGAATCGCGACTGTATGAGAGATTATTTGCCAGTCGGTCGAACTGCTGCTGTCATGGCTCCCCACGGGCAGAACTACAGGCTGTCCACGGCCGCCTTGAGGAATTCCCTTACGTACAAGAGTGAGGATGTCGACATCTACTGTCCGGTATTTGCCTCGTATCTCTGCCGCCCACTTTCAGGGTGTGATTGCCTAGTATTCTGCAGGTGACGGGATCGGGGTCTGAAGGGTCTCTCTGTATAGACGGACAGCATACCCGATGCGGCTTGCGATAGTATCTCACTTGATCAGTTGGCTGCGGGTCTGCAGGAACTCAAATACGCTGGTCCGGACTGTTCCATGGATCCAGCGCGGTCGTCTCTCGGCTCCCCTAACCCGGTCCGCACTCCGTAACCCTTACTGCGCCAGGAATGGAAAAGATAGGAAGAGATGGGAACTCCCAGGGTCCCCATCCAATGTCCCAGATATCATCTCCTATCATCGGCGTTGCAATGCGTGCCGAAAGCCGCCCACGTGGGTGTCTATCCGTGGTTCAAAATGTCTCCAGCTTCACAAGTCACGGTCTGCCGAGGTCTTACTGTCCAGACCCAATGTGATGTCCTCGAGACGAGCTGACACCAGACACCAGACACCAGACGGGAGGTCTCCGAAGGGCATCCGGATGTCCACCGCGCAGAGTTTACAACAGCCTGTTCCGACCAACGACAAGTCGTCATGCTCCAGCCGACGCCCCAGGCCAGACCAGACCGCCGTCTTTGTCTCAAACGCACATTGTTTCACAGCCAGAAGAACTAGGCACGGCGTCGGAGTCTAGTTAGCCTACGACAGAGTATCGTCATCTCCACCAGGGCAGAGTTGACCGAGTCGATCCTCGTGCGGAGTGGCAGACATCCCTAAGGTACGTTGGAGAGACCACTCGGCCGACCCATCCACCCAGCAGATCCCTCCTATGAGGACTGACATCGACCGGAGAAGGTTCCTTTTCCAGAAGGCATTCCAAATTCACCCTCCAGAGGGCCCAGAGCATGTCCCAGCCCAGCTCCACAATCCCCAGCCCTAACGGTCCCTGCACGGAAAACACTACCTAATGCAGCAGCTACCCAGCTACTACGTCCGAAACAAAAAGCCTAACTCAAATCAACCATCTAGACCGCTTCTCAGGTCCCGACGTTCTCCTACAGTTCGTCCGAGTTTCGGCCCAGCAGATCACCGGTGGATTGCGGAGACTCCCTCCTCCAACAGGGAGAACCCAGCAGAAACTCAAACGCTTCCTGGATAGCAGTATGTACGACGTAGTACGTACGTACGACGTCGTCGCCAACTGTCCGTTGGACCGAATGCTTTCCCACGCGGGCAGGGTGATCCTTGGAATGATCTTCCCCACGCAGACTCCCTTAGAGCCATGGTAGTCCCGGCGGAGATCAGTGGAGACGAACTCTGTTTCTGTACTTGGTTGGATCGCACGGCGTCCACGATCATTGGATATCCAACATGGAAGTTGTTGGAGAACAGCCGTTTGTACCCGGCCCCTCGTGCGCGACTCCAACAGCTACCATCTTCCTCGGTCCGCCGGCCCTAATAAACTTCACACAAAGACCCAGCCGGCGACGTTACACAACAGCTTCGCGTCCCCCGGAGCCAGCCTAGCGGGCCTCTCTCCTTTCAACTACAGCCCGGCAATTCTTCCCCCCGGCGTGGCACGCTTTAGCTCCTCCCGGGGGGGCAGTTGCGGGTGTGTTTTTCTTTGTGGTCGAGAACGAAGGGCGCAGGGGCACGCGCGGTCCTATGCTCATGAGATCACCACCACCGTCGTTCGAAATGAACCGGACCGCCCTTGGCCGGCGCCCCGAGGGCGCTCCGGTACTTTTGCACCTGCCTATCCGGCGATAGCTCTGGGCGTTGGCGCGACAGCGCCTGCAGCCTCGAGTGGGGATGTTTCACAGGAAACCGATCGCGCAAAACCTTGTGCGGACGGGTGATGCTCCTTTCATGTGCAGGGAGTAAACGGGGCAGCCTTGCGAGGAGGATTTGGCTCCACCGTATGACTCGGTCAGTAGCGGAAAGAGACCGGGGGCAGATTCATTCACTGTTCTCGAGGTGACACTAGTAGCTCCGTAGCCTTGGCCTGGAACCACAGCTGCTAGCTGCTCCTAGAGCACGAACTGCATGTCGTGTTGATCCGGAGTGGATACGCTTCCTGAAGTATAGAGCTATTTCGATGGGAGTCGTACGGCTCTTCCTTCAGGAGGTACGGAGTCACAGATGAATGAATTCTCGATCAAGGACCCTACAGTACTCTGTAAACTCGAACAATAACCAGACCAATTATATTATGAACACTGCAGTCAACGCTGGATAAATATAGGTAGTAATGATAATGCGCTTCTTGGATATCATCCATCATCCAATTCGTCATCCAGCGCCCAGCAAAAACGCAGTCACAACCATCGCAGCACAAACATCTACATATAATTTCTTTTCTCTTTCCCAGATAGACGCCGTCCGGACTCCAAACCCGGTCTTTTGCGCCCCTGTGCAATCCTGAGAAGGGGGGGAAGGGCGCAAACAATACAATAAATCAATACATTCACACAAACGTGATGAAGAAACAGGAGTACAATTACACTGGACTTGCGCAGTCCGTTCCCCCCAAGCAAATACACAACCAGTCAGACACAACTGGTCTAGCCGGAGCCGCAGCCTCAACGACGTCTCTTGCGGAGGCGGTGCTCTTTGCCCTTCTTGGACTTCTTCTTGCTCTTGTCCGCTGGCAGTACGAGCGGCTCGTCTTTCATATTCCACTCCATGAACCGCAGGAGGTAGTCATCGATATGTCCCGGTTGAGCTTCACCTTCGACGAGCTCGTCTCCTTGCATGTGCACTGCGGTCGATCCAGGAGTGGCTCCCTCGTCCAGGCCAGAGGCCATCGGTGTTCCGGCCTGGGTCTGCGCAGGCGTGCTCTGCGACACGCTCCGGTCTTCAAAGTCACCGTCATCCGCGTGTTCGAGTTCCTTCTGCGCATTCTTGGCCGCATCGATATCTTCTTTGTCTTCCGCCTGTTCGAAGACGCGGGACGCGCCAGAGACCCGGTTCTCCAGCACCCGGTCCATGGCAGCACTCGCCTCATCCTGGCTCTCCGGGACCTCTTCGTTGCCGATCATATCGCGCACATCTAGCTTCCTAAAGTAATCGGTCGTGAACTCTCCTTCCTGGATCACGACATCGTCCAGCATCCGCTTTTGGTTGGCTTTGCGGAGAATGTTCGACTCGATCGTATATTCCGAAACAAACCGGTAGATGTGAACATCGCGCGTCTGGCCAATACGGTGGCAACGGTCTTGACACTGTTTGTCCATGGCTGGATTCCAGTCGAGATCGTAGAAGATGACCGTATCAGCACCCGTCAAGTTGATACCAAGACCACCAGATCGACTAGAGAGAATAAACGCCAGGATGCGGTCGTCATTATTGAACCGATCCGTAAGGATCTGGCGCTGCTCAACCTTGGTCGTACCATCCAACCGTAGATAACGATGTCCATGAATGTTGAGGAACTGTTCCAGGATGTCAAGCATCTTCGTCATCTGCGTAAAGATCAAAGCTCGGTGGCCACCAGCTTTGAGATCTCTGAGAAGCTTGTCCAGCCTTTGCAACTTGCCGCAATCATACTGCAACAGTCGCTTGTCCGGAAACGCAATTGACAAGCGCATCTGAGCTTCGTGGAACGGATCATACGGCGGGAATCTCTCCTTCTTGGTGAGATACCGGGTTTCGATCGGGGTTAAGGCAGCTTCGGTGATGCCAGCCGCAACGGCAGCAGGTGTGACACAAGCAAATCTCTGAACATAGCCTTCCATGGCATGAGACCGTTCTTCGATGGACAGGATCATCGAAGCGAGAACGGATGACCGGCTTGACAGCCAGTCCGCCAGCGAACGCTTCCGTAAGGGGCCGTGAGAGGTCGGCCGCTGCTTGCTGTCTGCGGTCAGGAATTCGATCAAGCTTGTTCCGTACACAGGCCGACGGCCGTGCCGCTTCGACTCGAAATATAGACATCTCTCCAGTTCTGCCATCCTCCTCTTACGGCAATCATTCTCCAAGGCCTCCAGGGTGGACTGTACAGTGGAACCATCGAACCTCATCGCCCAGTTGGTCCGGTGGTACTGAAGCTCCCGAAGTTTATTGAAAGGGCCGTAAGCCATCAGCCTCGTGCTATCGTCTGCTAGTCGCCGGGAAATGTTCTCCCGAGAGATAGGAACCAGGTTTAAGAAGTCCAGGTCGAGTCGTTCCAGGGGATGTTCAAACAGCAGGCGTCGGCGGACGAGGAGTTCTTTGACCTCAAACTCCGTCGCCACAGAACGCGGCATGGCAAAGGATGTCGATATCGGTCGGGTCTCAAAAAGGTCGGGGTGGTTGCACACCTTCCGAAGCTGCATCAGACAGTTAATGATAGACAGATAATTTCCTGAAGCAAGAGTCTCCTTGGTCTGCGCTCTAGACATGAAACCATCATAGAGGTATCGTTGACGCTTGGAAAGTCGACAATAGATGACATGCTCGTATTTTGCAGGCATCTGCTTCTCGACGTCGGCTTTCAGACGACGTAGGATATACGGTCTCAAAACGGTATGAAGTTTTGTAACCACTCGTTTAGCCTCGTCGTCCATGGTCTCTCGGCCATGTTCCAGGATCTGCTCCACTGGACGCCTGAACCACTCAGAGAAGTTCCTCAAGTCAGCAAACCCTTCGATGCCCTCATCGTCACCATCAGACGGCATCAAGAAGAACAACAGAGACCACAGCTCCGTCAGGTTATTTTGAAGCGGAGTTCCAGTCAGTAGAAGTCGTGCTCGGGTCCGGAATGTTAACAGCGCTTGCCACCTCTGCGAGCGAAAGTTCTTGATATTGTGCGCTTCATCCAGAATCATATAATGCCAGGCCCTCCGCTTGAGGACTTGTTGATCCTGCAGAACGAGTTGATATGATGTGATTAGAACATTCCAACTCGTATCGTCCATCCAACCCTTGCGCTTCTGTCGTCGCTCCTCCTGGTTGCCATAGTACGTCATGATCTTGAACCCGGGGCACCACTTTTTGAACTCCATCTCCCAATTGAGGATCACACTCGTGGGGACAACAACCAGATGCGGGCCCCATACCTCATGTTCCACGGCGAGATGTGCAAGCAAAGCGATCGTCTGTATAGTCTTTCCGAGACCCATTTCGTCGGCAAGGATACCATTAATATGATTGGTATAAAGTCCGGCAAGCCAATCAAGTCCAAAATGTTGGTACTCACGCAGAGTTCCTCGAAGAAGATGCGGTATGGGTGTCTTCAGTCCAGGAGCGGGAGACTCGTTCTGCTGCTCTGCAGGCTTTTCTGTTGAAGGCTCATACGATGACACGGACTCTGGTTCAGAAGGCTTTGTAGCAAGTGTGCCCGGCGATGCTTCGCTAGAACGCTCGCCACTCTGATCAGGTTCAGGTCCTTGAGGCATGTCGGAAGTCCCCTCGGGGACCTTAGGAGTGGAAACGTCGGAAGAATCATGTGCCATGAGGTTTTCAGGTCGAGGCGTATCTGCGCTTCCAGTGTCCGCTGTCTCCTCCATTGGAGCAGCAGCGACAGAGGTAGAGTCATCAGCCGTCTCCATCAGATCGGGAGGTGCTGATTCAGAAGCTGGTCCAGTTGGGATGAGTGAGACTTCGTCGGGGTCTTCTATTCCGTCGCCCTCATTCTCGTCGCCTGAAGCTTGTTTCACATTATCGTCACCGTCGTCGCCAGGGGTCTGACCACCAGTCAGCGGTACATCGTTCGCGGAGAAAAATCCTAGCAGCCCAGGCCCGTCATCACTTTCTTCATCCGAGTCCCTCTCTTCGTCACTGTCGCCCATGTCATCATCCATATCAGTAGACTCTTCGTCGCTGTCGTCCATGAGCATCGGGTCAACCTCCTCAAGTTCTACTCGTTCCGGTGAGTCTTCTTCGGCTAGAGACTTTGGAGCAGCTGCATCGGAAACATGCCCGCTCTGGAAGTCCTCGCTCTCTGACAACGCAGTCTCATCCGATGCCAGGGAATCCCGATCCGCCTCACGGGGAGTAGCAGGAAGATTAGCGTACTTGAGTCTAAGCTCCTCTGCGGTAAGGCCTTCATCGTCATCGACTTCGTTTTCTTCTTCGCTTTCAGAATCAGAAGACAGCATATCACTCTCCTCAGATCCCTCGTCGGACTCGTCGGTCTCCTCTTCCTCGCTATCGGTAGTTTCAGGCGCGTCGCTACCAGTTTCACCCAAAATCTCCATTCGCCTCTTCTCGAAAAGCATGGTGGACTGTTTTATGGCGTGATCCAAGGCTTGTTGGTTCTCGGCTTTCCGCTCTTCCTCCCAACGCGCCAAGCGTACGCGGTCTATCTCTGCGCGGGCCAAGTCGAACATCTTCTGGAGGTCCTTGGCGAGTTGTTTCCGCCTCACGCGCATCTCCTCCTCCTGCTCCCTAAGTATATCTTCCGGATCCTTGTGCCGTTTCTTCCAAGCGTCGGCACACCACTGGGCGAAAAGTTTTGCCGTCTGCCGGTGTCGTCGGTGTTCCTGGTCAAGGAGCTTCTTGAAGTACAGTGCATGTGCCACAAGGTGATCTTGGTGCGAATACTGCTGGGGCGGCTCTTCTTGCTGTTCCGGTAGATATGCGGAGCACACGTCGGGACCCAGTAGACCGCCAGGCTCCGCGGCAGCAGCTATTCTGCATCGTTTCTGTGCTTCTTCAAGAGCCTCGGCTGGCGTGAGAACGTGTTCATCGCGCATTCCCCCATCCGGACTCTCCAGCCATTCCCGGAACGAGCCATACTTCCGAGGTGCTAAAACGTGGGAAGGATGCTGGACTCCAATTGATGGCTTCTTCACCTTGATCCGCAGTCTGGGAAACCTCTGACTTTGTTGTTCGCCTTCATGTGTCTCCGTCGCTCCGGCGTCTCTCCACCCATCGTCCCCTTCGCCCAGCTCAGCGCTTGATCCATTGACGCCCGTGTGGGAAGTTCGACGATGAGCACTCGGGGTTCCAGAGCTCTGAGATGTCGTCCGGGAATATTGTTTGGGTGCGGGAGACTTCGAGACCTGTCTCCGCCGAGTAGACGCCCCCCTGGTAGACACGTTGCGCGGTGATCCGTTCGTCGTCGCGTTGCCACCAGCAATCTTCCCATTCGTCTCGCCACGCGACGGAGATATCGCCAGCGGGGAGGACACTACCGGCTTTCCCCCTACATACTGCTTCTGAGCTGCTCGCGTGTGCCTTTTTTCCGACGGGGGCTGCAAGTCGAGCGGGACCGCGTTAACTCGAGAAGACCGGCGTTTACCATCTTGAAGGAAGGATGTCGGGCCATCCCACTCCCGGCCTTCTTCCAGGGGGGCGATATGGGACGGGAAGTCGAGCGACGAGAGGGCGTCGAACCGGCAAGCTTGCGTCTTTTCGATGGCGGCCCGTCGGGATTATCGACGGCGGATTCGTCCCCTTTCGGCTCCGAAGGTAGGGAATCGCGTTTTGAAAACTCGTCAGGATAATCCGGCGCAGGCAAATCCGATGGAGTGGCGGAGGGCTCGGGGGTCACGCGTTCATGGTGGTGTGAAATGCCATTCGAGCTGCCGTTTTGCATGTCTTGGTAACCACGGAGGCAGGGGCCCTGATCACAGCTGACCCCAGTTTTCCCAACGAGGACGCGGTCGATACGGGGAAAATTGGCATCAACGGGTAGCTAAAACTGAGTTAGAATGCCACCAGAAATTTGGCATAGTTATCGGGCATGTAGCGCGACTGGGAAGGAAAAAAGCACGGCGATGGCGAGATTGCTTGGAGAGGTGGTTTTTTCAATACTCTGACGAGGAGTACGGGGGACGTGTTTGTCAGCCCGGGTCCTGCATGCCTCAGGCGCCAAGGCCACACACGCCTTTCCGCAAACCTCCAGCAATTAATCCGAATCCCGTCATTCGACCTCCTCCCATTGATTGAGCCTTTTCGTGCCCTCCCTCCGCCCTCGATCCATCCTCCCACCATTCCGGCACGAAGGTGAGTTTTTCGCGCCCGGGGCATGCATTGTTCCTAATCGCATTACTCTTCAATGCTAATGCCTTCAACAGATGCTCTCCCAGCGCATTTTGACCCGGCGCCTGCCCCAGCTGGCTGCCCGTTCGATCGTCCCCCGCGCCACTTTCTCCCAAGGCCGGACTCTCGCGGCTGCTGAAGCTGAAGATCCTCTGCAGGTGCGTTATATTTTGATGCCGTTCCCTCGCTGGTCGGCCCTGTCCGAGTGCAATTGAGCCCCACTGACGCCTCCGCGCTCCTACAGAATGGCGGCTACCAGAACCCTCCCCGTGTGAAGCGTGCCTTCAGAGACCCCTATGGCGACTGGTGGGATAAGCAGGAGAGACGTAACTTCGGCGAACCAGTTCACGAAGAGAACGAAATTCTGGGCGTTTTCAGTCCCGAGCAATATACCCACGTCACGGCTCGCAAAGGTCTCTTCCAGCTCGGCGCTTTCGTTGTGACCTTCCTCGGCCTCTGCGGTGTTGTCAGCCTTTACTATCCGGACAAGCCTAGTGCTCCTAAGACATACCCTGATGGTCTGGAGAAGGAGCTCGGTGGAGCGCATGCTGTTCCGGTAAGTTGGATCCCTAGCTACATGGCTCTTGTACACTGGCTTATGCATTACTAACGGTGTTTAGGCCCGCAAATCCGGTCAGGATTCGTGGTAATTTCTTTAGCTTTTGTTTCATGTTGTGTAAATAAAGACAATGCGATTTGAGTTCGGTTTGCGATCAATGCGTGTGATCATCGACAGGATTGATAGGGAGGCGGTCGACTCCATGACCTGCGACAGCTAACAGAAACTGATAGTACCTGTTCTCGTGGAACCCGGTCATAAACCGGTCGAACGATCCGTGGAGTTGGATAGGTGTGATCTTTGTTCGGCTACAAGAGGCCCCTATGGGGGTATGCCGAAACCAGATGGAGCCGGGTTTCTGTGCGATCTTTGTATAATGTGTGCGACACTACAGGAACCACCACGGTTGATCCGAATATCTGGTGATTTCGGTGTTCAAACGTTGGTAATTTTGGTGGCTCAAGTACAGCTATCCCTGTAGATCCTAGCGTCTAGTTAGAGCATAACAACCAACCTAACTAAAACAAAGACTACAAGCTAGGTCCTATAAATAAATTATCAGGTAAGATTCCCAGTATTCATTGCCCGGATAGTGTTGACTACAAAGGCGGACTACGTCAGTGCACGGGGACAGCTCTTTTGTTTCAGGTGTAGCAAAAACACTCGGGCAATCATAGCCAAACACCCCTCCCATTTCACCCCTTTCTTCCCTCAATCCCTCCGACATTTCCCACGTAATTGCCCCCCATACCAGTCCCACTTCTCTGGGATTACTTATCACGCTGTGCGATCCCCTCGGTGTCTCTGCAAATACCATCCATCCCCTCCAGCGTGTAGGCTGGCCTGGTTGAGACCGCGATCCCTCCCATCCATGGTCCCCGCCCTCCGCGCCTCTGCAGAAGATCAAGATAAAGGATATCCCTGATGTCGACGGCATCGACCCAGTCCCGAGGCATAAATCGACGGATCAACAGCCTTCAGAATGAATCTCGCCATTCGCGCACCCCCTCCGGGTCGCGTCGTCGCCCCGTGAACCCGACTACGTCCTATACCTACGCTCTCCGTGTTGCCTACCTTGCCTACTTGCTGCATCCCCGTTCGCGCCGAGTTCATAATGCACCGGCTCCTCAACAGCGCCCGAAGCGGGCTTCGACGTCGTTCCACGACCTGATGAGTGATTTCTCGCTGGTGAGGGATTCCAAGAGCACTAGGTTCCCGCACGGTTTCATCTCCGAGCTGGAGAAGAGGTTGACCGGGGTCCTGACGAAGAAAGAGAAGAGGAAGGAATATCAGGACCCTCTGGTAGTCAGAACATTCGCCGCGTTTTTGAACACCCTCAAAGAACAGTCGTTCAAGAAGCGCATGGAGAAGGACCGACGTGCCGAGGATCTCGTCCTGATCTTCTATTCGAATGCGACGAAGGAGCTGAGCAAGGGAAAGGATCCGGACGATGATAGCTGGCGGTTGATGGTGGACAGACACGTTGCGCTCTTTGTTCGGCTCTTTGCGCTTATCCTCAAGAGCAATGACTGGGCAAAGGAACGGCCGGAGCTAGCAAACCGTCTGTCGGTCTTGGAGAACAAGCTTCTTTCGCAAGATCAGGATCTCATGGAGGGTAATGGAACATCTACGGTGGAAACTACTGCTTCGCTGAGCTATGATGTGAAGGATATGCCGCTCGTGCAGCACGTGGCTAGGATCTACGGCATGAGCACTGCCCAAGTGCAGTCCGACATCGACAGTCACAGGGGGACTTGGACAGCACGCGCAGCCCTGCAGGACTTGAAGGCTTACCAGACTCACCTGAGCCTGAACACCCGGAAGACATTATCCACGGAGGATTTTGACAATGAGGAAGCATACGAACATTGGAAGAAGGGCGAGGGTCCTGACCTGTCGCAGATGATGCTTGCCATTGTGCAGTCCAACCCTGAGCTTGCCAAAAGCGCACCTGGTGGCGCTCTTCCGCAGTTTAATGCAAGCCCCAGCGATGGTGCACTAGGCGAACTAACACGGACCAACTCAGACCGACCGACATCGTACATCATCGATCAGCCGGTGGACCTCAGCTCCCTCTCTTTTGGTGATGACAATAACTCGGATGAATCCGACACGTATACCTTCATACCACCTGAACCAAGAACTGTTTACAGTCATATCCTGGCGCAGGCCTTGACCCACGATTTGAAAGACCGTGAGATGGAGGCCACCCAAGCCACTTCTGAAATCCCGTCAATGAAACTTCTCTCCAAGCAATCCAGCGAACTCCTGAATGAAGTTTGTCTTCGCTGGAGGATTCCTAACTTCTCGAGAATCGTTCTATTCTTGGACGTTGTCCGTACGAAGTTCGTCGACAACGAGGTGGATCTCGACACCTTAGATGCGGCATTCACGTTTGTGAAGGAAGCGCCTTCGGCGGAGAAGAAACGCAGCAGCTTCGTGGCGTCTGTCTTATACGATCGCCAGAAATGGACGGTTCACGACCTTCTCTTGATGCAGCAGATCCTTTCGTCCCTCCACGAGGCGCTGCTGAGGGAACTATACGACGTCATGATGGACTGTTACGAAGCCAAGCCTCGTCCAATTGGTCCGGTGATGTACGTCTTAGAGAATCACATTCAGATAGACCCCGACTACAGTGAAGACTCTTCGGATATTGAGCGCTTCCGGGCATACGTACAAGATGGGCTTGCTCAGAAGGCGGCAGAGAAATACCAAGAACTTCTGGGTCAAGAGGTGCCTGTTGAACCGGAATCATGGGAGCTAGATCACGTCATCCAGCTTTGCGATGTTATCTCAAAACTCGCACAGAAAATTCGGAAACGCTATCGCAATAACCCAGAGATCATGGGGTAAGGATACTCTCAACCTATACCCCGACCGTATTAGCTGACAGAAAACAGCGTCTCTCCTCACAGGACCTTGGTCTCCAATGTATTTCCGATCTTTGCAGAGGATGTCCACGAGATGGTCGTGAGAATCATTGAGAGGGAGCAAGCGACAGGTCAAGAACTTGCAATTGAGGATGGCTTTGACCTCTATAAGAAATTGGCAACCGTTCGCCGTCTGTTTGTTGAAGCACTTCCCGAGTATGACTTTCATCCTTCCCTATTACACGGTTTCCCGAGCTAACCAGCAAAAGTCAACCATTCCCGTTCAGTGTGGAGGAGCTGATGGAAGGATTCGTATGGCGCTGGATTCGCTTGACTGACCAGAAGATTATGGACTGGGTTGAGCAAGCCATCCGGCAAGATGCCTTCAACGTTCGAGCGGATGACGTGGGAGACATGGTACCCGAAGATTACCGGCACAGTGTATCTGTGATAGACATCTTCCGCTCGTTCAATCAAGTGGTTGAGCAAATGATACAGCTTGAGTGGGACGACGATTTCCAGTACGCCAAGTTCATGACCGCGTTGTCCAAATCAATCGGAAAGGGCGTTGCGAGATATTGCGAGTCACTGGAACAGATGTTCGCCAAGGAAATGGACCGACTGTCTCCGGATCAAGAGGCAGCAATGAACCAAACGGCGCAGGAGAAGATCATGCAAATGGCAAAGGAGGCATGGAACAGCAAAGAGAAGATCGAACCCTTCCAGTTCTTTCCCCAGGTAAGTCACCAATCGTTACTCTTGAGCAGTGCTTAGTTAACTGTGCTATAGTCTCTTGTGAAGCTGAACAATGTCGAATATGCTCTCGCACAACTTGATAAGCTTGAGCGAGAGATCAATGTTGACGGTTGTGCCGAGGTGATAGCGCAACATTCGCCTCCACAGCTGCAGAAGGTTCGCAGGTCGACAACCTATGTGTTCACAATCAAGATCGTCGAGGCCGAAGACCTGAAGGCGTGTGATATGAATGGAGGCAGTGATCCCTACGTGGTACTGGCGGATGAGTATCAGAAACGGATTGCAAAAACTCGAATTATCTACAATAACCTGAATCCCCGGTGGGACGACACCGTTGATATCACCACGCAAGGACCGTTGAATATCATTGCAACCATCTGGGATTGGGATGCAGTGGGTGATCACGATTACGTGGGACGCACTTCGATCAAGTTGGATCCTGTGCATTTTAGTGACTTCCTGCCGAGGGAATACTGGCTCGACCTGGATACGCAGGGCAGACTGCTGCTTCGGGTGAGCATGGAGGGAGAGCGGGACGACATCCAGTTCTACTTCGGCAAGGCGTTCCGGACGCTGAAGCGCACGGAAAGAGATATGACCCGGAAGATCACCGAAAAGGTATGAACCCTTTATAGATTGACATGAACAATCACTGACGGCATATAACCCAGCTCTCTGCATATATTAGCCACTGCTTGTCGCGCCGGACCCTGAAATCCTTGCTCTCTCGAGGCCTCACGATGGCGAGTGTGTCCAACTTCCTGAACCGGAACCGTGCGCAGTCCACAGCCACCATGCCGACTAGTGCGGAAGTGGAAAATGCGCTGACTCCGCTGTTTGATTACTTCAACGATAATTTCGCCATTATGAACAAGACGCTCACGTCGGAAGCCATGAAGATGGTCATGGCGCGGCTCTGGAAGGAGGTGCTGAGCACGATCGAGAGCTTGCTGGTGCCACCTCTCTCCGATAAGCCATCCCATCAGAAACCTCTCACGATGCAGGAGGTGGATATTGTTTCACGCTGGCTCGTGCTACTACTTAATTTCTTCCACGCAGTCGACGACGAGACGGGCGAGGCCAACGGCGTCTCGATGGACATCCTCAAGTCCCCCAAGTACCATGAAATCCAGAGCCTGAACTTCTTCTACTTCGAGCCTACGGAGAACCTCATCCGCACGTCCGAACGCATGGCATCGGCCACGATCTCCCGACAGCAAGCAAACAAGAACCGCGCCTCCGCGCCTCCGCACCTCGGCGCCGCCGGGTCGGGCAGCGTGCTCGGCGTGCCCGCCGCCCGCCGCGCGAAGAGCATCATGCTCTCGCGCAATCTGGGCACGATGAAGAAGATGAAGGAGGAGAAGCGACGCGAAGCCCAGGCAGAGCCTAACGACGACATGATCCTGCGCATCCTCCGCATGCGCCCTGAGGCCGCGGGGTATCTGCGCGATCGAAGCCGTCAGAAGGAGCGTCTTGCGGCCGCGGCCGCGGCCGACGCCATCGTCAAGCAGAGTCTCATGGCCGGCGGAGGACGCATGGCCGGCACGTTGGGACGACGATAGGATGGTAGTGGGGGAGGTCAGGTCATGAACGTGGTGTTTGATGCTTCTTTGGTATTAATTCTGCGAGCTGGTCATCGATTTGTTTTCCATAGTTGGCTTTCCATGATGATTCCCATTTTCGCCTGTGGACGTAATATGCAGCTGTACTTATGACCTAATCGAATACGACGTTGACTATTCATCTACACACTTGCAAAGAAAGACATAAGTCATATTCAAACTTTCATTGATTCGTGCTCCATCCGCGAAGCATCTACTCAAGAGCAATGCACTCAATCTCAACAGGCACACCCTTAGGCAGCTGCGCAACAGCGACACAGCTACGCGCGGGCTTGTGGACGAAGAACTTCTCATAGGTAGCGTTCATCTCGGCAAAGTTGGCCATATCCGTCAGGAAGACCTGCGACACGTCCGTTAGCACAGCACACTCCCCCGCAAAAGCACAAATACAAACATACGTTGACCTTGACGATCTTGCTCACGCTGGATCCGGCCGCCTCAACGATGGCCTTGATGTTGTTGCAGCAGGCCTGGGTGAGCTCGCCGATGTTGCCCGAGACGAGGTTTCCGGATGCGTCGGCGGGGATCTGGCCCGAGACGAAGATCTGGCCGTTGGCGCGGATGGCCTGGGACTATTCAATTGAAGGATTGGTTAGTCGATTGTCAATTTCGTGGTGTAGCTAGGTGGAAGGGGGTCGGCTGTGACGTAAGATGAGGTGAGGAGGACTCACGTAGGGGCCGGCAGCTGCAGAGTCACGATTAGCCTGGTTCTTTTGGTTGTGCTTTTCGCAATTGACCGGGGGTAATGGGTTAATCTGTAGGTGTGGTTGGGGACTTACGAGGGCAGGCACCGGCGGTGGTGACAGGGGTCATTCCAGACATTGTGGCGGTTTGGGAGCGATATACGGGTCGAACGACGCGGGGAGAGGTCGCGAGGGTGCAGAAGAGAGGAGAGGAGAGGGAGACGTGCGAGAAGAGACGACGAGAGCTGGAACGGAGCATGAGGGGGAGATGGAGGGGCAGAACGGAGGTTGCTTTAAGTACGATACGAGGTGGGGAGCAGTACTCCGTAAGGTATTCCGCGGGAAAGTTGGCCTGAGGCCCTCCCCGCCCGATTCGGTGGGGCGATAACACAAGGTACTCTATGTACTTCACATCCATTAAGTATGGGTATTCATTCAGGTAAATATATGGAGAAGTAATATGTACATGTGATGCAAGTATTTACGTCCCCGTTCTGGTATTGTTCAGATGGCCCAGCTGCTGCAGGAATGCCGCCGTGTGTTCTGGGGAAAAACCAAAGAACACCGGCCCGTTGAATACGATATTCGCCGGGGAATTTGTCGGACAGCCGTCTCCGGGGTGCTTTCCAGCGTCATGTTCCACGGCATCATTCATCTGCTGGGGATGCCTGACAGTCTCGGTTTCGGGCTCTGCGTGGTCTGGGGCTGGTGCAGGAGGTGCGCCATGGCCAAACGGACAACGACCCTTGGGAGCAGCTGCGGTGTTCTCGCCAGCGGGATGATGGAACGGCGACGTCGAGTGCATGTCCGTGGCAGCGGATCCTGAAGGGTCATTCGAAGGAGCCCCTATAGTGGCAGGGACAGGAGCCACAGGAGACTGCGGCGCCGATGCAGCAGGAGGGATGGGAACAGGAATCCCCCAAGGCCGGCTCGGGGATTCGCCAACACGAACTTCGCGCAGCGGGCGGTCAAAGTGGCCCTTCCTGTCTTCCTCGTCTGGTTCCTCCTCTTCTTTGATAGACGGCTGTGTGTCTGACTTCAGACCAACTTCCTCCGCCCATTTCACCACCCGTTCAGCAGACGTGCTAGAGCCGGGGGCATCTCCATTGGCCCGGTTGGGTAGAAAGGCCTGGTGCTTCATGGACAAGCCGCGGATCATGTTGATCAGGCTACCGTACTTCGCATCCAGCTGGCGCATGCTGGACGAATCCTTCTGGTACCGCGCCACGCAGATGGCATGGCTGCGAGGGATCTCGTGCTTGTGCCGCTCGACATACTCGGCCACTTCCTCCGGACTATGTTTATCTAGATATCTGATGGGACACCGAGAAACGGGACATTGAGTGGTGGAGGTCCTCGCGGAGGGGGCCTGACTCGACCGTCTGTCGGATTTTTCGGCTTTGATTGGGTCCAAATCCTCGTGTCCGCACGCATCACCATTTTGAGCGGGATCAAGTCTTCCAGCCCCATGCGACGCCCCATTTTCAGAGGGTTGGCCTGGTGGCTTGGCGAAGGGACATCGCAGGCGGCCCTGGGTACCCTTGGTCGTGAAGTCTTTCTCCAGGGGACCCGGAACCCCAGCCCGGGTGGCGACGAGACATGGATTAGCATCAGATAGAGGCCTATCCCCCTGGCTGCGCAGGATGGTTTGGTAGCACTCCAGGCCCTCCGTTATGGCAGTAAGCATCTGCTCTCCTACGTTTCCAGACTCGGCCAGCGTCTTTACTACATCCGGAGGGTTTAACGATGGTTTATGAGGGGGTTGGAGTTCGGCATAGTGGCCCAGGATCTTCTCCGAGACGATCTTCGTATGGGTATCGCGTCCACCCGGGAGACGGTCTGCTAATTTCAAATACTAGACGACATTAGTACTCGTCCGAGAATTCGACGTAAAACATCAAGGTAGGTGGGCAAGTCTCATCAGATAATACATGTTATATCCGTCACCGCCGCAGATGCGACTCCTGATCTAGAGCTAATCGATTTTTCTCGTCATATGAGACTGGGGAGGGGGGAGGATAGAGGGAAGGAGAGGAGAAGGTTACCTCAGTGTTGGCATATTCCAGCCGTTGCTGTAAGCGTCTTTCTTTACTGCCGAGTTCTTGGGTGGTTAGCAGAAGAGCTTCAAAAGCTCTAGCTAAGGTCTGCAGTTGCAGATCCTGCTGCGTGTCCGCCACCACCGGTGCAGGGGACATGTTGTGTTCAAGAAATGTTACAAGGTATTGAGCATCACATTTGATGAAAGGTAGAGCACCTCTGCACAAAGCAGAAGCGCAGCTGAAAGATCATGGGAGTGAGAAAGAGGGAGATGGGAAGGAGGAAGAAAGCAGAAGGAGATCGTTGCCTGAAAACAGAGCGGAAAATAAGCGAGCTGGTCCGTGCGGTCACCACGTGATGGTGTTGACGGCCAGCTGTTGTAGTTCCGGCATCGTGAGTTCCGGATCGCGCTATCACATTCACTACCATGTATGAGTATCATGAGTATTCTTATTCACTAGCCCTTTAACGGGCGTCTGCCAGATGGCAGTGCTAGCAGCTGGAACTCTTTCACATCAATGAAAACAAATCACAACTTCAAATCCCCATGGACTCCGTCACTCTAACAGATGAACTTTTGGTGGGAGGAACAATGAACAAGGCAAACGATCATCAAACACTTTTCTGGCAGGACTAGTGATGCACAAAAGGTCAGTCTCTGACTCAATATACTCTATGGAATAGATAGACTCACCATGTGCTAGTCTTGAACTCTGTCATCTGCGCGAGGCCCTGGGCCTTCTCATCTCGGCTTCTGAAACTTGGAAGACTCGCGCGACTTCCCTAGCTATGACCGGGTCATACGGAAGCTGGGCAGCGAAGCCGATGTCGTTTGCGGAATAGGCCCGTCTGTGTCTGGCGAGAACTGCACGGACGCTTCCTTCGATGTCCGGGTGGTGGTCATCGGTTGGGGAGCTCTGGTTTGTGGAGCGGTTTTGAGGCGATTCGGTTCGTTTCTTGTCGCTCCCGTTCGCACGGCTGCGGTGGTGGGCGTCGACCTTTTCGTTGTTCTCGTCGTCGTCCGACTCGGCGAAGTTGAAGGATTCGAATCTTTCCAGGACGCGGTCGTTGTTCAGATGCTCCATGAGTGCGTTGTTGATGTGTTCCATGGTCGCGATCTCGTCGTTGAGGATCATCGCCAGGGTCGGCAGGGAGTTCGGGATGCGTTGTCTCCTGTCCTTCGAGGGCGAGCCGCTCAGCGACAGGTAGCCGGAGTTGGGGGTGGGAGGTGGAGCCTGCATTGCTGTGTCTTGGTGGTTGTCGTGTTTGATGGTTATTGTCGTTGTTGTGAATGTGTGTTGTGGGGGACTTGAGCTGGTGCTGAGAAGGTGCAGTCACTACTAGGTAGATACAGGAGCTGGGGCTGGCTGGTCTGGCTTTGGTCAGCGACCCTGTGACTGTCAGTGGTGGCTGCTTTGTATGCACTCTAGGTCCGGACCAATGCACACAGTCTCTCGCTAACTTTGCTCTGGTAACATCTTTACATGTGCCATTAGACATCTTGTCTTCTGGCCTCTCGGTATTCTGTTCCTGATTCACCTAGAGCAAGACTGTCTGTCTCTTGCTGAGTAGGATACTTATGTGGCATGTCACAGTGCCGGTCTATCATTTACTACTATTGGTCAAAGGTCTCCGTCATTATCTACGTCTTGAGCTACTGACGGTCTATTGTTTGGGGCTTGGAGTGGTTAGTATCGGTATATCATGGTGTGATCTGCACGTGTATGTTGGACCCTGCAGATTTACTACCTTGACATGTACCTTGCATGTGTATGAGGCATATCTCCACCGGATATATGTCTCGCAATGTCTTACTGGCTCGTATATAGTCTGCAGGTGGAAATAATATATATATAGGACTGCAGCAGCATAGGGAACAACCATACCGAAGGGCCAGTGGATTGATAGATTGGACCATATGCAGCCAATATGAAGTGATCAGTGCAAAGTCCATCCTCTTGAGCCAGCATCAGCTTCTTTGTAAAGCAGGCCATGCCATACCTATCTAGCAGGTTAGGCAGTAGCTCCCCCCTCATCTAGTCAAAAAAAGCCCGGCGCTCAACAGCAAGCCGGGCTAGCTCAATCGGCAGAGCGTGAGACTCTTAATCTCAAGGTTGCGGGTTCGACCCCCGCGTTCGGCTTTCTTTTTTTGCCCCATACTTTTCCAGATCCCCATGAAAACAACGCATCCGACATCCGCGCGTCGTTATTTTTACCACGTACAAACAGCCAAAATAGCCACAAATCCCCGGCAAAATCCCGCAGTCCCCTACACAAGCTGAAACACCGCCCCCGGTGGCAGACCATGCCGATCCAGCGTTAGTCGTTCCGCGCTAGGTGGATGTGCTCTGGTCTGGCCTGCAGGGAGTGGGCTGCGGCGGCCATTACAACCGCATGCACGCAACGAGGGCTGCGCCAGTGGCCCGTTACGAGTCCTGACAGGCGACGAGAGAGCCCCCGAGCGCCGTGACGCCAGGGTGCGACAAGTGGCTGCAGATGGCTGCAGGCGCTGGCGGCCACGGTGGGGGAGACCGACAGGATGATTCATGGCGTCGAGTGGGACGATTGGGCTGGAATCCTCCGCCAGGGACCCGTCGTTGTCATCCTGATGCCTGATTGTGACACCCCGAGTTCGTTTTAGGGACTATCCGTACGACCGTATACGGAATACGATGGGAGGATGGATATGGATTATGGTTGATGAGGAGGAATAAAGGCTGTGATATATGTATTCTCCACGACTTCCCACTTGTACTCCGTAGTGGCAAGATGGGAGTGGCCAGACTGCAGTCGAATGGATACGGAAGATCCGAGAATTGCATGATAGTCGAGACAGTCATGGACCGGCGCATGGTGGACGAATGATGGCGGTCAGATCCGATGGGTATGGCAGATTGCGTGGAAAGGTTGGGTGGTTCATATCACGCAGCGATGCTGGCCTATCGCGTTGAAAGCTTTGACGTCTGCTTTGACAATGGAGATGATGGAGGGCGTGAAGGATAGGCTGAGAGGGATGCATCGGGGGTCTTTGACGACATGGATGTCTGTCAAGATTGAAGACATGTCTCTCTTTGAACAAAGGAACCCTGAATTGTTCTGCTGTACCTGTACAGAGAAACCACAAGGAACAACCTCCGAGACTAGAAGCGATTCGGCTGAACCGGCGATCCGCGGTGGATTCCCTGTTGATCCATTCCACTAGGGAGTAGACAGTGGTGCTATCTCCATCGAGAATGGCCTTTGTGGCGTGTCCAGGAGTTCAGTCCTCCGCCGAGGGAGTGATGGGCCAGAGAGCTATATATAGAGTGTGTAGGCAGGAGAATTGAGAAGCAAGTATGAAGTATGCTGGATATACATAGAAAGAAGGAGGGGCAGATCTAGACTTGATGACTTATCATGGGATTTTCTCAACACAATACTCGTACATATGTAGAATAACATAACTAATTATATGCTAAATTACTATTGTAAATATATATAGTAATAATAACAAGTAATTCTAGTGACAATCGACTAAATACATAGACAAAATTTCCCAGATTAGTACCTAACCTCCTACTACAGTGTACGGTAACGTACCGAAAACCCCTCCGCCGCTTATCATCTCGACTGCTCGATTTTTACCTTTTTCGATCTCCTTCACCCCTCATCCACTCACCCCCCCTGCTCTAGTCCTAGTCCCTTTTTTTTTCTCCCTTATCCACCCCTCCCCCTCCCTCTTTCACTCCTGAACTTCTTCCCTTTCTCTCTTCACCATGTCCCAATCGATCCCCCCGTCGCAAACTCCTGATGCCGCCGCCCAAGTCGCCGGACAGTCCTCCTCCGCTGCCTCCCGCACCACCGAACTCGCCAGTCTTAAGGTAAGACTGCGTGGCGCCCTCCGTCAATTCCCCGATTTCCCGTCGCCCGGCATTCTCTTCGAGGATATCCTCCCCATCTTCGCCGACCCGACCCTCCACGAGGCCCTCCTGCGCTGTCTGGAGCTGCACCTCCTCGAATCCTACGGCGGCCAGAAGCCCGATGTCATCGTCGGCCTTGAGGCCCGCGGCTTCCTGATCGGCCCTAGCCTGGCCCTGCGCCTCGGCGCCAGCTTCGTGCCGGTGCGCAAGCAGGGCAAGCTACCCGGCCCATGTGAAACCCAAGCCTACGATAAGGAGTACGGCCAGGACTTTTTCCAGATGCAGGCCGACTCCATCAAGCCGGGCCAGAAGGTCATCGTTGTCGATGACATTATCGCCACCGGTGCGTTTGCCTCTAGGAATCGATTTAATATGCGCATGCTAATGGTAATGCAGGTGGCTCCGCCTACGCGGCCGGCCAGCTCATCAACAAGATGGGTGGCAACCTGATGGGCTTTGTCTTCATCCTCGAACTCGACTTCCTCAAGGGCCGGGATAAGCTCCCCGCCCCTGTCTACACGCTCCTCACGGGGCAGGAGAAGAAGGACTAAATGTGTATCTTGTTCTTTGCCTTTGTGCACTCGAAAAAGTATTTTCCTTTGTCGGGACGGATATGATGGCGGTTGTCGACTCCCCCCACCAAAAGCAAAAATGAAAAAAAGAAACAAAATCTCCGATCGGATCGATCGTCCCCGCCATCCCGCCGCGATGATTTGCATGTCGACCGGCCGTATTGCCAGCCGCCGGCCACATGGACAGGCGCTGCATCCGCGTCACGATCCGCACCACCGGATGAAACACCAGGGTGATTGGGTCGCCGGGGACAGACACAGACAAAAGTAGATAGCGATCGGGCAGCCATACTTACAATAATCAATGAAATAACGATAGACTAATGGACGCTTTATCCCAGTAACTGCATCTATGTATATCACCCTCATCTATATGCATGAATCTATCTACGCATGTACGAAGGAAGTACACTAATTCTCCAACGGAATCCACTTCCTCATCACCTCATCCGCCCACCCCTTCGGGAACCCTAACGTCTCCGCCTCGCGAATCGCCCGATTCATCCGCGGCACATACTCCTCCTTCGGCGGCGCCGAGCGCACCCGCAATTCGTCCACATACACCAACGTAGGCACCATTCCCTCTCCGGAGCTCCCCTCCCAGCGCACGCGCTGCGCCTCGTCAAGCCACTGCACCACCGTAGCAGGTACATACCACTTATTATAATCCCCACGACCCTGTTCGCGCGGGCGCACACTCCACGGAACCGGACAGTCGCGACTACCCGGGTCGACCAGCGGCGCCTCGTGATCGACGCCCTCGTACCCGTCCAGCAGCCGCTCGTCCGCCGCGTCCATCTCGTACAGCACGCCGAAGACGGCATCCTCAGCGCCGGACACAGGGACGGCGTCGCCGTCGCGCGCTTGGGGGCCGATGCGCAGGTGCGGCGGCGGGACGACGTTCGCGTAGCCCGGTTGGCAGATGAGCCAGCGCCAGTGGTCGAGGCGGGCGAGGGCGACGGGGCGCGCGGAGAGGTGCGGGTTCTGGGTGCAGCGGTGGCGCATTTGCGTGAAGGAGAGGTTGGAGCCGTAGGCGAAGTAGAGGGCGCGCGCGCGGGTGGTTGATGGCGAGGGGTCGATTAGGTCGGTGGTGGTGATGGTGATGGTGGTTTTGGCTGCTGCGGAGGTGTCTTGTGGATGCATGGTTGTTGAGTTACTCTGGGGTATTGTCTTGTGGGAGGTAGGTAGTTTTTGTTTCGGAGTAGGGAGCAGATGTCTGTGGACAGGTATAAAAGGCGAAACGTGACTAAGGAACGAGGGACAAAGTTGTTCTCCCCGCAACTCGGTTCCGCGCCGGGTTCCGTTCTTATTGGAAGAAGCCCCTCGTGGCGGCCTGGATTTTCACGGCCGTTCCGTGGTACGTGGTAGGTGGAAGGGTATTCCCGTCGTCTATCAGATGCTAGATATATACACAAATCGTTCACCGACTCAACTCTCAACCTCCTCAGATAACATACAAGTTGCTGATTGGAACGCCCTGCGACCGCACCGTATATCGTCGTTTGATTCCCACGCCCACTGCCCGTTGGAGCAACGCATACGTCTCGTCCCCGCCGCCCACCATGACCATGGGGATCAGGTGGCGTCGCGCGATGCCGCCGGCCGTCAGCTGGGGTTCGTCCAGATGGGGCCGGGCGAGATACGGCGCCGCACGGAGGGCCGCAAAACCCGGAGGCGCCGGGGAGGGTGTGTCGACACCGGCGGTCTGCTCGTCGGTCGGTTCCTCGTCGGACACCACGATGACCAGTTTCAGGGCGTGCCGCGATGGCGGGTACGCTGCGATGTTGCGGAGTTTCTGCGAGAAGTTGCACCCTCCGCGCTTGAGGACCAGCACCTGGTGGTTCTGTACGACCTCGCGCGGGATGCGGTCGTCGCAGAGGTCGTCTGCGAAGTAGATTGTAGACCACGCAAGGCGGTTCTTGGAGACGTCGCCCGTAACGGAGAAGGTGGTCGCGTCCTCCACCTCCGGCATCGGGCCGGATCCCAGTCCCGAGGCAGTAGATGCCGGCAGGGCGAGTCGTAGAGGCCGCGGTTTGCCCGAGGAACCCTGTATTTCGTCGCGCAATAGGGCCGAGAGCGACTGCATCACCGACGATAGGACGGTTCTCATGCCCGACGGTGAAGGGTCGACGGGGCCGAGCTTGTGATCGTCGGCGAGGTGTTTGGATCCGCGGACGAGCGGCTCTGCCGCAGTAGCCGATTCTTCAAGATCATCTGAATCATTTCCTCGACGGACGGTTTCTGGAAGTACGTCAATGACGAGGTCAACCATGGCGGAGTCGCGAATGCGCGTGAAGTTCGGATCGCTGGGGTCCAGGACATCAAATGTGATCTCCCGCGAGAGATATACCTTCTCATCTTTTCCAAGTGGCACGTTGTTGATCACCTGAACCCGGTATTCTTCGCCGTTGGATTGCTCAGACACGCCCTGCGACGGCACGTCTTGGATCATGCTCAGCCGCAGGCCTCCGATGGCCTTGACCAAAACCCCATCTCTCACGCGCTCCAGGGATCCAGAGCCCAGGACCATGCCGGGCAACGAGGGAAACGAGATGTCGAGCGTGGGACGAACGTTCATGGGGGAGCTGGTTGCATTGAAGGGTATCAATTCTGGCGGTAGCGTCCACGGGAAGAAGGTATAGTTTGTCGGCGACGACAGATCAGACACAGACACACTCGGATGATCTTTCGCATAGTCCAAAAGTGGCCCCTCCGCAGGGCCTCTGTTTGGCATCAGGTGCAAGCGAGCCAGGCTTGCGGCATGGAATACATCTGGCCGTGCAGCTGTCGAAGACAGGCCGAATGTTGGGGGTACCGGCGCTGTCTGACAGACAGACTCCCTGGCTGCCCCGAAGACAGGCGTTTGTTCGTTGCGTGGGGCCTCCGAGCCAAACGTACTCTTTGGGATGATCAACGGGTGACCTTCAGTAGAGAAGACAAACGGTTGGTCCATCTTGTTCAGGGGATGTTCCGGATGGTACAGCAGGAAGAGATACTTGGCAGTTTCACCGAGGAAAAAGCTCTCCATCCGGTCACTAAGCTCTCCGTTCCGCACGTCCTGAAGCCCAGCCCAGCCGCATTTGGTCCAACATCGCCGTTTAAGGTCCCGAAGCACCATCTCGCCGACATGCAAGTACCAGGGGTCTTTGGTGGCGCGGTATAGATAGTACGTTGATTCCACAAACTCAGGCCGACCACCATACCAGGCGAGTCCACCCTCGATATTCCCGGTAGCCACATTCCATCTCTCAGGAAGGCCGGAGAATCGGGTCCAAACCGCGGTCGTGAGCAAGTGGATCCCAATCGCCTCGTCCAATTCCCCTGCCAGGGTCAGGAGCCCTGGGTAAAAGGCGCTCAGGCTATCAATCCAGAAGGCCCTGGTGGCACCGGTGAAGATATCCCCTTGAATTAAATGCGGGTGTTGATAGCCCTCCCCTCGGTACAGATGGCGCTTTATTGAAGCGTGAGATTCCTCCCACACTTGCAAAAACGCTTCAGGGGAATGTTCGTATTCGCTGAGAGGAAGAAAATAGTCATCCAACGCACGCCAAGGACTCTCAGTGTCATATGGCGGCCTTTCCCCCGAGGAAAGCAGGACATACGACTTGAATGCGTATTCAAAAAAGCTATCAATTCCCGCGCCGATCTGATGGGTTTAAAGATCAGTCACAAACCCCAACTGTACTAGGTACTGCAGACAACCTACCCCGGTATAGGAGTGAACCCATCTGCCCGACTCTGCATCAATGCCAGAGCCAATCAATCCAATTTCACTCCGTCTGGACCAGACGGCCCAGAACGCCCTTTTGGCCAGCTCCTCGTACCGACCGTCTCCGGTCAGCCTACTCAGCACCGTAAATTCCAGAACTAAGCTGCCAGCGCCAGCGCTGCACGTCTCCGTTGTTTCTTGCAGCGAGGAGCGTCGAGGTTTCTGACAAGACGCGTGACTAGGGCCGTCACACGCTCTGGCGGTGTTTAGCGGGGAATTCGCATAGAAGGGGTGCCGTTGCACCCCGTATCGAAGGTTGACTCGCGGGTACGGAAGACCGGTGTCCGTGTAGAAAGCCGGTAAAAGGCGATTTGCCAGATCGGTAGCGAGACGGAGAAACTGTCCGTCGTAGACAAAGCCATTCTCCCACTCGATGCCATGGCTATCCTTAGGGAAGGACGTCTTGTCCCATGCTTTGGCAAACGCAGCCTCGGTCTCCGGAGGGCTGTATCCGGTAATTGGGAGATCTCCCACTGCGAAAAGGTGGGCGCTGAGTAGGCCCCCTGGCGACCGCAACTGTCAGAAGAAGCTGCATCCATAATTGGCTGGAGAGCACCCTACCTAGTCCTCTGATGACCGTTTCAAAGACTTGCACCTTGCTATCGATGTCGAAACCCCTTGCTCGCTCGCCCTGACCAGCAGGACCACTTGAGCCATCACCATACAGCCGCACAAAGTCCTTGATCCCATCTTGAAAGTGGCCCAATGCTCGACCGCCATCGTCGGCACTCGACAGGATCGCTAGCGACGACAGACTGTCAATCAGTGTCAGGGAGTAATTCCCCAACACGTCGTTCAGCTCGGCATGCGCGGGGTTCTCGCGGTCGCGGGACAAGGGGCGGCAGGATAGCGGGCGTAGTTCGTCTTCGGGATAAGCGTATTTGATGTAGTTTTCGAAACCATGGTAGAACATCTGCTCCGTTTCTTTCCTGTGTCAATCATGTCAGATAAGCCAGATGCACAACCACACCGTGCCATACGCGCCGCCCCCTTCCAATCACCTGGGTCCCTTACCTGAGGCCCTTAATTTGATCTGTCTTCATGCCCTGGGCCAGGGCGAGCCACAGCGAGAGAAACAAGACCCAGGACATCATCCATGTCGAGCGAAGGTCGCACATCTGTGAGTCCCAACATCCCGAGCGCATTACCAAAGAGGCAAGATGGCCGTAAGCGGCATGGAGCGGATGCAGAGTCGATCGATCGGGGAAGACTCTGGACTCTGTGGTAAGGTATGTAGGCGCGTCCGAGGATGAAAGGGTTGCTTGTCGGAGCGATGATGTCGCACGTGAGGGTCCCGCGGTGGCGGACCGAACGGCCAGATATACTTGTAGTAGGATCCCTCATTGGTAGTGCTACCCAGTACTAATCTGATGTTGACCTTATCACCAACACTGCGCTATCTCTATTATTTTATACTTGATTATATAAATCAGGAGGATTTTTCTTCATTAGCTAACTTATCCCGTGAAGAAAACTCGGCAAATGAACAAAGTACAGCAAAAGAGTACATAGTCAGCTCTACCAGCCACCCTCAAGTTATGGTGACCCGTTCTCATATTGTTGAGCTCCTTTCCCAATATTGGACATAATCCAAAGACCCAGGAAGAAAAATCGACGCTGTAAAACAGAATGCTATGCATAATCCGAGGATGCCCAAATAACTCCCGCTAAGCAACGCGCTCCAATGCAAGATTTACCGCAAACAAAATAAAAGAAGATATGGGGGAAAATGAGAGAGTGTGAGGAATATGCGGTCATCCTTCCAATGACCCCCGGGATATGGGTCAGCATGATCGCTGTCCCAGTGCACTTTCAACGGCGGCCTGATTCTTCAGGAACAGGCCATCGCGTGAATGACCTGGGCTGTGCTTCAACAGCATAGTCGATCCCATTGTCAGATGTGTAACTGGGAGGGCGTGGAGATGTAGGCTTGCTGCCCGAATCTTCTCCGATGCTATTGCTATGGGGAGCTGAGCGGGATGTACTTTCATCCACACGTTGCCAGTAGAGTAGATCAGGATTGATGCGCTAAGGGCATAGAGTCAGTAAACCACCGTCCTGTGAGGCAAGTTGTCAGAGCTACATACCACAGTGCTTCTCCATAGCCCATACGCCGGAGGAGGCGCCGTAACCTTTTCCCGAACCTCGCCGTTACCCCCTGTCATCATCTCTTCGTCGGCAATAAAAGTAACAGGGATAGGCCGCTCCGGTTGAGCATAGCCATTGGGGCCTGCGCGACTGGGAATGCGATTTGTAGCGGGTCCGCGCAAGACGGCCAGGGAGAAACGGATCAGAGAATGACACCAGACGATCGAGAGGATGAGAATCATGAATATCAAAAGAATGTGGAGTTCTTCTTCCAGAGGTGAGCCGGAGATTGCAAATGCCAAGTCTGGCTTCCAGTCAGTCGTGACGGAAATTCAACGGAATGGTATATCGCCTTACAGAGACCCAAAACGAGGATGAGAAAGATTGTCGATATGATCAGGGTGATTACCCTTCGCCTGACCTGTCTTTCCTTCCATATCGCTTGCCACGATCGACGCCTATAGTTCCCCCAAACGTGTGCTGTATCGCCCCGGCGGTTGTGCGGTCCCGAAGCTGATTCTGGGTTGATTGGGACGTATGTCCTGCGCGAAGCATGAGTACCTGCGGCAGTGTCTATCGTCGGATGATGCGAAGACTCGTTATTTGGATTGGCGCTGAGCAAAGTACCGATCAGCGTGCGGGAGGGATTGGAATGTGCCAATCGAGGGCGAGACAGCAGAGCTGATACCATGTTGTAGACTTGGCTGTCAGTCAATGACAGTCATTTGGACAGTCGGTCAATGTAAACAAGATGACCAGCTTGTTTATTCTAGCGACTGAGATATAAACAGAGCGATTCAATGAGCTGTTCCCAAAGCGGCGTTATCGATCGTTGTGAGGTATGGGCACTATATACGGCCCGCTTCCGCATTCGTACGGCGCCGACACAAACTACCTGAAACGAACAGTCTCCTCATATGAGCTTAGAAAATTATCCAAGGAGGATTTTCTGATGGATTGCAATCGGGATGATCGTCAACACCTGGTGTTCATCGTGAGGATTGGAGTTGCAGCGACAGCGTCGGCGAGATAACAAGGCGGAGAGGACGATGTGAGAAACGGATGTTTCAGGATGGTCGGACAGACAAGGATTGAGAACCAGCGGAGAAAGAATGAGGGTGTTAGTTAGACAATATGCGAGATTACGGTGGAATGATAGGGTTGAAAGAAAGGAGGGTGTCCTCGTCCCCGGAGGAGTTAAAAAGGAGGAGAATCATCATCCGCCAAGGCCGTGAAAGGCACCTGTGACTTGGAATAAATATAGGTACTCCGTACTACCCAAGTAGTTAGTTAGTGGATGCAATCGCAGACCGGCCTCATTTAAGGCTTGAAGCTACCCCTGGATGACCCACCTGGACTAGGTACCGTTCTGTACTAGGCAGGCATGTGGCTAAAGAATCGGCAGTTCTTCTTTCGACAGTCTCTTCTGAAGTATGTCTTTGAAGTTGACTAGCAGAGCTGAGGTTCTACAAAAACCCTTTATGTTCCTTGGATCTACAACGCAGCGTTATCTCAGGCATGCGTCTCACGGATGTCCCTGGATATCTCCTTCAGCTGATGTTTCGGAGCTGCAGCCGAAACCCTTTGCTGGACCAATCACCACCGGTGCTGACGTCTCCAAGATCCATCCATACGAACTACGTACCTGCGACGGAGTATGATCGGAGTACTCCTATTTTTACTTTATCAAGTCCCCTGGAGCACCAGTGCGAGTCTACCAAATGCTTATAGCTATTACCACGACAGCTGACAGAGAATAGTAATGTCGAGACAGTAGGTGTCTTATTATATGGTACCTAGGTAGCGCCCAGGCTCTCGTAGTAAAGTAACAGGCCTTCGCCCAAAGAGCAAAACTCTCATAATCACTAACATCATCGACACTTCCTTCCATAATATTTGTTTTTGACGTGCCCTGACGGCGAGCTACACCCACGATGCTAGCTCACCGGACTGATCGCAGCGCTGACAAGCGCCTCTTTCGGGACGGTAATAGCACCCCAAGCTCTTGAGCCGTAAGCCCCGAATCTCCAGTTTATAGGCCAAACCTTGCCGTCTCAGTGTAGGACATTCTGCGTGATCGTGCAAACTACTCCAAGCCAGTTTCATCATTTACCCAATTCACCAAGCATCAACGTCCGATCGGAAGACCCAGAAACAACTGCACACCCAGCGTTAGTTTGAAACATCTGAAGACGAGAGACATCAACTTACTGATAGGCTCATTGTTTGGCGAAAACCGAACATCATTGACCGTGCCCTTGTGCCCAGGAAGCTTATACAAGAGCTTTCCAGTCTTCGAATCCCATACAACAACACTCCGATCACCACTTCCAGCGGCAATTTTATCACCACTCGGGTCCCAGCTGGCGCGGATCAGGTTCTTCTCCAGACCGACAGGGGCGCCATCAAACGTGCGGATATGCCGGTTTGCCGGGGCAAATGGTCGGATGTCCCACGTGCGCACCGTCGAATCATGCGAGTTCGACAACAGTGTCTGAGAATCCGGCGAGATCTGAAGTGATGTGATGGTGTCCGTGTGGCCGAGCATGGAATAGGTCACGGCTTTCTTCCGCAGATCCCACACGTGGATGGTGTTGTCAATGCCGCCGCTGTAAATCTCGTTTCCGGCCTCCGACAGAGCCACCGCGGTAATGGGTAGTTCGGTTTCCAAATACTCGATCGCGTCTTTTTGTCGGGGATCCCAGATGCCGATGCAGCCGTCGTCGCTCGCGCTGACCAGAAGCTCCTGGCCGCGTTTGCTGATGTCAAGACAGTTGATGATCTCCTCGTGGCCCACGTGCCGCCGTATCCGTTGTCCGGTCTCTAAATCCCAGCTCGCAAGTGTCATGTCGGCCGAAGCGGAAAATATCGTCCGCGAATCGCGCGACCACTGCAGGTCAAGCACTGCTCCTCGGTGGCCGGAGAGGATGCCATAGTTTTCACATTGTCCGTATGTGTTCCATAGCACTAGGTAGAGTTCCAACAGTCAGTTTTATTGCAGGCGCGAACGGATGAGTTTGAGGTGCAACCCACAGATAGACTGATCCATTGAACCGGATGCGATGTGCTGTGCGGTGGGATCGAATCTTACGCAGAAAACTTCGCCCGAGTGTCCTGCAGCCGGTATATTAGCACAAAGCATCGCCTGTGTACCCAGAAAAATGCCTTACCGTTGAGTTCCATAATCGGAGCTTCAAGTCCACTGGTGCGGGGGATCTGGCATAGTCGTTAGTGCTCGGTGTCGTCGCTTGTTGGTGCACTGGGTGACGTACAGCCTGTACAAGAGCTCCATTTTGGGACGACGATCCTTTCACCAGAGCGGTGTCATCGTTCAGACCAGCGTCAGACTTCTTCCGTTTTACGACGAGCTGGCTAGATGACCCGAAGGCCTCTTGAGCAGGTCGCTTCTCTCCGGACATGATTGTGCGAGTATTTGCCGAGGACGTAGGACGAGGAGTCAAGAGATGTTGGGTCAAACGAGAGAGAATGATGATAGGCGCTGGTGGTATAGAATTACAATTGAGCGTTAGACGTGTTTCGTTAACGCGAGAGGCAGCGCGGCGCAAGTCTTTCCTTCTGGCGGGTGGTTCTTTTGCAGCAGCAGATGGTTGAACTTCGGGACTGGTTTAGCCGCGTTAGACGCCTGACCTTCGGTCCACCAGCGAGCTCCGCGCTCCGTCCCCCGACGCTCCACCACCTCGGCGGGGGAATGTGCAATTGTCCACTTTGCAAACAGGACTCACATCACTGCTTAGATTTTGCTTAAGTGAACTGTTTTCTAGCATCGTTCACTTCATATCGATTTTACAGTTGACCCAAACATGTCGTCTACAACGAAGGCGTCCAGAATTGGAGAAGAGTAAGTTGTTTGATGCGATACTTGACTGAAGATAGCCTGCTGACAGCGGTCCCCTCTAGATTATGGAAGTCAGTAAGCTGAGTGCTGCGGTTTCGTCCCACCGTTGAGCCGACCGCCGCGATTCAAGTTTCATCGGCCACTGACACGTATTACGATAATCCAGGACGAGGGTCGACAAGGTTAATGCGGAATTGGTGACGTTGACATACGGAACGATTGTCGCGCAACTGTGTCAAGACTATGACTCAAATTATCAAGAAGTGAACAAGCAGTTGGATAAGATGGGATACAATATCGGCATGCGCCTCATCGAGGACTTTCTGGCAAAGTCGGGGGTAGGGCGATGCGCCAATTTCCGGGAAACGGCCGACATGATCGCCAAGGTGAGTTTAATATTCCGTTTGCATTCCGAGATCTGTTAAATGACTAGTGTTCAGGTCGGATTCAAGGTTTTCCTCAACGTCTCCCCGACCGTAACAAACTGGACGAGCGATAACAACCAGTTTTCCCTGATATTCGACGAGAATCCACTGGCGGACTTTGTTGAACTTCCGGATGACGGGAGAGCACAGGATGAGCTGTGGTTCTCGAATATCCTCTGCGGCGTGTTGCGAGGTGCATTGGAGATGGTATGGCTATCCTGGATCCGTGTCGGAGCTCAATTTCCCGATGGTCCTAACTATCTCTTAGGTGCAAATGCAGGTTGAGGCGCACTTTGTCAGCGATGTGTTGCGCGGGGACGATACGACAGAGATGAGGGTGTCCCTGGTGAGGTATATCGAGGATGAAATGCCACCCGAGGAAGAGTAAATAGGCTAGTTCACGTGTTAGACAACGCGGTGTCTGGAGTTCTGGGTTCTATCTCTTTGTTTGTTTCATACTGACTGATGGAATCCCATCAGAATCCATGTGGAGCTGTGCGCAAGGTACCTGCCTAGGTAGCGTACTATTACATTGCTTATACTTGAATCTATCCAATGGTCGTATAGAAATGCTGCTGGCCAATGATTGAACTAGGGATTCAACGCACTGGACAGTCTATCGGGATATTCATAGTTATAGTTTGGTCATTTGCATGAGTACGCTGTTTGATACAGGGGTTTAGAGTTGTATAGCGCATTGACTCCCTGAGATTGCATCAACCGAGCTTGGCACTCATACCTGTAGATAAGATTCCGTTGAATGATGAAACTATCGCTTCTACATAACCATTGGCTATATTCTTTGACCAACTGAGAGTTTATACTGATTGTCACAGTCCTCAGACGATAAATGGAAGCGGTGTGTTTCTGCCAATATTAAGTGGATGAAATATGTTGTTCGAAGTGGGCCGCTAGTACCAGGAGACTGGATAGGTAGACTGAAGGATCGCGGATATATCCAGAGCTGGATGGATGGACGCGTCGAATTCGATTGATAATGATCCCGATGCGCGAATCGATACAGGGAATGCTGGGCAATGGCTATTATTCGACGTGGTTTGAAACCCTCCATATACGGAGTAAAGGCGGGATGATCGCCGATATCGAACTCTAACTAACTATTGTATAGGGACTTAGTCATGGAACTATGGCAGCCACCGATTGAGAAGATCCATCTCTGTCCTTATGGCGCCATGATCCGGGATGTCTGCGAGGTGGGTTGATATGTAGTCGAGTGTCTTGATTGTGTATGTAGGTACCGGGCTGTCAGCCCTGTTCGATCGTGAATGAAGAGTATGACGAGATGGTTGTCTACGGAGAGATAGGACGGAAGAATGGCCTTGATCCAGTCTGGGGAACGGCGCGATAGATCTACGAAGGGAAAATCCAATCCGCCCAGAGGGGACTCCACGTGACGCGCCATACCCAAACCGATGAGCCTGTGCTGGGAAGTACGCGCTCTGGCTGTGATGGATCAACCGCTCCCTCACCGTGAGGAAGTTATTTTGATTTTCAATAGACTGACGAGTTCTCCTTTTCCTCTTCTCTATTTCTTTCGACAATAAGTAGAGAGTTGTTGCTTGACGTTACTATATTTTCTTTTCGACCTGTTGAATCGTCCCACTACTCGATCCGTCCCGAATTCAGCCCTTCGTTTGGAACCATATCGCACATCGGGACCACCAGAAGAAGATTGCGTGGCAGTTGAGAATCGCAAATTCTCCTTCCTTCACCGGTAGGTTTTGGACTACTTCTGGACAACCGTGTGCATGGTATCACTTGAATCATGCCTGTTGATCATGATATTTCCTAGAAGGTCAAGGTAGTAGTCTGATATCGCCTTACCACGTCTACATTACGAGGTATTACTCCGATGCCCTGCCTCTTTTTTTTTTTTTTCTTCTTGTTCTTCTTTCCCTCCCTTCGACTCGTAACACCTGAAATTATTTTGATTCTTTTTTTTTGATCTTTTACTACATGAAACATAACGCCCTTTCCAACTGATGTCTCGCCTGCAAGTCACGCACTAAGAATCTCTCCAGACAGCCCCATCTCATCTACACGGAGAAGATTCCGCGATACGGGCCGGTACAGGCGGTGTAATCTTTCGGTATCGCAACTGCATGCTGAGAAATACGCTCAGGGGTGGCATCTCCCAGCCCTTCCGGACAGGATAATCCGAGCCGAACAAGCGACGGCGGGAGAAGGAAGAAAGATTGAGCAGAGCGAAGTGAGAAAGACAGCGAAAGAGTCTCCAGGCACCGCGCCTGATAATCCACACACCCTCTCTGATCCACCACCACCGCGACCTTGTCCTAACCTTCGCCTCCCAACCCCCTCCCTCTCTTCCTCCACCTCCATCGATCTTCACCACCCCCCCGAGTCGGCTTGATAGACTCATTCGGTGACAAGGGGTTTCTTTTCTTTTTCTTCTTTTCTTTTCGCCTCTTCACTTTCGAACTTCTTCTCCGCTTCTTTTTCCCTTGTGGCGTGGTCCTGCCTACTCCCCGTAACACCACTTCTCCCTCCTCTCCCCCGTCGGGTCGTCGTCTCCCTAAAACGCCGTTCCCGTCTTCTTCTTGTCGCCCGCCCACATCCCCGGTTGATCCTACCGCGCATTTCCTCCCGGCTGGATCCTCCGTCCGATCTATACTTCATCCTTCTCCTATCCTTTTATCCTCCCCCGTCCGATCAAACTGGTGGCGATCGGCCGTCGTGGCTTCTACCCGCGCCGTGGAAAAAGGGACAGAATCTTCGGTGATCTTTCGCGTTTGTTCCTAAGTGTACCACCACCCTGGTCTCTCCCCTGCGACGGATCATTGCAACGCTGGGGTCTCGTCTTTCCCTCCGATCCGGTTGATACATATACTCGTGTACTTCAGCCGCCGATTTCGCCGAACCCTTCTCTCTTGCCTGGGTGGCGATCGCGCATTTGTCCCTAACACTGCCGGGTTGGAAGATTCGGCCTCTCCCGGCTTGATTCCCCTCACCTCTTAACACTCGTTCTTCAAACTGATCCGCCACGCGCGCCTCGCCTTCTCTTGTGGTGAGTTACTCGCCGCGAGACGGTGAACGCGCGTTGAAGCCTTTTGCACTTCGAACGCCTTCATCGAGGACAATCAACCGGTGACGGTGGCCGAGCCCCCTGTCGACTCCCACCATGAACCAGATGAATGTCGCTGGCATGAACCCCGGGGCCGGGGGCCCCGTGGGTGCGGTTCCCATGATCAATAACGGTTCGACGGCTCCTCGTAACGACAGCAACGTGAACAATCTCCCCGATGGGATGATCAACTACCTCAACACCTACATCTATGACTATTTCTTGAAGCGCGGCTACCACGATTCTGCCCGTGCTCTGATCAAGGACGAGTCGATCAAAATAAGCACGGAACCTCCCATCAAGACGAGCCCGGGGCATCGTCGCGACGGAGATATGAACGGGGTTGACGGAGATGCGATGATGACGGATGGTAAGGATGGCGAGCCAGTGAAGATCCCGGATGATCTCCCACGCCCAAGCCTTCCGAGTGAAAGTCCGCAATCATCTTTCCTCCTCGATTGGTTCAGCCTTTTCTGGGAGTTCTTCTGGGCGCAGCGCAGAAAGGGAAATAACAATGACGTGAAGCAATATCTTCAGCATACTCAGGTACGTCTCGTATGACCATGTTCTAACCTTGTGTACACGTCTAATGGGTCTTGCTAGAATATGATGCGCCTCCGAGAACAACAGCACAGTCAACTCTTACGACAGCCACCCATGATGCCAGCGCAAATGCGGCAGCTTAACATGAGAGGAAATGCAATGGTTCCTCCCAACCTTCAGAAGAGTGTGCTGCAGAACAATACCTCTGGCCTGTATGCTTTCCCTCAGCCCCCGCCTTTCCTGTCCCTAAGCTCTCGCACTCGTGGCCATGAGCGAACGTCATGATGCTGATACAAAAGCATAGCTCTCAACAACAAATCGCCCAACTCCAGAAGAACCAACAGTTGCACATGATGCAGATGCAAAGAGATCAGTCCGAGATGGACATGAATGGTCACCGTCCCCAGTCCCCTGCGTCTGCCGAGAACGCCCCTTCCCCATCCAAGCGGCCCCGTCTGGAAGGCGGACCGATGAACGGACAACAGTTAGCGCCTAACGGACGTGGTCAAGCACAGGGAATGCCCGGTCAACCGAATCCGCAGGCCCTTTTTATGCAGAATGGGGGTCTCAACCCACGAGGAATGAACCCGGCCCAACTTCAGGCTTTCCAGCAGGGCCCGGGCGCGCAGCAGAAATCAATCCAGGTATATGCTCAAAATTTAGCTCTTCACCACTCTCGCTCAGCAATGAATAACCAGGGCATGCCGAATGGCATTATGAATCCCGGTGTGATGCCAAACCAGACGGATCTGATGCCCATGCCAGAAGGTCAGGGTATGTACCCGATGAACGGTGACTACTATGGCGCGAATGGTCAAATGGCCCAGGTTCGGGCTGGGATGCAGACGCCTGGCAATCAGGGAAACCATGCTCTTCAGGATTATCAGATGCAGCTTATGTTGCTGGAACAGCAGAATAAGCGACGTTTGATGATGGCTCGCCAAGAGCAGGATAGCATGGCTCGTCCTGACGGCCAGCCCCCAATGCCTGGGCAGCAGCAGTTGCCGCCAGGCACCTCTCCCCAAGGCAGCAGGGCGGGCGCCTCTCCGAACCCCAACGATCAGATGAAAAGGGGTACACCGAAGATGCCGCAGACCGGTCTTCCAGGCTCTCCGAATCCTGGCGATGTCGCTCAAGGTCGTGGATCTCCGGCTTCCATGAATTTCAACAGCGCCCAGATGCCACCCGACATGACGAACCCATTCTTCGCCGCTCCGAACGGTATGCGACCCCCGAGCTCGAACCCGGCATTTACCACCGGTCCGCCGATGGGCCAGCAAATTCCTGCAGGTGCCCAGATGCCGAATCGCGCTTGGCAGCCGCAGCAGGGCGCTCAGGGCCAACCTATGCCCCCACAGCAGTCCCCTGCGGCGCAGCCGGCCACGGGAACTCCCCAGGAACGCAACCAAATGCCGCCGCCCCAGGCTCCTCCCGCTGCTGGGCCTAATTCCGGACGCACGCAGCCGCCGTCTCCTCAGACCGGAGCCGCTGCCCCTCCCACACCCCAGCAATCCAACAAGGCCGCACCCAAGGGGAAGAAAGACACGAAGGACACTAATCGGAAGGTACGTGATCCCAGATCCCATCATGCATCTTTGATAGTCTTTATTGAACGCGATTCTAGCGGCCGAAGAAGGCAGCTGGCCCTGCAGCGGCTGCAGCTGCCTCGAATACTGCCGCGACCCCCTCGTCCGAGGCTGAGCATGCGACGACGCCATCGACGCCGATCACGCCTCAGCATCCGAACTCGTTCAACAAGCCGGGGCCCAATACCACGACGAGTGCGCCCCAGCAACCCACATCGGCGCCTGCCGCACCGACGCTGGTGCAGCCGCCGCCACCCGACCAGAACCAGCCGTTCAATGACCTTAGCATGCCAGACGTATGTTTTTCAATTCTATGCAATGAGCTCAAACTGGCACTAACAGAGCTGTAGGCGTCTGCTTTCAACCTGGACTTCAGCGCCCTGGAGAATCCGGACATTCTGGAGAACTTCGACTTCGATACCTTTCTCAACACTGACGCGGATACGGCGGGGTTTGGGTTTGATCCCAACATGCCATATCCTGGGGACGGCGTTGAGACTGGTGCCGGAGAAGGTCTGTGAACGAGTCATAACGGATAATCAGTTCCTATCTCTCATATACCCTTCATTGTTTTTGTATATTTTCCGACCATTTCTTTGTGTTAACGGTTTCTCAATTCTCTCTTTCCTGAATCGTTGTTCTTTTTCTTTTTTCTTCTGTCTTGACTGTTTGACACGATTGGATATGTGCCCGAGAAACTGGCGTTGGGGTATCCATTGTTGCATATCCCTTCTTTCCTACCACACCCTGCGAGTTGTCCCGTTCTGAGATGGAATTTGCCTTGCCATCCGAGTTGAATTTTTGTGTCTATGCCCTTCGATTCATCTCTGATCCTTATTATCCCTTACTACTTTGGTTAATTTCTTGTCTGTTAGCTTCCAAGGGCCTAACTCGAGTGATACTGTCTCTAGCGTTAGCGGTCTAATATTCTTCGAATCCGGGAATCCATCCTCGATGGGTCCTTGTGCTTCAATCCGTCTCTCTCGATAACCACCTCGTTCTCCCTGATCCTTAATCTTTTTCATTTTCTTTTGTCTTTTGCTTCTTTATTCTCAGCTTTTCCGTGTGGCGTTATTGCGAGGCATTCATCCTTTCTCTTGACTTCTCTCAGGGGATTGGAATGGATTATGAATTCAGAAATTATTTCCCTTCCGTTGGTCTGCTTCGTTTGTCGGCCGTGTGGGCTGGACATACAAAAACTTTCCATCACTGATGTATCTATATGTATGGACGGGATGAATGATATATCTTGCTTCTGCGTGGGGTTTGTTAATACAACCTGATTCATTGCTGTTGTTCATGATCTGCTGCCCGCACTCAGGACTACGTAGAGGCAAGTAGATATCGTTCATGTGACGTATGTATAATCTCCTATTGGCTCAACCATTGGTCGGGACTGTTCAGCGCTCTGCAGCTTCCATGATGGAGTTATCGAAAAACACGATATGCAGGGGGCAAATGACTTGATATTGGTGCGTTTCGAGTATGGTCGTGTCGATCTCGCTCTATGATATCCACAAGCTCCCGTTGACGTGTGATATCTTATGGAAAATAAAGGTTGAATGACAAATTTAGAGTGTATTGTCTCCTTTGCGCAGAAGGACTAACACATTCATCATTCGTTGTCTACAGGTCGTTGCCAATTTTCCATCCCCGAGAAGGGTATTACACACAACCAGAACACAAAACGCAGTCCAGAAAGAAGAAGCAAGAACACAAAGGCATCCACAGGTGTTTCAATCCACAATACGCCTTGTAGAGCCCGCGAACACAAGCTCAAACTCTTGGTCCTTATACACGCACAAACATGAATCAATGCAGGACTGTCATCACTGGCATCACTGGCGTCCTTCTTTTGAGAACTTGCATCAAAAAAACCAACGCCCAATGCCCACTCCATTTTCAAGTCAATCCACAACTTCTTCTCGCATGTGTCCACCACTGATCGCGTCTGGATCGCCGCCGAGCGTTTTCCTGCTCGAGGGCAGTATCTTCATCTACGACCCGAAGGAGATACGCCACGACATGTTCAGAACAGGACTCAGTCACAAGCTCCTTCGTCCCAGAGACTCGACTTAGACAACCAATAGCACCAGCACGGGTGAAAAAAGGGTCATTGTGAAAGTATGCCGCTGCATTGTAGATGCCTTCATTCTCAACAAGTCGCCCATCGATCCGCTCCACCTTGATTTCTGGAGGTTGTAGATCGAGCATCTGGCAGGCCCCTGAGATAAAACAGTCAGGAATAGGGCTAATGGATACGAAGAAGGCAGGGTCACTGGTAAGAAGGAGGATAGAGAGTTACATACTTGTCAGTTTCTCAGTGTACGTTTTGAGTTGTCCAATCTGGTCTCTGATCTGATGGCCATTGAACTTCTATCTCGACGGCTCTTGTTCGACTGGCACTTCGATGGCAGGGAGCCGACTCTGTGACAGGGGTAAGAGATTTGAATTTGTGGGCTTGGGCTCTGTGTTCGCTTCGGGCAGTGTCGCACGATTTTTGCGTTTGCGCTTTTTCGGCTTTCGGCTGGAGCTGACGTCGGTTTCCGGAGTACAACTATGCTGGAGGGAACGGGCCCTCCCAGAAACCGAGACGGGTCGGATCTTGTCGTATCCAGTTGGTGGTAGAGGGCGCTTGGGGATTTGAGCAAGCAAATCCTCCTGTCCGTTTGCTAGAGTATATGGTCCGAAGGTAGCAGAGTCATCCCCGTTCCCGAACACTAGCAACGCATGCAGAACTTTGTGAGCGGCCGAGTTTTCGGCGTCACTTTTATCTGCATAATGCCGAACCGGCCCAGAGTATGTCGCCCCCTGCGTCTCGATCTCGAAGCAATAGCCATCGCTCCCATGAAGGCATTTGGTATAAATGGGGAGTGGGAGGCCGTTCTGAACGCAGTAGTCTGTTGTAGGATTAACAAAAGAAACGCACGCCTATACATTGACCAGTGATACTTACCACGTAACAACGCTACCCAATTCCAAGTATCATCAAACCAATGGGCGGCTGGCTCACTGGGAACGGCCCAATGCTGGTGTTCGATAGACAGTCTTTTGAGAGCTTCACGACAAACCCAAACCTTGGCTTCCATCTGAGATGTGTAGGTGCGTGGCGCAACAATTGTGTGACCATAAATGGTCAGCTTTACTCCCCATAGATCCGTTAGTCTTGTGCAACTATACTGGTATCGGGGGAGTAGAAGTGTCTGAATCGCGAGCACTCCAAAATAGAGGAGAACTTGGTTCTCTCCAAGCAAGTCTAGATCTAGCGATCCAAGGTACTGCCGCCAAATAAAACCAGTCAATATGAAACCTGGTACAAGGCGCTGAAGGAAACTTCACCATTCGGAGTGACATACCTGGCCTTGAGCACGGAAAGGATTGAGAGGGGCTAACGAGGGAAGAGATTCCATCAACTCTCCGTCTTCCAAAGAGTCTGAATCTTGCTTGATTTGAATGCCATGGTCACTTTCCGGTTCGCTCTTCATGAGGATGTCACGTTCTGTTTTGATTCGGGGGACTGGTTCAACCTCAGGTGAGGGACCTACACTTTCCTGCTCTCCGCTGCGATGCTGAATCGGAGAGCAGGAAAGCGGCGCGTTCTGTCCCACTCCCCCCTGTATCTGACGCTTCGAGGAGGTGGGATCCGCGGTCGGAGGGTCTATAATACGGTTATTATCAAAGGACGATGACCGCCGACGTGCATATAAAGGGTATTCTCACTTTGCGTAGGTAGAGAAGGTTCTGGTTGTTCCAACGATTCAGGTCTTATGGAAAGCGTGGCCTCAGAATCAGGGGGAGAACTGAAAGGCAAGGAAAGTGTACGAAATGCAGCCAGGTTCCCAAAAGCCGACATATGAGACCAACGTGAGAAGCCCGCCTGCGGGCTTCCAGATTCCTTCAGGTATTGCATATGAGGGAGAGAGGAATCACTCTTGGGGGTTGTGAGCGTTTGGGAACTAGGTCCCTTCTCGGAGCCCAGGGACGAAGAGAGGAAGGATCTGTGTCCAAAGACCTGAGGATCCATTGAGAGTAACTATGTGGATCAAAGAGATAGAGAAGTGGCGGTGAGGAGAAGAAGATGGACAGAGAGAGAGAGAGAGAGAGAGAGAGAGAGAGAGAGAGAGAGAGAGAGATGAAGGAGGGTGGAAAGACGTGAGAGTAGAAAGGAAAGGAGAGAAGAGGCAGTCAGAGTCAGGTGGAACAGTACACACAGAGGGAAGCCACACAGAGCTTTCCCAACTAAGGACAGCAATGCCTACATCTTATTAGTCTTGTTCCTGGCTAATAGTTACTGAACCAGCACCGACAGTGACTTATAAATTGTATTGAGCTGTCACTACAAACGAATACCGCCCACAAAACAACATATTGACTGCAATCGATAAAGACAGACCGAGTAAAGGTAGTTAGCCCAGCAGTTAAAAATATATGACAGGACGAATGATAGAGAGTGAAGTGAACAGGTTGCTTGGAACAGGGCAACAATGACACAACAGCAAGAGAAAAGGTGCCCACGAGAGGTAAGAATAGCACAGTTCAATCAACTTCCGCCACTTCCACCACGGAGCTCGACAACTGAGTCTTGGCTCCGAGCAGCTCCCCATGGTCTGCTGGACCGACCAAGCCCTGTGCCTCAGAGAGAATCTGTGCAGAAGAGACCAAAATGGGCCCCTTCACTGTAGTGCCACTCTCACCTCCAACTGGACCCCCGGATAGACTTCCTTTTGGGCCAGGGGACGTCTTCGAATTTCTGCTGGTACGTCTTGTTGACGGGCTAAGTCTGTCGCTCTCTCTGCGTGGAGATTCTAACGTAGACTCGTTTTCCTTGCGGCCCTGAGACATTCTTTCTTTTCTACTCATTAGGCTGATGTTTGGGCTGGTATGGAGTCCGTTGCTGACGACCTCATCAGATCCATTCTCGGAGAGTGTAGACCTAGTGCTGAATCCTGAAGCTTCCCTGGTTTCTGACCGTGCCATTTCTTTCATAGCCGTGGTCCGGCTGCTGCTCTTGGCGTAGGATGCTGAGCGAGCTTCTGCAGCCGCAGATGGCTTCGTGGTGGTAGGCTGCGATCCAGTCACTGTCGGAGTTGGAATACTGCCGGATTGAGACTTGCGAGGGTGCAGGGCGTCAATAACCTGCGCGTATGCCTCTTGGCTGGGGTGCTTGCTATGAACATAGCTTGCACCAGTCATGTTGGACATAACACGACTGCCGCTAGTAGAACTCGAGCTGTAGTCTGGCATAGCGACGTCCTCCGCGGAAGGCCTGGCGCCCCGATGACGTGCAGTTGGTTCACAATAGTACGGGTCAAGGAAGGGATCGGACTCAGTAGGGCCCCATCTCGGTTGGGGGGGATTATCTTGCCACGGAGAAGGTCGTGGAGCTTGATAGTTCCGATAATCCCAGGCGAAACGCCCCGCCGTTTGGGTCGGTTGACTGGTCGTCGGCGGGTGCAGTTGGATACCATGTCGAGTAGGCGAGTGAGTATGAGCATCTTCCGGGTCTTTCATATCTCCTTTGCAGCTTGCGGATGCATATTTGAAAAGACGAGGCTCACGGTCCCACATGGAAGGGTTGGGCCATGCAATATTGGAACATTCCAGGACAGCTGAACCCAGTCAATACACTTTTCGATATCGTGGGGCATGGAAAGCGAAGACTCACGCAAGGGCGCATGCTGAAAAGCAAAGGCGATGAGTTCCTTGACCCTCTCAAATGGCGGAGATCGATGTGGCCGAGCGAACCCTTCCGAAATGACGACTCGAATCCGTCCGTAAGGATCGCCGGCGTCCCAATGCCTTTGTTCTAGAATCTCGTAGTGAAACGGAGGAAAACGTAGGTCATCCTGGTTGCCCCGCTTGTCGATAACTGAGGAACGATGTTAACCATCAGTTGCGGCTCCGGGGTCTGGAGAGAAACATACTAGAGCTCAGATCTGAATGAAAGCCATCGGTCAGCCGCTTACCATGAGACATTGGCATAGCTATTATGCCACCTACCTATGACATGGGGCCAAGTTGTCCTCTGACTGAAGACGCTTCCTCTAGAGCGCAACCAAGGTTAGCTGTGGACTCAGTTAAGTAAAGTCAGGTATGGCACGACGTACGCAACACACTCGCCATCGATGAAGACTCGAGCCTCGAACAGCAGCGCATCATCCGGATGTAGAAGAGTTTCCATCAGGCGGCTTGGGCCTGGTCTTTCCCAGCTGTGGATGGAAACACGAAAGGGAGTACCAGGAGCTATGCTCGGAATGAAGGTGGTGAGAACTGGTAAACGGCCTAAGTTTCCTTGAACTGGATAGTAGGAGCGACCTAAGTTGAGTGCAGGGCTGTAGAGATAAGGTGACTCTGTGGACGCGGGTCAGCGATCTTCTGCTATGTGGTGAACTCAGCATACCCTGGTCATCAATCACAAAGCATTGCGTCTTGAACTCCTGAAGGGGAATCTTGGAGTCCTCAGGGAACAGCAGCACATCCCAATTCTCGTAGCGCATCGTGTCCTTTCTAATGTCGGTTGTTCTCTCGACGGGGGGTAATCAAGGGAGTAGAAAATACTGAGTAATGGGAACGACCACAATCATGGGGGTGAGAGAAGGGAATACAGAGAGAGAGAGAGGCAGAGAGTTGGGGAGAAGTAAGTCTGCACACCCTCCTTCCCGGAGGAGACAGAGGGAAAGGCAGGAACAACCCATACCTTGACTGGTAGACGGCAACTACCACCTACATAGTACTAGGTACCTTATCCATTTAAAAGAGGACTCACACTGTAAATAAGAATTCTTCACCTTATGTATCCTAAGTAGGTGGCCGACCGCAATGGTGGTTCTCCAGAGGCCAATTGAGAGCCATATACACCAGAAGCAACGGTGGTGCTCATGATTCCACCATCATGCGTTGAAGACGAGCCAGAATTAATCGCAGGCACAGACAGAAAAAGAAAGCAGGGGAGCTCACTGCATAGCGAAGGGGAATCATCTATAAGAAAAGACATAAGCAGAATGCATCCTCCCCTGGCAGAACAAAGATGGAAACCACCTGCAGGTTACGAAAGGAATGGAATACGATAAACGCCCAGAGCTGGTCTCGAACAACTCGACAGACCACCACCATGCAGAGTAACAAATTTGCCTGGAACCGAAACTCCCCTAGAGTCAGGATGCCACCCAGCCGATCACTTGGGTTCTTCAAAGAGTAAATTCACCTCTCCAGATGCAGAGCAGAAGAGCAACACAAAGGCCGAACCAAGGCATCAAAAGCATCATGCTGTAGAAGAAACTCAATTGAGAAACCGCAGGCCAAGGGGCAAAACAATGTTGTACAGGCCACCAGTCTAGCAAAGCATGATGCAACATCCTCAAGAACGGATACAATTCAATTTGATTGTTTCGTCAGAAAGATTCGAGAAGAGGAACTTTTCGCAGAATGCCTGCCCAGAGGTATAAGGGAAAATGACAAATCCGATTGGGAGTCATACGCGTAACAAGGACCTAGGGCCGGAACGTCATGAAGATAAAGTAGCAGAGGGTTGCGAAACAGAAGAGAACAAGGGAAGACATGGAGAAGAAAAACCACGAGTGCAACAAACGCGAGTCGAAAGGGGGACCACAAAGGAACAATCGAAAGGGGGAAAAAAAAAAACCACAACAAGAGGGTGAAATCGCAGCTCGGACCTTGCTAAAAGCGCTCATATGTAATGAAGTACGTGACACAGGAGGAAATGCCCATCAAGAGCTATAGAGGGTAACTTTCGCAGAAATAAATAGCAGACTTGTTATGACACAAAAGACCCATTAGTTGAAAGGACGCAAAACTCCTGCTGTTGCTTTCAGAAAAAGGAACGCTTTTTACTGGAAGTTTTCCGTTAACAAAACCGAAATTCACCGGAGGGCGCTACAGGAATTCAAGCGGTGTGGTCAGGGGAACCAACCTTCATGGGCGCGAAACCGCCATACTGGTGGGCAGGAGGCATGCCCATCGAGGGGTACATGGGAGGCGGGGGAGGGGCAGGGCGATAGGGGCTGCCGGCCGGGCCGGAGTTGTTCTGAGAACGACCCCAGCTCAGACGGACGCGCGAGTTACCGATGGGGTAACCCTGCATCTGGTTGATGGCCATCTCAGCAGCGTGGCGCTGGACGAACTGGACGAAACCGCAGCCCTTTCCGGGGGGAATCTTGACATAGGTGATCTCGCCGAATCCCTGGAAGAAGGAGCGGAGCTCATCCTCGGTGACGTAGCCGGACAGACCACCAACGAAGACAGTGGTGTTGTTGGGGTCAGTGAACTGGTTCATGGGCTGAGGAGCACCGGTAGAAGGCCCAATGGGAGGGGGCGGCCCATCGGGGAGGTTACATGCCGCGGTCCGGGCGGGGGCATACCCATTCGCACCGGGAGAACAACACCGGGGGCCCCTTGTTTCTTGGGGGTGGGCGGTCGAAGATGCGCATGGGAGCGGTTTGCCGCAGTAGACACCCCTGCATTTCACTGAGCGCACGCTGCTGGTCGTTCTCAGTCGGAGAAAGCGGACGAAACCATAGCCACGAGACACGCCGCTGATGGGGTCGGGTCATGATCTTGGGCGGACTTGCAAGAGGGGAAGCGGCTTTGGAACAGAGAAACCAGGACATATTCGTTGACCTCGGGGCCCAGGTCACCGACGAAGATTGAGTACTCGGGGCCACGGTCGTCACGGCTAGGGAGGCAATCAATACTGGTGTCGACTAATCGGTTGAGTATCACAAGACTTACCTGCGGTCAGCCAGGCCGCCACCAGTAGCCCAGTTCAGCTTGAACAGGCGGTTGGTGTTGGGCATAGGAGTACCGTTCAGAGACAGGGCCTTGGCAGCGGCAGCGGGGGAAGAGAAGTCCACAAAGCAGTAGCCGGCGTTGCTCCTACTACCATCATTAGGATCGCCTTGAAACAAAGGGGGTTATCGTGTACTCACCCAGAGAACTTGTCACGGATCATCTTCACGTTGACCTGCTCGCCCATTTGGAACCACAGGTTGCGAAACGAAGTTCTCGTCAATCCAAGGCTCAAGCTCGCCCATCCTGATGGCTATTGTCAGTACGGAACTAAGACAATCACACATTCCAGGTCCACCGGCATGTACTTACCAGAGAGTGGTCTTGCCCTCGTTACCCTGCTGAGGGACAGGGGCGGCGGAGGGCTCACCGGGAGCAGGGCCCTGGAAAGGAGCGGTGGTAGGGTCGGTCTGTCCAGTCATGGTGGTGTCCGCGGGAGCGGGAGCGCCGGGGGCAGCCGCAGCGGCGTCAGCAGCAGGGTGCTGGTTCTGGAACGAATCGAAGTTCTGGAAAGACATGATGGACGTCGAGTTGGTGGTTGTAAGAATAACTACAATAGCGGTATCTGGAGAGGCCACTCAGTCAGCACGCGAGCCCATGTCTGTGTTCCGCCCATATGTCTGTCCGTACCTCCAAATTGCAGTTAGACGAGCTGAAAGCCAAAGAAATCAAACTTTTCTATGTCGAATGGCCCGTGCGACTGTATCTCGTGGGAGTCGTCAAAGAAAGAACAGCGTAGATCGTTGTGAACTTGGAAATGACCGAAGATTCACTTCCTATGGCAATGTCAATCGGGTTTCTCGGAGGCAAAACAGTCGGCAACATAATTAGAAGAACAAGGACGAAGTGATGGTAAAGGAAAGGCCCAAATTGTAGCGACAGACATGTCCGAAGGGAATGGGTAAGAGTCCAAGAAAAGTGAGGCCGCAAGTCTCCTTGATATCAGGAACAGGAATGGTTGCCAAAGTTAACGCAATCTGACCGCAGTTCCACGTTGCTTGACCCTGACGAGCTGCTGACTTAAATAGAAATTTGTCGACCTCGCTAGTAGCGACGGGGATGATCTGCTGATGCCATATGCTGATACCACGACGCGTGATTGACAGAAACCGAGTAGCGGGATATGGTAGGTACCATGGGCGAAACAGGGCGGTGTCGCGGATAGCCATTGGTGATTGTAGAATTGAGTAGACAATTCGCTGGAAGGGCAGACACGTCCTTGGCCAAAAAAAGGCACATGGGAGTGAGCACCTCCCGTCATTCCAGCCGCATTCGTTGATATCGGTGGTCTGTTCACTCCGCCGCTTGCGACCGTCTCAGCTCGGGCTCTTGAATGACCCGCAGCGCGTTCCGTTCCACACCGAAGTCGTCGACCCCAACCACGGGCATGAGGCTACCCAGCATTGCGGAGGTCATCGAGTTGCGACCGTATTAAGGTTGGTGGATAGATAGATTGGAAATCACGGATCAGATGGAGGTGGTCAGGGCGCACCCAGTCGCAGTCATGATGGTGCGTGGTCGGATAGTGATGGAAGGACGAGCCATGCGGTTGTATGGGTGGAAAGACCCGGCGCATTCATTGATTGAGGCCTTAAATCCCGAAAGCCGACGCTGTCTGCCGCGCACAAAAAAGGCCAGAAGGGTTGTGAAGGGATGGTGTTGAAGCGCGAGATGCCGCGCCCGGGCCAGGGAACGAGACCAGGGAAACGAACAAAAGAGAAGTAAAAGCTTACCGAGTAGTATCAACAGGGTAGGAATTAGTTTTTCTCCGACGAAGCGAAAAGGAAACTAAAGAGATGCGTTGCTTGGGCGTGGCGCAAAAATGAAGTATGCGTTAGGCGTGAGATCAGACGAACGAGAAAACCGAAAGAAGATCGAGAGGAAACTCGTCGGTGGAGCAAGTCGAGAGAAATGGGGCAAAAAGGAAAAAGATACGAAAAGACGCAAGAGAGACAGAAGAACTATCCGCAAACTGACTCCGTCTTTTCCGACAAGAAACAAGGAACGGTAGGAAGGAATGGGGAGAGGGGGAAACAGTAGGAAGAGGGAAAAGGGAAGAAGAGGAAGAAAAGAAGAGGGGCAGACGAAGCAGCAGATATTCTTCAGTAATAATGGAGGAGGGGGGGAAGAGGAGAGAAAAGAGAAAAGTGCAGTGACTGGAGAGAATGAATAATAAGATGGAGCTGCGAGACTAGGGCAGGACCAAGGACGGGTGACGAACAAACGAATGGGCGGTTCCAGTCACCGGATTACATTCAATACAATACGAGTGCTACGAAAAGAGAAAATAAATAAAATAATTATATAAAAAATAGAAACAAAAACAAAAGAAGTAGGTAAAGTCCGACATAATCTCTTCATTTGTTCAATAATTCTCTACCTAGTCAGGTAGCCATCTGAGCAACTCGCCGTCCTTCCAAAACCGAAGTGACTGATTCAAAGCGGATGGACAGTGTGGGACGTAAAGTTTGCCGACACCAGAAGGGGTTTTTTTTTTCCCATCAGAATTTTATGATGATTTTTGACTGGCCCAAGAGTCGAACCAGAATTTGTAGATCTGAATTGGGCAAGATCGTGGCCTTACCGGGATTCTGGCAGTACTCTATGGCTGTGAAGTACGGAGGGTTAGTCGGAATGCTAGATGAACAATCCTCACGAGATCAGTTGCGAGATCGTATGTGATGCGATTAGATTCGTATAGACATGTCGTCGTCATTTCCCCGGGTTGAGATCTCTATCTCGATCGATGGTCGAATTGAATTCCGGAGGTACCTTACCTCTATCTTCAGTTGGATGGTAACATTGGAATACCTACTATCGGTATCGTGACAGAAATTACCAGTCGATTTCTTTCACTCTGCCACAATCCTCCAGGCACTCGAGGTACATCCCTAGGTACATCTGTGGGAACTTACTCCAGGGAGGGCCAGATGACTCCTGCATCCTGCGGGTTCGGAGCCTGACATGATTCTTATATCCCTCCACACGCATGAATGAGGTCGGTCGATCATGGACTTGGTGTCTGCTTTGACTTTGGTAGACTGACCCCAAGACCTTGGGTAGGATATCCTGCTGCCGTAGAATCATCGTCTCACGGGTAATCCGGAGTACAGTAGTACTACCACCAGGTAGGTAGGAATATCCAGATGTAGGGAGTGTGAAACAGCAGCACCAGACGCATCAGTTCATCAAATCCAGGTAAGGATGCCTATACACAGCAAACTGGATATTCTGGTAGTAATACAAGGGGCCAACACCCAGAACTTCATCTGCAAGGACCTGAACGACGGCACCTGTATGAGCTCTTTTCTGTGCTGACCTTACTTTTACACTTCCCGCGCTTGGGCCGTGACTCGTCGAGTTCCATTCGCGTCCGTGGGCTTATCGTCATCGAGGGCCATGTCTCCGCTAGGCTCATGGGACCCCCCCGAAGGCCATTCGTCGATCGATTACCGGTTGCAACCTCGCCTCAGGATGGGATCCTTGGATCGTCGCCCTACCACAGCTGAGCTGATCAACCGCCTACGGGCGAGGGAAGACAGACGAAAACTATCGAAAGAAAGAAAAAAGAAACCCACGACGTCCGTCAGGCTGAAAGGCCCACCGATATGTCCCAGAACCATGGCTGCATGGCGCCGGATATCCATATATCCAGCACACCAGGCCAGGGTATGGTATCCATACACGCACATTTTCATTATTCTGGCAGTTCAATACGATGTTAAGACGGAAGTCGGGTGCAAACAGATGGTCCAAGCCGCAGCATCAACACTGCCTTTGTTGATTGTAACTCAGCCACCTTTGAAAATAGCATCCGTCGGCATTATTAGGTACACAGCTGCCTACCTAGGTACCAAGTAGGCAGTCGGGTACCTCTACACATGTAGGTACACCATACACCATCCACTACTTTTTACTCCGCCCCAAAACCCGAAACAAAAGAAAAAGAAACCAGAATGCTCAGACGGCCAGAAAAGAGCTAACGGAGCTCCACTTACTCCCAGAACCATGGAATCCCGGCAGTTATCTACATCATTGGCTGGAAGGGCTGAATCGGCGTGGTTCGTAATTTTCTCCAGACCAGCCGGGATAGGCCTGTCGTCTGCTGTGCCTGCCTATAGGGATTATTGTCAGTACTTTCTCCGTAGTTGAACGGAAAAAAATCCCCACGAGCCATCAACAGAAATTTCCATCACCTCGTGAGGGTGGTCGGCTCGACGGAACTGCTCGTTACTGTACTGTATCTAAACCGCAATCCCACCTTTAGCTGGTACCAAGGATGACTCTCAAAGGTAATCTAATCTACTGGAGCGATAGGGTTCAACGCGTACGCGACGCGATCAGCAATTCTGCTTAATTACCTAGGCACCCCAACCCTACATAGTGTCCGTTTACATATGTTGGGCAGTGGCCCTGCGGACTCGGGTTCTAGTCTGTAGAACGCCCATTATTGTACGTCGTGCTGAGCGAACAGCGGTTCCTGCAACCATCCACGATGGTAAGCAATCGAGTGTTCAGACTGGCATGAGCAAGGGATAAATAATAAATGTCGGCCAATGCGCGTCGCAATAAGCCAAATTACTCGGGATATGGAGGACCAAGGGTAGTGCGCCGTCATGGCCTCGTCCCGGGCTGCCCTTGCTTCGCTAATCAACAAGAAGCTTGGGACAGGTATGTAGATATGTACCTCAGAGGACGGTATCGAAATAAAGGAGAGCCGCCGTTAGCAGATGTACATATGTACATAGCTAGGGCCAGTCACGTACATATAGTTACACGGGCTCAAACTAGGGTTACCGTCCCTTGCAGGAGCGGGTAGTCAACAAACATTCGCTCAACGGATTATAGGTGTCAGTAATGAGAAGATACTCGGGATAATCGCAGCAATCGTTGTCAAACAGTATTTAACGATACAATGTCAGGGACTACCTAGCACGTACGAACCATGGATCTTCTCAGTCAACGCCTCAACAGTCCGGCTAGGGTGGTGGTATAGACGGCTGGTGGGTACCCAGGGAAACGGGAAATGAAAGAACAAAAAGGTTCTAAAATGAGTATCAGAATAAAAAACACGAACAGTGTCGGCCTTACACCTATCAAAATGTGGATTGCCATGTGGGATATATTAATTACTCCCGAATCGGAGCCCACTAGTCTGGACCTGACCAACAGTAAGCACTAACTTGGACAGAAGAATCAACAATACGTCAAACCTCTCAAGCTGCTCCACCCACAAGAGAAGATTTTTCCAACTCGCCTGGTCTCTTGCTCGGTTCGTGTTGATCGAGAATAGAACGTGCCTCGGTACGCGTCTACATTATTCTACCGAGTATACAGACATAATTAGGTGAAGGTCTGGTATGTTCACAAGTAGATAACCAAGTATCATAGACGAAACACAACAGTACTCCCAGGAACACCGTATACAATTAAAAGAAAGCAAGAACCTAACAAGTCTCCCCAGTGGCCATATTATCATCACAAAAATCCCCCGCCTTCCCCAACTCATCCCCCAGCAACTGAATCGTCTTCTCATAGACCCGCGCCGCCTCCATTTCCCACCGTCCAGGCGCACCGGCATACTCATCCGCGAAGACCTCGTCTTCATCATCATCATTCTCATCGGAGCTCTCATCCTCATCATCACCCCCAGGCTCATCCACCTGCTCTCGCGCCTCAACAACAGCCACCCGACACGACTCCGCGATGCTCTTGATGCGCACCTTCTCCGTCATGGAGACGACATTGCGCCGGCCCTCAAATCCAGGCAGCGGCATCCCCGTCTCCGCGTCCTCGCCCGTCAGCAGTGCCGTGAAGACCGAGTCCAGCTTCCGCAGGAGACGGAACGTCGCCTTCGGCGAGAACGGGTACTCTGGGAGATACGAGTTCACCAGGACGGCCAGGGAGATCAAGTATGGGATTTGGAGGGATGCTACAGTATGGGTTAGATAGGCAAACAGACGTCTGAGTAGGAAGCGTAGAGAAGGAAAATAGGTACGGAAGGATACATACGCGTTCCGCTAACCCACAGCACATCCACCACGCCCTCGATATCCTTGACCACCTCCTTGAAGCTCTCGTACCCTCGCTCGGACTCCTGCTGGTTCTGATCATCGAAAGCGCTGCTGAACTTCTTGGCATGGCGACGGTTGATCATTAACAGCGTCTTGTCGACATGGTTGATCACCGTCGTCTCCTTCATTGACCCGGCGCGCAGCGGGTGTGACCGTGGCTTTGGGAGCAGAGACGGAGTCACTGTGGAGGTTGTTGGAGCTGGAGATGGGAGAGAGGGTTGTATGAAACCACCTCCAGGGGTATCTGTGGAGGCCATTGTTCTGGTGGCTGTCAAGATTGGAGCTTATAGTCGAGATGATATGGGAATTTGATGACGTAGATGTTTAGTCAGAGGTAAGCTGTGTGAACACCGAAGAGGACTACACTCTGTCAACCAGCGGTTATTATTGTACTCTGGAGTAGATGAATGCGTAGATCTGACGGTTCTTTGAAGTGGCTGATGAAAGCACTGAAGATGTCATGCCAAGCCTATGTGGTCCGTGCGTATATAAAACGGCCCAGATGTGCCTGAAGTACTTCCTCACTGATACTATACAATTTGAACCTTGATCTATTGTACATAAATGTATATGCATTGAAGTGTCTATCTATCAGATCAAACCTGTATTATATCCATCAGCAAAGTCCGTAACCCCCAGTCCAATGGCATGTAACAGTATGAAATGACTTCAGATAGGTGAGAAGATATAAAAACGCTGGTTTTTGAAGGCATGGCATGACATCAAGCAAGCTGAGTCTTGCTACTCTGGCCCCAGCGGACTCATCATTCAGACGACAAAGATAGAAGACGAAAGAAAGAAACACTCACATAACCCAACACCCATCCCAGAGATGCATAACTTTTATCCCCCAAACGCCATGCTAAAAACAATCGAGAATCACTCGGGCTGTCGCATAAAAATCGTTAGCTAAACCACCCACAACTCAGCACCCATATAAGAGAAGAAAACTCACCCGGAGCTTTCCCTTCCGCCGCTTCAACTCCTCCAGCCTCTTCTTATCCTCATCAAACCGCTTCAGCAACTCATTCTGCCGCATTTTCCGCTTCTCCCGCGACTGGAACCGATAGAAGTCCTCCAGACCCTGCGACTTCTGCTTCTGCTTCTCGACCAGCGCGCGCGCCTCCTCCTCGTGCGCCGCAGACGTCAGCTTCGGCCCACTAGTCACCGTAATGAAGCCATCCTCGTCCGGCTCCTGCGCGCGACGCATCTCCTCGCGCTTCCGCGCCTCCGCCACCTGCGTAAACACCGTCATGTAGTCGTTGACGGCGCCCAGCAGCGCCGCCCGCGACGGGTACCGCGCCTCGTCGTGCGCCAGGTACCGCGGCAGCCCCAGCGCCGGCAGCCGGCCGCCGCCGTCGTCCAGGCCCGCGCCCCAGACCGGCGGCGCCTTTTTCGCCGCCTTCCGTGCGGCCTTCAGGCTCGCCTCCATGCTGGGCTTGTCGACGAAGACCACGACCGCACGGGCCCCGGACTTCTGCAGCTCGCGGTCCCAGGTTGGGGGGAGCGCGATCGAGTCCAGCTGCGACTGGAGGTCGTCGGCCGTCACGCGCTTGCGTTTCTTGCTCTTCGTCACGTTGCCTTGCGTCGTTGTGGCGAGCGTGAGGCCCTTTTTCTTCGTCGGGAGGGCTTCGAACTCCACCCGCTCGACGCGCCCGCTGGCGAGCTGTGCGCCGAACAGGTGCCGCAGGTGTGTCTCTGTCGTGTCGATCGGGATGTTGACCACGAAGAGAGAGCGCGGGGTGTCGGCGTCCGGGATGCGCGGTTCGTGAGGGCGGAGGTAGAGGTAGTGCGTGGCAGGCTTTGGGTAGGTGCGGGTTTCGGGGAGTTGCAAGGGCAGGACTGTGTAGCCTGCTATTTCGAGGGCTTCTTTTTTCATCTTGATTGTATTTATCAAGAGATTAAGTGTGAGAAGGTGTAGAGGGGAAGTGTTGGTGTTGTCGTTGCGATGAGAAAAAAAATATATTTTGGAGGTTTGCTAGCGGGAAATTTTTAGAAGGCGGAGAGCGGAGGTCTCGCTGACATCTACTAACTACCACTTCTACAGTACAACTACACCACCCCCGACAATGATAAAGAAAACATAATGTCCCACACATACAATATCTGTCATGCCACGTCAGATGCTTGATTGCCTCAATATTTCCCGACATCATCTCACAGCTTATCCGGGTCGTTGATTCCACCGTTGGTGATCACATAGGTTGCTTCTCTCTCGGGACAGTCTGTATAGTCAGAACATATCCGATATCGATCATGATGGGAATAACAAACCCGGAGAATCTTGGATCTTGGCTACCCGCTCGTCGCCTCGGCCCTTTCGCAGAAGAACCCGAGTCGTAGACGCATGGGCTAGGACATGTCCACCTACCGGCTTGCGGCCATCGGCGCCAGCGAAGAGAGCACTCGCACCAGGGTCACTCTGGACCTGATTCGTCTATCAAAGAGTCAGACCTCCCTAAGAACCGACGAGAAGCATCCCAAACCCACCATCAGAACACAGACATTGAACTCTGCAGTCCTGTTAACCCATCTGCACAGCTCACAGAACAGAGACACAAACCTTCCGCCATATGCGCAAGCTTCATCAGAAACTGATTCAGCTTCTGCTGCCGATCCGCCAGCTCACCGCGACCGCAGTAGTCCACCCGGAAGCAATTCATGATGCTATCGATGATGAGGAGACGGTAGTCGCCGCTGGCAAACTCCCTACTCAGCGTGTTCAGCAGCTCCAGCTGGTGCTCGCTGTTGAGCGCGCGCGCATAGGCGATGTTCTCCTGTGCCGAGTCGGGGTCCACGCCGAACCGCTCTGCAATCTGGGCGATACGCTCGGGTCGGAAGGTGCCCTCTGTGTCGATGTAGGCGACCTTGCCCTCGGCGCCGCCCATTTCCTTCGGAAGCTGTGCGACGACGGACATGGTATGCGACAGCTGGGTCTTGCCGCAGCGGAACTCGCCAAAGACTTCGCTGATGCTCATGCTTTGGAAGCCTCTGAATGCTGTTAGAAGGGCGTGGAGGAGGCGTGAGAGGCTGGTGACTTGCCCTCCCAGGATTGCATCGAACTGTTTGCTGCCGGTGGAGATGCGAACCACTTTCTTCCGCTGATGGCAGAGCTCCATTGCTGTGATGAAGCCCGAGGCAGAGGGCTAGTTGATGAGCCGGGATAAAAAGGGATGGCTATGTCGATGTTGAGGTTGCTCACCAGGCATTTTTGAATTGCTTCCTTGATTTTCTCAACCTTGACCTCACTGAAGCCTTTGATCTTCAGGAGGGTTTTGCGGGTTGCACCATGGACTGACTAAACCAGGAGTTAGAGTAGTGTTTATTTTGTGGCGAGTGATCAGGACGTAGCTGGTACCGCAACGGTGTAGAAGCCATTCGCCTTCAACTTGGTGATGTCTGCTGCGCCAATGCCTGTAGTCGTTAGGTGGAGTTGTAATCCTGATCAGAGCAGTGTACCATGGGCTTGGATGCAATCAATGTCGACGATGAAAGCCTGTCAGATGCCCTGTTAGAGATGTCGAAAGAACGGGCTGGAGGAAATCAGCGTACTTCGTCATTGATGTCGTCGCCTGAATCAGAGGCTGGCATGATTGCTGATTATGACGACGCGTGTCAATGCAGATGTCAGAGCCTAGGAAAGGCGAATGGATGGGAGAAGAAGGTAGTTGGGAAGAGGGAGAAGTTCTCAGAGCGAGGTATTTGGGTATACATGAAGTACCTGGGAGTCACGGGGCTCAAATGCTCTACTACAGCACGCCTCGAGTGAACACTAAAACCGCAAGGTAGTCCATTCTCTTACTTCAATAAAGAACATTCCAACCAGCCTTCAGCCATTACAATACACGATGGAGGTAATTCGCTTTTCTTCGTTTTTTTGCTTCCCATTCGACAAGTATAACGAGGTTATAGTACGAAAAGATGAGGAGGTTTCCACCGCACCTGGAATCCTTGATCGCTACCAATCTTCAGCACCAACAATCTCATCCGTACCATCTCGAAGCCCTTCTTCCCTTGCATACCAACGCACTTGTGCTTCGCTCCACCAGTGTCTCTCCTGCGCTTGATTAACCCTTCGCCTCGCCTCGCCTCGTCTCCTTCTTTTCTTTGCCGCACCTATACTTCAAATGAGATAAGATACCCGAGGAGAACAATAGACGCCAATCATGAGAACCTGAGCCATGCGTAGAATCCAAGCCATGAGGGATCCTAAGACTTCGTGAAACTTTTGTTCGTCGTATACATAATAGTAATGGAAAAAAGGCCGGGGCCGAAGAACTGGAACAGTGGGGGGCGTAATATATGCAAAGGAAGAAACAATGGGAGAAGAAATTGAGACCGAGGGGTCGGTATAGTAATGAAAAAGAGAACAGGAAACCCTAATACACCAAAAGGAGAAATAACGGGAATCGCCGCCCCGGGGTCATCAGGGACGACGAATTAAAGGCCACACGGCGACCTTTAGGCGACAGCAGTAGTGGGAGCTGCAGTCGCAACGGGGGCAGCCTCGGTGCTGGCTTCAACCGCGGCGGAGGCAGCGGGGGCAGCGGGAGCGGGGGCAGCAGGAGCCGCAGCGGCGGCCTCGGTGGGCTGCTGGACAGGAGCCGCAGCCTCGTTGTTGGGGCAATCCCGGGAGATGTGGCCGGCCTGGGCGCACTTGTAGCAGACCTTGCCAGCGGAGCTCAAGGGGCCGCCGTTAGGAGCGGTGCAGTCACGGGAGATGTGGCCCTAGATAGACGATTAGGCCAACGGACCTTCAGAGGGCGACGGATCCTTCAGGAGACTTACCAGCTTGCCGCAGGCATAGCACTTCATGGCCTGAGCCTGGCAGTCGCGAGCAAAGTGGTTGGGGCCACCGCACTTGTAGCAAGTGGCAGCACGAGGGTAGCCGCCGTATCCACCGCGGAAACCACCGTTGAAGCCGCCGCGAGGAGCACCGGCACCACGGCCGACACCAGAGGCAGGGGCCGGGCAGTTACGCTGAAACACAATCGGCATTAGCCTGACGTCCAGAACATTACCGAATCGGGGAAAACCGGGGAAATGAACGTACCGCAAGGTGACCGGGCTGGCTGCAGTTGTAGCAACGGCCGTTAGCACCGTTGAGACGCAACGTGGGACAATCGGCCTGAACGTGGCCTAGTCCCTGGCAGTTGTAGCATTGCTTGGCTAAAGAAGAACCGATGAGCCCCTTGTGCACGCTTCTAGAATCGGAATTGGAGACGCTTACTCTCGGTGGTACGAGGACGCGGGCAGCTGCTGGATTCGTGACCTATATCGATGGGGTCAGATCTCTGATGTTTTGCGGGTGATGGGTTGTATGGAGCCTACCAGGCTGCTTGCCTATTGGAGAGATGACATATTAGTATGAGCGCCTTTCACGCACGTCAGGGATAGGGATCACCCACAGTTGTAGCAGAGACGCTCAGACGAAGAGCAGACCTCTACCAACCCCGTCAGTCCAAACCATCCAGCCGCAAATCACTTCTTTTTCTTGTTTTCCACGACTAACCCGCATAGTGGCCAATGTTACCACACTTGTAGCAAGCACGTCGAGACAACAGCATCTTGTCGATCTACCACACCCCGACTCGTCAGCACATTCAATTCATCCATATTGTATATCCATGGCGCAATGAAGATGATCGGAAATGGTCTGTTCCCCGCGTGGACACTGGCGACACAACCCCGCAGACTCATGCGATACAGATCCATGATCGAATTGACGACCCCCGGAGCAACCGACGCTTGACGTGACTGAGGCGAGAAGGCGAAAAAGTCTGGCTGGTGCGCCGGGATCATGTCGGAGCAGATGCAGCAGTGCCCACGAGGGTGTCCAATGACCCAACGAGGACCAGAGAACCACCGACTACCTTGAGGACAGACTCACCCTTCCAGAAACCAACAATAGACTTTCAAATCACCTTGTCGATAGAGCTGTTAGGACGGTCAGCTTGAGCACCTTGGAGGGGAACGACCGATGAACCGCCCACTCTCAAGACTCGAAAAAAGTGGGCTGACAAAGACACGGCGACTAAAACGGGAAGAAAAGAGTCGATGACCATTCAGAGGAAAGACTGAATGACACCGCACACACACACACACACACAGCAAGACAGGAAAATATCCAAAAGACTTACAACAGCACTCCACAGCACACCAATCCCAGAATCCAACGGACAGGAGAACAGAACAGAAGCCGAAGAAGTCGAAGATGCTGGACAGACCACAGAACACCCACAACGGAAAGAAAAAGAACCTCGAGCCGATCGAAACAAGCGATGACGCTAAGCAGTTTTTTTTCCTGGCTGCCGAAAAGGGATTCGTCCCGGGCTTTCCCGTATTGCGTAAGGCTGTGTTGAACCCCCCGGATTGATCGGCCTGAGGCATTCCAGGGTTGACTTCCAAGAATTCAAAAGGTGCTAGGTAGTGTATTATGCTATCAATGCTAATCAATGCCAGACAATATTGTTCTTGTAATCATCCATTACTCTTCCTTCTCAATCACCGCCGGCGCCTTGATCTCCCGGCCCTTCAGGAACTCCAGACCTTCTCCGCCCTGTAGATCATGTTAACATCCGCCGCGCATGAAGAAACCAACCGAGGGAAAGAACTTACGTAGCTGATCAACGGCGACACTTCAACGCCAACCGCCTCATCCTCGGTGACAACCACGCCACCCGCAGCCTCAATCCACCGCTGGCCCTGGTTCATAATGTCCCGCTTGCTGGTGTCCTGGTCGTCCTCGCCCGTGCCCTTGGCGTTCTTCAGCGGCGAGAACTCGTCCTCACGACGCACCTCGATAGAGGCAAACTTCTCCAGGGGAATCATGGGGAAGACGTCGAACACAAACTGCTCCAGCTTGATGCCGTTGGGCTTCTCGGGCTTGAACGCCTCGCCGGTCTCGGGCTTGATGCAGGGGATCTTCTTGCGCGCAACGTGGTGCGGCAGCTGATGGGCCCAGGTCTCGATCGACTCGAAGAACCGGAACGAGTAGTAGTGGTTGACGATGTTGGCGGCGCGGAACTTCAACACGTCCGGCTGCTTGGGGTCCTTGGCCTCGGCCGTCTCCTTGTCAATTTCCGAGTACTCGACCACACCGGGCTTGCCGTTCTTCTGCAGGATCAGACCCACGGACTCGGTCGCGTTCCGCTTGCGCACCACCTTGGTGGCGATGTCCACGTTCTTCGAGGCCGCGAATCCAATGAAGACCGGGTCGGCCACCTTGACCAGGCAGTTATCCACGCAGTAGGTGTGGATGTGCTCAATACCGCGCTTCCGCATATCCTCCCTCACACCCGAGGTCAGGAGGGCCTGGTAGATACCACCGTTGCCATCGGGGGCCACCGCCGCCTGCACCATCGTTAGCATGACCACTAGACCCTTTCCGCGTAAGGAGGACATACCTTGGCCTTGCTCTCCATCAGGATCTTGCCCTCGTTCGAGATGCAAGGCAGAACGCCCTGCTCGAAGATAAACACATTGCTCGGCTGCAATCCAAAGTAGTTGTGCTGTTGGAAGAACTCCTCCGTAGGCTTGCGAGTCGGGCCACTGGTCATCACATACCAAGGGATGACCGCATCCTTACCGGAAGACTTCTTCGCCAGAAGCTGGAGCTTGGCAATGCGCTCGGCCTGGATCTGGAAGAGAGACTTGTGGCTGGGGAGACCGATATCGAAGCAGCCCTTGGGGGCAGAGCTTCCCAGACGGGTTCCTTGGCCACCGGCCATCAGGACGACGGCGACCTTGTTCTGTGCGACCAACTGGAGACCCTCATCGTACCATTGTTGCAGTTCCTTCGGGTCGGAATCCAAGATCGAGGCGGTGGCCACCTCGGGGAGGGGCTCGAGCGAGACGGGGCCTTCCTCAGCTTTGGCGGGGTTGAGGGCTTTATCGGCGAGTTCGTTGATGCGGAGGGGGTCGAAGTTATTCAGCTGATGGAAGAGCTCGGTCTTCTCGGCGGCACTCAGTTCATTGACGAAGGCGAACACCTGGCCTTGTCCGGCGTCGACGTACTTCTTCTGGAGTTGTTCGAATTCTTCGGGGGTAGGTTGACGGAGGGCATTTTCAGAGTGACCCGAGATCTTCCCCATGAGGTTGGAGACGGTGTCTTTAATTGCGGCAGCCATGACAAGCGATCGAGGGCGGGGTATCACAAGTATGTCGGGAGGAGATTCGATATAGACGGGAGAGAGGGGAAAGATGATGGTGTGAAGAGGAGGGGCGGGAAGAAAAGAATTGAAGGTGAGAGAGCGCGGGGTGAAGCTGCTAGGGCAAAGTTGGTTTACTGGTATTTATTTGTACGGAGTACGACGTAGTCGGAGGATCGTCCCCTTAGACTAGCAGAAGAAGAATCCAATGGTTTTGTTGGCCTGATGGTTTATTTATTTTTAGCCCGGAAGCCGAGTGCTAACTAACTAAATCTAGGACACACTAAACACTAGTATAATCCAGTTCTTCCTGCATCAACCGGATCCTCTCCTAAAATTAGGGATAGACGAGAGGCGAGTCCCAAGGTCGGTCACCACTAAAGTCTCGAATTGAGATGTGGCCTGCCAATCAGGGCCATGCGATGGGTGTCTAGCGGGGCCGCCATCGATGAGCCCGTGGGGCGGTGTTTTGGGGCTGGTTTCACCGCTGGAAGCCATCACGCCGATGGTCTGAGGTGGGTACAGTTCAGGAGGGAGTTGTGGTAAAATCGATTCTTCTTCCTGTCTACACCCTCAATGACGTCGTCGCTCCCGATACCGTTCCGTGTCGCGATCATCCCGTCGTCGGTCACGGTCGTAGTACCGGCTGCGGTCCTTGTCCCGGTATGAATCCCTGCGTGGCGGACTCCGACTGTGTGATCGGTCGCGATATCGGCTCCGGTATGAATCACGTCGCGGACTGCGGCTGCCTTTTCGATCGCGACGAGGACCTCTCTGGGGACTGTGGCTGGTCCGCCGCGAATCCCTCTTGTCGAAGACCATGCCATAGTCATCATCATGTTGACGAGGGTTGTCAGACGCCCGATATTGGCGCTTCCTCTCGAGACTGTCCACGCCACCGAATCCTCCTCGTTGACCGCTGCGTTTGGAAATGGTAGCATTGCGCCAGCTGTCGGATAATTTGGATACCTGTGCGACGCATTAGAGACAATCCGGACAAGTATTGGAGACAGGGCGAGCTCACACTCTGGGAGAAATCCACATGTATACGATGGTCATCGATCAAAACACCCTGCATTTTGAAATAGGCCTGCTCACAGTCCTTCTGATTCTCAAACTCAATAAACGCGTACTGTAAACTGTCCCCCGTTCGTTTGTCGCGGATGACTTCGCATGAGAGGATCTTTCCAAACCGACTGAAGATGAGGTGCAGATCGTCGTCTGGTTAGTGTTAGCATCTATGACCGTATAAAACGGACGAAGCATGGAAGGGAACGATGCGCACCTTGCGTGACGGGATTCAATTTGCAGACAAACAGGACATTCTCTGGTGGCTTGACCTCAGCGAAAGGAAGGTCTCCCACCATTTCCAAGGTCAGCGCTTGCGCTCTGGCCTCACGCTCCCTCCGGAGCTTCTCCATAGCCTCTTCATCCATGTTGTCGTCAAGTTCCTCGTCGTCGGCAATCCTGACAGTAGCTAACTGGGCCTTGGACGGTAAAGGACTCTCTGGAGGTACCACGAGACCTTGCGGGTCGTCAAATGGATCGTCGAGGATCACTGTATGGCGGATACGAATGTCCTTAAGCGGTCGGCCTCGATCATCGACGAAAGCATCATTGACCTTTTCAAGGACATCGAATCCCTCAACCACCTTCCCGAAGATCACCGCTTTCCCGTCCAAGTAGTCCAGACTATCTCCCAGCGTAATTATAAACTGACTCGCGGCGATGCGCTGATCAGGGTCAGCCGGCGACGGCACCGTTGCCATGCTGACAGTCCCTCGTTCATCGTGTTTCAACTTCGGCGGGTGTTCCAAGGAGAAGGTTCTCTTCGAAGGACCTTCCAAGAGGCCCCATATCGACGAACCGCCATCGCTTTCCGGGGAGTCGGGTCCCAGGGGATCACCGGTCTGGAAGGTAAAATTTTTCTGGACGCTATGGACGGGCGAAAAGTTGTAATACTTGACTTTGCATAGCTTTAGGAAGCTAGAACGGTAGAACATGGATTGCTTAGTTTCTTGTTCAGCCACGCGACATCGCTCACGAACCCGACGCACAACAGAAGAAGACGGAGATAACGGGCGAAGGAGATAGGAAGACCTACTTCTCACATGCTTTGGGTGACTCATCGACCAGGAGGTCGATGACAATATCGCCTAGAGACGTTTCGAGTAACACGCTCATGGCGCTTCCCACCACCTGCAGGTGATGCGGCGATGATCGACAAGTTGTAGGACAGACAGGACGCAGGGGAAGACCAAAATGGAAAGAAGACGATCGGAGAATCGCAAAGTACGGGCAGATGGGAATAGCTTGACCTCGACCGGGCTGCGGAGGGTGAAGAATGATTGGAGACGACGCTGGAATTGGAATATACTGCCAGGCGGTCAAGAGCCGCTCCGCCAGCCACCACAGTACCTACTACATGGATATGTACTAGACGCGGCGATCTACCTCGCATACAGCAAGCCAACCGGGATGCTAACCCTGGCTTCTTTACCGTTGGGGACGGTCATACTGACCACGCCAAAGAATCAGTTGTGCACTGTCGTGCTTCAATCCCAAGCCAACGCTTTCGAGGAGCTTACTGTCCTCTTTCGGAAGACTGGACCCGGCGCCCCCGTGTAACCGACTGACTTCTGAACTCAACGGCATATCTTCCGGGGGAACCGTTGTCCGCGGAGAACAGAAAAGGGATACTGGGGCTTAGTTGATAGCTCACTGTTTGTTGACGACAGCCGAGCGTCTGGGAAGACTGCTGGCGGTCGACGTACATGGCTTTTGTGCCTCCAAACTACTGGCGGATGAACATCACCCAGTGACCGGGTAACATGGCTACTGCTACATACTTGACCGCTCCGGCTCTTGAAGATGGCCTGGAGGTCGACCTGAGTTGAGCCCGCTGATGTACATCGCCTGTTTGGCCATCCTTCTGGGTTTTGCGAGTTCCACAACAGAGGCGTTAGGATAACGGGCGGTATCCTGCAGCCTCATCCAACAACGGATTCCTCCTCAGTGACAGGATGGAAGTGATCTTTCTCTTTTCGAAATACACGTGGTGGAATATCAACCAAGGCTATCTGTTCTCTCCCCAAGCCAACGAGGTGATGAAGGAGTTTCACTGGCTCTTGGCGCCTGGTGGCTGGCCCTAATTCCAATACCAAGCCCTCCTCAACCAAGCATCATCTTAGGGGATGCTGGCGGAGGAAGCTGTCTTCCACCACATTTTCTGGAGTCCCTTTTCGTCATCCTTTACTCCTTTTGCATCTTCTTCCTTCCTTCTCCCTTCTGCGAGGTTCTAGCCCAGAACTATCCCGACATGATCGTCATTGCGAACCATGGAGCCGGCAGGCCGCTATGTTCGTTGGCTATTGCTGCTATCTTTGAAAGAACTGACCGGGGATGAAACTGTTCCAATCATGACCGAATCTCAGGACGAAACTGTGTTGGCTCGAGCGCCAGTGGCAGTCGATCAACCCTGCCAGCTACGTCAGGCACAATCGTCGAAACCCCTGGCCTTCGTGCATGCCTCATCCTCCCCTGTCATCACAACGTTGCCTTCCCGCCCGATTGGCGGTACTGGCAGTTATAATAGCCCTGTCCTTTTACCCTAATCGGGGTGGCTCCTTTTTCCATTCCAGGGCCCATTGGTCGATCTCGTTTACCTGCCTGGACGATCCCCAATGCCTAATTAATGAAATCGAGCCACGCAGTCCGATGCACAGATGCAGATCCAGCCCGACAACTTGGACAAAAGTTTTAAGCCGGCCCGTCAACACCCAGGACTTTCCCCCTTCAGTCTTAGCTACTAAGCCACATGTGCAGTTCGCTAGGTTTGTCGAAATCTACTTAATCCTGAAAGCGCCAGTGATCGTTGGAAGCTGAGAGGCGGAGTCCTCCCAGTCTTGCCGAGACATCAGTGTAATATTATGAACGACCGCCGTTTGCAAGGGAAAGGGGCCTTTTCGGCGCAGTGCTTTTGTGCAGTCTGGGATCACATCCCCCAAAACGTCCATGATCGTCGTTGGATGGCTCTTGATTTTGAGCACCAGACCTTGTGCCAAAAGTACGACCGAGCTTAGACCGGTCCAAGAAGTTTGTTTGGCATCGAAGGGAGCAAAAAAAGCTAGATCAGTGGCCTATCTATTGCCGCTTTTCTAGTGGCAAACATTCTTTTGAGCCGTTTCCATTTATTGCATCACCCAATAGATAAGTATGATTCTTGGGGTAGCTCGTGCAAACGTAAGGCGGGTTCTCGGCTCAGAGACCGACCTCCATCTGACACTGGTCTCGGTGGCCACTCGATGACCGGGTGTGTTGACATAGAGGACCGTTCTTCCACTACTGAGACAGTCGTGGCAAAGCACACAGAGAATTAGTGCGATATCTTGACAGCTTCATTGGCTGGAACACGGAGTAGTGATTCTCCTCATTCCCAGCTTGGCTCACGGTACTAACTATCTGGTCGTTGAGACCGTGCAACGTTACGTTCTGTGGAACAGAACCTCCTAGCGAAACGCCCGGGGTATTATGGCTATCCTGCCTTTCTCCCAGCGCGCTCTGGGGTCTCCAACCTACATGACCTCTGAATAGAATACATCGCGGAAGACTGCATGCAGGTCACTCGCCTAGTACAGCGAAAGCAAGTATCATCAGGTATCAGAGTGACAACGTGCTTCGAATACCAAAACGGTTTAGGAGGCTTTTCGTGCTCTGCAAAAGCATTTTAAGCAACGCTCTGACCGGTTGAAAAGTCCATTGGCAAGGGACCAAATTTTTCTCGCAAGAAGGCGGAAAAAGAAAACAACCCTGACAAGCAAAGAAGAACTGATACATGTTCTAATATCCGAGCTTTCTTCCGACTCAGACCCCCTCTCGCTCACTCCGGTTCCTTTTTCAGCCTGGAGGTAGTCAGAGTATGTTAAAGACTAGTCATCCCTGATTCATAGGTCTTTTATGTTCCCGACGACCTTGAGAAACCTGCTCGAGCGTTTTTGGACCTGGTTTGACTTTATGTGAGTCTCAGAATGAGGAACAGAGTGTTAATTCCCCCGCTAATGGACCAAGAAATGGCGCATCATTTCTATACCCCAGAGGAAGAGGTCAGCTTCGATCAGCAATCCAAGCGAGATGCGCTTCCTATGTCGCATCCTGGCCGAGGGGACAGTCAGCAGGAGGTCGGAGAGAGAGGCCTCCCCTGTGTCAGCCCTACCCCGGAGCTCGATGGGAAGAATCGAAGTTCAACAAGACGACGTATTCAGGTTGCAGTAAGTACCAGCCCTCTCTACTCGGTATAGCGGCTTACATCCGCAGTGCAATCGATGTCGAAAGCGGAAGATCAAATGCAGCGGTGATATCGGAGACGGACAGGGTTGTTCGAACTGCCGGAGCTCAGGAAATCCCAACTGCCAATTTCTAAGAGTATGTAGCTTGCTTCTATCTGATTGTCTCCTCGCTAATCTCTTCAGGTCAACTCATCAATGTTGCAAACTAAGGTCGGCGTATGGGCTTATCCTACGAATGGCATGTCTCAATCTCAGAGGATGGGCTTGTATACATCCCCGGTGGGCCCCAAGTCAAGAGTTCACGCTGTGAACTCGCAAAGTCTCCGTGGATCTCCATATTCCCGGTCATCCTCATATGACCTGGGATCGACAGATCCCCAGCAATCGTACTCTCGTTCCCCGCTAGTCGAGCATGCGATCAGCTACGAGGACGACTCACCGGCCGGGTACACCTCGCCATCATCCGCCTACATGCTTCCTCATACCTCGCAGCAAGTTTTCGCCGACTACTGCGGGCTTCCATGGACGAAGGCCTGGAGCCCGAACATGAACATGAGTAGGGGCCCTAGCAGCGGGATATTTCCTGAGCACGAGGCCGAAGGCTCGGTACCCCCGTCAGCCTACTCCTACATGTTTCCAGGGGCGCCGTCGACCGATCCGACAATGGCCCTGCTATCCGAAACGCTGGGCACGGACCGGACGCTACCGAATCCCACAACGCGAAACCAGCAGATAGGCCTCAGCACTTTCGCAAGCGTCCCGGACCCCGTCTCTGGCCTGACGCATGCCCAGGACTACAGAGTAGGACAGCACTGGGCGGCCAAGGCGGGTGTCTCAAGCAACGTGCGCTCCATGCAGTCCGGGCCCGGTGGCGCGTTCAGCACGAGTCCGATCAACCGCACCAAGTCCCTGCCGTCCAACACTCAGGACATGGTGTTTGGCTTCATCCCCATGACGTCGACGGGGACCCCGTCTCCGATGATGACCTCGTGCGGAGGATTTACGGGCCTGGACGCCGTGGACGCGGGCGACGAGTTCCGCAACAGTGGCGAGGCGGCGGCGCGGTTGACGCGATCGTACTCGCGGGAGAACGCCAGCAGCCGCCTCCTGTCGCTGAGCGAGTACGGATCGGACATCTACGGGTACAGCAGCACGGAGAGGAAGAAAGGCTCCGACGGGGGCGACTCTGGCGCGGCCGCGACCCTGATCAACGGGCTGCCCTACACGCGCCCAAAGCACCCGGAGCACCCGCTCACCACGGAAGGCATGCCAGGTTTCCCTGAGGCCACAGAGGTACACCGAGCACCGGCCTCCGCTCTGAGTAACCCCGGGGGCTTCTAGCTGGTTGCATGAGAAGCTGCCGCGTGTGTATGTCACCTGGATGCGAGGCCCAACCGTGTCCCTTCCCGATTACTAGATCCGCATTTCCCCTGTCTCCTTGGTTGCTTCTTGTTATTCTGCATGCATTCGGTGGGATTCCACAATCTTCGTGCCCGTGTTTCTGTATTTCCTCCATCCATGTGTTCTACGGCCGCCGCTGGCGCGCCACGAACAACACGAAAATATTACACTAATACTGGGGTAAGTAGAGACCCGGTGGCCGGCCATCTGGCTTCGTCGTAATATCTCGATTTGTGTTTTCTTTCTTCCTCTTCCTTCCTTCTAGATCAGCAGGGTCGGACCGTGGGGGCAGAGCCGTTGGGGTGTAATTTGGTGGCTTATCGGCGTTTTCTTTGTCTGTCTGCAACTGTTGTGTGATGGCGTCTTGTGTGCTTACTATCTGGCTGTAGGTAGAGGGGTGACTGGACCTTTCTTTGTCTGGAGTTGGAGATCGGCCAGAGGGATGGGCTAACTGGCGTGAATATCATTTTGCTGGTGCTTGTTTGCGCCGTAAAGGCGATGGCGCGTTTAGTTTGCATGATGTTCAATAGACCGACAACGGTGTTCTAGCAGTGAAAACAAACCAAATAATAATCCACAACAATAATTCTTTTTCGAAATAAACAAAGAAAGAACCAAACACAAGATACAATGCCAAGAGACACAAAAGAAGGCAACCAGACGTAACCAGGGATCAAGCCCTGTGCCACCTCCAACGTCCTTCTTCCCTTCGACGATAGTCTCCCTTCCCTGTCCCAACCCTCCGGGGGAGATCCATTGGCGCCCCCCTGATCCACGATCCGTTCTGGACGAGCGCATGAGTAACCCAAGGTGATGAAGTCGGGTCACCGGCAGTCGTTCGATATGTACCGTGGCTGGCGTGGGAGTCAGGCCACCGTTGTTCCCCGGGGGGCGCAAAAGGGTATCTCTGCAGGTCCCTCAGGGTACAAGCAGGGCCAGCTCTCGCTGGCAGAGCAGCGAGTGTGGTTACAAGTGGAGCAGCAGACAGAGTGGAAAGAGGAAAAGGACGGGGGCGGGCCTGTCACCGCGGCCACCCACTTGCACACGGGGGGGGGGGGCACTTTGTGCGATGGCTGCGTGGACCGAGGGTGTCACCGTGCTCGAGGTAGCAGATATCTCCTATCCTAGGATAGTATCTTGGGGAGATGTTCTGGAAGTTCATCGGAAGGTGTGTGTTGTACAGACGTGTACCTAGAGACCTACGGAGAGGTAGATAGTACATACTACGTAGGTACTTCCGGCTCGAAGGTAAGTAAAAGAACATTGATTTTTTTTTTTCATCCCATAAACGAACCGCTCCATCTCATGCAAGAGGGCTAGGTACATTATCTCGCTTTTTCGGGGAGGTGATCTGCGTCGTCTTCCATCGTGAGTGTTTGTCTGATCCCCTGTTCGTCAATTTTCCCATCCGGCCCGTTGCATGATAGTCGATAACCGATTTTGCGGACACATAGCAGAACAGCACAAGAGCAAAAAAGATAGAAAACAAGGTAATGTCCCAATATCCGATTTCAAATCTATCATACGCCGAACAGGGGGTTGTCATCCATTTCATTTTGTATCAAGAGCCGAGAAGAGAGAGCAGCGAACACCTCTCCCGGCCCCCGCTAATATTCAGCAGAAAAAGGCCTCCAACATCTTCAGACCAGAAAAGAGACAACAAACCACCATCACCCCGTTCCCGTCATCAGCCACATCACCGCAACCCAGATCATATGCCGAGCGGAGGTGAATGCGTTTAGTTCTTGCTCTTCTTGGGGCCCTTGACCTTGGCGGTACCGCGGAACTTCTTGGAGCGGTTCTTCCGTTGCTTGCCTGTACCCATTGATCAGTATCACTGTCCTGCCCATGACCCATCGTGTCCCCGGGGAGGAAAAGAACGTACGCTGCTGGCGGGAAGCCTTCTCGATCTTGGTGGCAGCACCAATGCGGACCAGACGGTAGTGGGGCTCGAACTTCTTCAGAGCCTCCTGGGAGTCGTAGATGAGAGCGAAACCGGTGCTCTTGCCACCACCGTATTGCGTGCGGAAGCCGAAGACAGAGACCTGTTCCTTGTTGGACTTGTAGAGGTCGGCGAGCTTGTCGCGGAGTTCATCCTTGGAGACGTTGGCACGGTTGGGGTGGAGGACGTCCCTGCAGAGAATTAGAGATCGGCTTTAAAATTGTCTGTTTTCCCATAGCCCATTCAATCCAATCCAATCCACAATGAAAATCCCCCTCTTTCAGCGTCGTGGCTGCCTCTGAAAATACCATCCTCCAAATATAACCAACAGCGAGGAAAGCGAGAAAGCGAAAGCGAAAAGGATCCTTACACGACCATCTGCTTACGGGCAAGCAGGGGGTTGCGGATGAACTTGCGAGTCCGCAGAGTAACGGGAGTGTCGGCCATGATTGCGGGTTGAACTGCTCTGCTCTGCGTCGACGAGGACAGACAAGGAGGGAGACAGGGCGTGTCGTGTCGAAGTCGAAGGCGCGGTCGTTGGCGGGCTCGAAGATTAGACGGACGGAACAATCAATTTTGCTTCCTTTCGTGTGGGCTCGGCTATGGAGGCGCTAGTCCGTTTGTGGTGGGCGGAGTCACGTGACGTACCATACATCCTACAGTACATCCATCCCCGCCATACATACTCCGTATACTACCCACCTGCGACTCTCTTGTATTCTGAGCTATGGAGATCGAGATCGACCTCCTCGCCCGCCAGTATGGGGAGCAGCTCGACCCCTCGCTTCTCACCTTCCCGCCCGCGCGCACCCTCCTCAACCCCGCCGTGCAATCCGCCCTCTACGACCGCATGTTCGACGATGCCACCGTCTGGCCGCAACCGCCGATCTCGTATCAGACCCGGGTGCTGAAGACGCTACTCGCGCGCATGGAGGAAGCGATCCGCGATCCGGAGGAGGATGTATGAACCCATCTGTATGCCCTTGTCGTCCCCTCCCCCGCCCCCCACTCATCAACACATCCAACATGCTCTCCAACATTCAGAAGTGCTAATTGAACACCGAAGGAAATCACAGAAGCTCTGTTAGAAAAATGGACCACCCTCCTCACCCAACCCAAACCAGACCCCCTGGCCCAAGCCCAACAACTCTCCTACATCCGCTACACCGCGCCAACGTCGTTCCCCAGCACGCCCGCGGCGCCCGCCCGCACAATCCTCACCTCCGAAAGCCGCGGGCTCATCCTCGCCGGCGGGACCACAGGCTTCCGCACCTGGGAGGCAGCGCTGCATCTGGGCACGTATCTGAGCACGGAGGCCGGGCGCGCGCTCGTCGCCGGGAAGCGGGTGATCGAGCTCGGGGCGGGGACGGGCTTCCTGTCATTGTTTATGGCCAAGTATCTGTCGCCGGTGCGGGTGGTCGCGACGGATCGGGAGACCGCGCTGATTGAGTGTATGGAGGATTGTGCGCGGCGGAATGGGGTTGCCGTGGCGGAGTCTGATTCTGGGACCGCGCCGGCAGGTGATGGTGGGGTGTTTGAGGCGGGGATTTGGGAGTGGGGGACGCCGTTGGGCCGGCGTGATGAGGATGAACCTGAGGATGTCTTTGACGTTGCGCTCGGGGCGGACTTGGTATGCGTTCCACTGGTCAATGGGTCTGGATCTGCGCTAACTTGGTAGATCTACGACACGGACCTCGTTCCGCTTCTTGTCGAGACGATACGCACCCTCTTCACCACTCACCAGATCCAACAGTTTATCATTGCCGCTACGCTCCGGAATCAGGACACTTTCCAGACTTTTCTGGACGCCTGTGGTGAGTGACGAGGTTCCTGGTATCGTGGAAAGCCAACTGACCCCCGCAGAAAAGAGCCAGCTTGTTACAGAGCGCATTGAATATAGCTCGCCCCCTCCACAGGAACAGACGGGGTTCTTCCATTCGCATTTAATTCCCATTTCAATGTATCGGATCACGAAGGGGCCTAACCCGCTCTAAGGAGTCCATAACTGTATTATATTATGTATTATAGAAAATCGCACGGCGCAGATCCAGGGTATCATGAGTTAAGAGCCAAAGACGCCGCTAAGGAATGAAGTCATCGATCGATCAGTCATCAGCGGTTGTAGCGCTCAATGGAGATGGAATGCAACAAAGGAAATATGCAAAGAATGGTAGTGGGATATATAGCATCATGTAATGAACGTCTCCAAGACAGAGACCACTGTCAAACCGAAAGCCAATCCGTTAGAGAGTCATTCTTCTAAACTCTCCCGGAGTAAACCCTCGTCGATATTTTCCGCATGAACCCGAGCCGGAGCGCGAGGCGGCGGCCGGAAGCCCATGATAGGACCGCTTTGGTTTACTCCTGGGTAGCGGAAACGCAGAGTGGAGCTAGCTTGCGTCTTGGCCTTCATACTCGAGTTCGTTTCTTTTGACGACACTGAAGACGCCGACGAGAGCGAGTCTCTCCTTGGTGTCCGGCCGGGACTATCGGACGGCGTCGGTGCAGTTCCCCAGCGGCCTCGCACCCAACCACCAACACGGCGACCAAGAGACGAAGTCCGAGGCGTCATGACGGTCGACTCGGAATGGGCGGTTTGCATGGTACGGGAAGGAGAGTCTGCGCAGGCGGAGCTGGCCGCCATTGAAGCTAGCAATGATCGGGGAGATTGGTCGAGTTTTGAAGGCTCGCGGTCAGCTGTGATCGGGGTGGTCGCGATCACTGGGACTGAGAATCCGTCCGAACCAGACGACAATATGCGACGAGGGGTCCGGATGGGTAAGGCAGAGGTTACTCCACTCAACCGTGAGGGGTGGTGAGAGGGGGTATGGATGTCCATACCCGCCACGGAGAACAGACTTTCATGAGATGTTTTGCGCATCGACCGATACGGCTGAGCAAAAACATCATCCTCTTCGTTCGGGGCAGGCGAACAAGCTCGCTCTGATGCGGTATATTGTAGAGAAGAATCCTCCTCCTCGGGAATAGCCGGCTGAACTGCCCGGTCTTCAGGATCGCTGTATTCATGGTAGTCAACGAACTCATCGTGGGCGTTATCAGCAATGCCATAGGACAGGCGAGCTTCGAATGATTGGAAGCCGCCATCATATACCGGACTTTTGTGCCGGGTCCCTCGTAAGGGGGATAGAAACACAGTGCTCTCCGGGCTGGTGGCGCGAGACGATTCGAACCCGCGCTCTGCCCGATCGAAAATGGACGACGTGCGATAGGCTGACTGCGGCGAGCTCGCGATCGAATCTGTCGCCGGAGACTGTAAGGACCAAGGACGAGACGTAGGAGGGATCGAGACGGAAGTTTGGGACAAGATAGTGGAGGTGGAAGATGTCGACGACTGGGACCGATGTCTCGTCTTCCGAGACGAAGGTGTCCCCGAGGCCGAGTGCAAAGTAGAGGAATTCCCCAGGGACCGTCTCTTCCTTGTACGACGGAGGGCCGTCGCCTTCTCCTTCCTCAAGCCGACTGGCACCGGCGGAGTGTGATAATGGTGGTGAATATGGAACTCTTGCGATACTCGGCGTGATTCATGCGACTCCAACTCTTGACACAAAGTTGTTCCCCGCTGGTGTTCTGCGTCTCCATCGCCCTCCCCCGTCGACACCAGAGGTTGATGTGATAATATCTGCTCTCGCAGGCTTTGCACCTCCTGATTCGAACTCTCCAGCATTTCCCGCAGCTCCACAATCCCCATCTGTAAATTCGCGTTGTCCTGTAGGATATCGCGGACGAAGCGAGAGACGACGGTTCCCCCTTGATTTCGCGTCAACTCCTGCGCAGCGGCAGCACCTTTCAACCGACCCGCTGCGCCATCAAGCTCCCGTTCAACCGCTCGCCTCCGCTCCATCCGCTGGATCAGGTCGGCATGCCGCTCGCGTTCCTCCCGCGCCTCCTTCTCGATCTGGTCGACTTGGTCATGTAGGTTTCTCAGGGTCGCTTCCGCTTGTTTCCACCGCTGGACAGCAGACTTGGAGCCCTCCTGAGCCAATTGCAACGAATCCTGTAGACGCGATTGTTCATTTTCCATGCGCGCCAGTTGCGCTTCAAGATCGCCTGCGCGCGCAGCCGCAGCCGTCACTTTGCGAAGCTCCGCCTCGGTGCTTTCGAGGCTGGCAGCGAGAGATTTAGCGCGCGAATCCGAATCCGCAACGGCGCGGTTCAGCTCATCCAGCTGCACTAGCAAGCCGCGGTTCTCTTCGATGATGCGAGCATTCTCCTCCTGGACCTGCCGCTTTTCGCGTTCCAGGTTCTCGATACTGGTGAGCAGGTGGTGGCGGTCCTCCTCCGCCTCGGCCATGTAGGATTCATGGCGATGAAGTAGAGCCTGGAGAGAAAAGGTCAGCGAGGAGAAGTTCACGGAAGCATCAGATGCGGCAGCCATGACTGCGAAAGCACAGTGGGATCCGACTGGAAAACTCGAATACAACAGCCATACAAAGGTAACGAAGAAGCCAGATGGCTCTACTCCGCGAACCGGCCGTAACGATGATGAAAGAGGGGCGCTCGGATTCCGGAGCCAAAGCGCTAAACGAAAGTGTACACAAAGAAAGGCTACAGTGAGAGGGATGTCACTGCCCGAATGGAGCCCAAGTATGTATGTACAGAACGGTGGCCCCTTAACACAGGCAGGACTATGGAATTTGTGCATACACCGGTTGATTGACATGTTGACTTCCAAAGACACACTGCGCAGTAGTGGAACGGAACGTACCTGACCCAAGCGTGCAGCGGTTGCGAGGTCCTTCTCTAAGCCCTCGAGAGCAACGTTGTTATGGTGGAGGAATGCGCAGTCATTCCGACCACAGCAACAGCGGAGCGTTGGAGACGCGGCCGAGTGGGTTGGAATGCAGGGGGCCTGGTCTTCAGGACCCGGCTTACGGGCAGCGGATTCCATCGCCAGGATCAGAATGCGACTTTTCCCCAAAGTGAAGGGCGGATGAAGGTGGCATCCCTTGATGGAGAGACGGATGATATCGAAACAGCGAAGCGCCTGGAATGATTTCGGTTGGTGGAGCCACGGAGCTCCGGCCCTTGGGTCTGTATCCACACACCAGTTCCGGGATGAAAGGGCCCGTATATCAGAGACAGAGCCTAGATATCGTGGAGAGGACGTCTCGTCGGTGATTATTGACTCGGTGAATAACGAAGTGAGAAGACAAGAAGTAAAGTGACCGAGCAAGCACATGACCAACATGGAAGGCGGAGAAGCGGAGGGACGTTTCCCCTCTTGGATTGGCCGCCGTCAGCCGTTGCTGCCCGAGCCTCCCCCGAAGTATACAAACAGCAATATATAGTTACAAGACTACAACAATAGAGAGACCTATACTTCAATATATTACTCCAGTAAGACCCGATACCATACCCACAATGCCGGTGCTAGTGAAAGAGAGAACAAGAGGGGAATGTGAGTAACAGTCGACGAAAGAACGTCAGTGCGAGAGATATGAACAGTACCTAGTCTGCATCCGATGCCCAGGGTCTCGCCACAAGGAAGAAAATAACACACTCAGATCCTATGCTGTGACTAGATCAGAGGAGAAAGTCATTGCGCACATTAATAAACGCCCCAGCGCCGCCTTCTTCACTAATCTCGTTGACCAACACTTCCGTCTGTTGGTATAGCCGCTCCAGTGCAGCCGAAGATGATTTACCCAGTGACACTAAGCCGGTTAGCTAGCCTGATCATCCCCCACATATGGGAGTCCAGAAGTAGGGTGGACTTACCTAGAATAGCTGAGTTCAACTCCTCGGCCACGGCGATGCGTCCCGCCGGGTCCAGATAATGCCCATTGACCGACCGTTTTGCGTCAGGATACGCCACCAGCGAGAAGATATCCTCCAACATCTGTCGGTCCCCACCCCGCTCATCGGTCGGATAGTCTAATCGGAGCTGCTGTCCATACTGAACGGCTTCCGTCAGAAGCTCGTGAAACTTGGTGGAGGTCTCTGGCTCTTCCATATCCATGCCGTCGGCCTCGGTGCCCCAGTTCTCTCCATTGTGGAGTTGCTCATCCAGCTCCATCTCCTGATCAAACACCGCGCTGCCATCAGACAGACCGTTGGACGATTTGCCCTTCTTTGACGCCGCCGACGAGAGTTCGTTGCAGCGTCGCATCATCTCCAAGAACTTTCGGCATCGTAGCTTGAAGTGGATGTGCGGGAAGTTGTGCAAAACGTTGGCGTAGTAAGCGTTAGTATATTTAAGAGCCTTATCGATATCTCCGTCGAGGATAGAGGCGCGGATTTCTGAAAAGGTCAGTGGAAGACAAAGAAAAACCGGAAGATGCGGACAACATACTCTGTCGGTTGATCGCCTCGACATCCTCCTCAACTTCGTACTTCTTCAGCGGTTCCTTATGACTACTTTCCAGAGCGGCGGATTCGGCCGCCACCTCTTCAGCAAACGCCCGGGCGGTTCCGACGTAACCATCGTGGGCCAAGAACTGTGCAACCAGCTCTTGCAGCAAGGCCGACTCGTCCAGCGGTGGTTGCAGGCTCGCGGTGCTGGTAGCACGGATCTCGGAATAGATGGATAATTTCTCTTTCTGCAGAGCCTGTCAGCCAGTGTTGCGGGTATCAGGGTCTCCGATCCCGGACTTACCTTGACCATGCCATCGATGTCAAACATGAACGGCTGTTGGCCGAAGTTGGCAGCCAAATGTACGGGCGGCTGCTTCTTCATCCCAACCGACGGATAGACTTTGAGATCTCGCAGTTCTCGGAAGGCATTCCCCAGGAAGACCCCGTTCTTGGTGAAAAAGGCACAGCCCGTCGAAAAGTTCACGCCACATCCCACCGTGTCGTTGGCGCCAAAGGTCGGTCCATATTGTCGCCCTTGACCTTGACTTTCGCCAAAAAAGGACTTCCCATCATCGCCATGGTACGCCCACGATTCCTGCTCCCACCCGGGGAGTCGGTCGACAGCGGCCTTGTTGCTCGAAAACCCGATTCCGATCATCCTGTACGTTGTGTCAGTGGACCGCATGCCTCGGCCATTACTGCCGGTACAGCCGTTGGGGAATATCCTTACCCTTCCTTTGGTTTCGACAAGATTGTAATCTCAAAATAGTAGATGCCACACTGCGGTGGCATGGGGTTGTCCGCTCGGACGGCGGCAGCTTCATGATCGTGTTTGTTGACGGCCCCGGTGTACCGGACTTCCAGTCCTCCGTTCGTGAGCTCGAGTCCCGAGTACTTATCCGAGTCGTTCCAGCGGGAAGGAAGCGGCAGGAGGTGGTCATCGTCGCCGGGGGTCTCCCTTTCGATGATATCATACGTCATGCCGCGATGAGAGGGGGCCATGCGAGGCAGGCTCGCTTGGCTGCTGGAGGTCGAGAGAGGGTTGGAGGCGTGGGAGGAAGAAAAGACATCGCGATGGGAGGCCGCTTTGGCTCGTTGGGCGGCATCCAGACGGGAGATGTATCGCGAGTTGCGGAGATAGGATGGGGTGAAGGACGAACCGGACGCGGCGTCGGAGAAGGTCCCGGGATTCTGAAAAAAAGGATCGGAGCGGGGGAAGCTAGCGTATTTGCGAGAGTAGGGAGGAAGCGCATCGCCGGGCGACGACCTCCAAGGGGAGTTCATCTGCATGTCGGCATCCACGGCGGCGGACCTCGCCAGGCGACCTTCGGGGTGAAAAGGCGGGGGATAGGAAGCGGTGGAGGTGGAGGAGTTGAGCAGTTGGGAAAACGGACGGGGATTATTAGGCGGCGAGAGGGCGGTCCCGGAAAGGACCGAGGCGTAAGAAGAGCGACGAGGGATCGATGAAATGCTAGGGCCGGAGGAGTATGAGGTGGATAGAGGTGGCAGCGGCGGCGGCGGAGGACCAGCTCCCCCTCGAGCTCCACCGGAAGGGGCAAAAGGCGTATCGGCCATAACTATGGTTGTCTTTCTTGCGTCGTCACTTGGTCGCTTTGGGGGGCTCACGCGAGCAGGGGCAGTTCCGAGACGAGAGGAAACACCACCATTTGAACTCGGGAATTTTCTCTTTTGGTTCTTTTTTTCTGTATCCTGTTCTTCTCTCTCTTAACCCGTCGGATGGGCCCTAGGATGGCTCTGGTGGTGATGACGGGTTGGATTTCCGTAAACGGGGGTGGAGTAGCAACCCAACAACGAACCCACCTGCACGATCACCAGCTGGATGGAGTCATGGACATAAGAGATGGAGTGTTCGAGTCGATTAGGAAGAACTCGGGGGGGAAAAAGTCGGGATAAAAAAAGGTGAGATAGGAGAGAACGACTAGACTCGACCCAACGGCTGTCAGCAAGCAACGAAGAAAACAACTTGGAACAGAAACCGTCAGTTGTCCGTGTGACAACGAAAGACAGAAACTGCATGTACTACGGGGGGAAATAGTCACGAGTGCCAGATGAAATGGCCTGACAAGAATGTGGCTGCGGGGGAGGAACCTAGCACGGGGCGCTCTACATATACATCGACATCCCCCGGAGGTTCAGGCAGGAACAGGATCTTTCCCAAGTTGGGAAGTGTCAGATTTGTCTCCAAGGAAAGGAACAGAGACCCACGGATGTCTTGACCAGAACAAAGCCCTAATGATGACTCTATAGTGAATGAATGGATGAATGACTGAATGAATGAACATCCATCCCCTCATGGAACCATCTCGCATCCTGAAACCCCTCCGGCTGATCCCCTGTCTGCTCCTTACCATCGACAGCACCTCGTCCCTCCTAGGCAGGCAGTTCTTCAAGTACATCCGACTCCTTGCGGATACCCCAGTCTTCGTGCTGTATTAACACAGGTTCTCTGGATCACCAACTTCCTCACCACCTACAGTAGGAAGGCACATACTGTATACCTCATACTACGTACCCATGTACCTGTACTTTTTCACAAGGCTTACGCTGCTCACAACACCCAACTGGATAATCTCATCCCAAATCAATTTCTTAATGCATGCATCTATGCTCTCCATCCGAGACATGCCCCGTCAAACCCCAATCCCAGTCTTTGCAACCCCTATTGATACATCAGAAACCAAAGACAAACAAGGCGCAAGAAAACCAATCGAAATTGGTAAAAAAGAAGTGAACGGAGCAAATCAATGCTGCTGTCCCACCCGGATATTGAGAGGGTAAATAGATATGTCAAAGAAATAAGATGAAACCAAGGCCAAACGCCATCCCAGAACGTGCACGATCAAACCTTCCATAGACGCTGAATCCCTGCCGCAAGTAGAACCAATCAAAAGCAAAATGAATAATATACATGAAGGCAATATAAGGATTAGGAACGCATCTATGCGGTCATGGCGATGGCAGGGGACGAGGCCTCGGTGATGTTGGGCGGCGCCGGGGTGAGATCTCCCTCACCCGAATTGCTCTTTTCGCTGGGGACGCCACTGGCGCTCTGGTTGGCCTTGCTGTCGCTGTCGCCCGTTTCGAGAACGCCAGATTTGGTCTCTCCGTTCTCCTCAGCCTGAGGGGGCTTGGGGGACCGCCACGCTGGGAGCTGCCACATCACTCCGGTGAAGCTCTTCAACTGCAGAGGCTTCCGCTCCCATTTGCGACAAGGAGCCCCCGAGCGGTCGAGGGCACGCAAGCCGGCATTGATGGCACCGGTGTTGGCCTTGGGGCCGAGTCGGTGAGAGCTCACGAGTTTGGCGGCGTCGCCAGTTCCGTCATCACTAAAATTCATTCAAGTTAGCATACGACCGATAACAAAGCCGTTGTACAGGAGACGTAGAACATACAGTCTGGGCTTCTTCTTGGGGCCCGGCTTGCCTCGTGACCTCGAGTAGGATTCACCCTGGTTCAGGCCTCTCTTCGCACCCGGCTTGGGACCAGGCACGCCCTTCCGGCGAGGCGTATCCGCCGCCGAGGTGCCGGCCGCAGGAGTGGAGGCCGCATCCGAGGCATTGTCCACCGACGAGGGAGGAACTTGAGGGTCCGCAGAGGAGGCCGGCGAGGAGGGTTCCTCCTTCTTGGCCGGTGACTCTGCGACAGGGTCGTCTTTCTTGACGGTAGGGGTGTTTTTCTTCTTATCCTTGCCTTCTGGGGGAGGCGTAGCGAACTGACTGAGCAGGTCCGGGTTCAGTCTCAGGACGACGATGTTCTTGGAAGCTCCGGCGCGGTTGGAGCGACCGTTGGTGGTCGGGGTGTTAGAGCTGGACGCCGGCATTGTTGGTCCCGATGGTGCAGGGAGAGTATATTTATGTCAACTTCCTGCGAGGATGATGCTGGTGAGGGCAGATGGCGCGGTCGGGCGGGAGTCGGTGAGATGGGAGAAGAGTGTCGGTCGTCGACAGCGTGGCAGTGTTAGGCGGATCTGCTCGTTGATCGGAGGGAGGACGGTGGTGAGGTAGGCAGGAAAGTTAGTTGAGACAGGTAGAGAATAAATGCGATCGTGACGTGAGCGTTTCCTGGTGGGTGGACGGTGTGGAGGGTGGCACCCAAGGGACCCAAGCGGCGACAAGACTTGGTCAGGGCGAGGCAAGAGTTTGACCGAGCTGATGGAGACAGGACAACGGTGACATAGTCCGGGGGTGGTGATGAAATTGGAGATGGGAGAGATGAAGGTGGTGGTGAGGATGGGGGGAGGAGGAAGAAGGGGAAGAAGAGAAAAGAATGGATGGGGGGAGGAAAGGACCAGAAGAAAGGGATGGGGATGTCGAGGCGCCGTGTGGTGGTTTCATTGTTGTGTGTGTGGGTGTGTGTGTGTTCTCGTCTACTACTAATAATTTACTACTACTACTAGGAGAAGGGGGAGGGCGTCGTCTGTAGAGGAAGACGAACGAACGGTAGAGCATCCCGTCTGGGAAGCAGCTGACTCAGCCCGAACGCGTCCCGTACCGTTCCGTACTCGTATTTTATCCTCATCCTCTCTGGCGCTGGATGGTTCGTACTCGTCTCATCCCCGATGGGCCTCGTATCTATCCAGAAATTTTCATGGCAAAAGTTCCATCAGTTCCCGTTAATTGTCTCCTCGGCATGACCTGGCCCGGTCCATCGGATAGGAACAGATGACGCGCTGCTTCACATGAGCAGGCGACGACAAGACAACACCGGGACCCAGGAGATGCACAAAAACTACCTGCCTACCGGGTACATTCTGGACATGAAGGATTCAGCCAGCTTCGATAACGAGATGGTGCAATTCACCTCAGCTGAGAAACGCCAATCCATACCGTACCATACTGGATCCAGACGCAGTGTAACTGGAGATCGTCGATGTGCTGTATCATTTCGCCTACCCTGGCAAGATGGAACCTAAATCATCATCTCGGTGGATGTCCTAAACAAGTCCGGAATCTCCCCTAATTCCCTCTTGGCCCCCTATCACGAAAACGACCCAGAGAAAGGATTCTCCCGCCCGGCTCGCCACATCCGGAATGCGCAGGGAAGAAAAATTCCATCGAGCTAAAAGGTCCAACCTCCGGAGATCCGGCCCTTCCAGTTATCGCCGGAATTTTTCACTCAGTACCTTAGTTCCAGAGTATGGACTCACCGGGAATGAAGGCAGCCGACCACCAAGAGATGAGATGATCATGATCAACAACAAACTCCAAACTAATGCATACTTTTGGGTTGATAGGTATATGAATTATGACGACCCGCTATGATAGATGCAAATCGTGCACGCCAGGATATGCACGCACATAAGTATGGATGGATATACAGCAAACAATGAATAATACTATGGACCCCAATCAATCCCCCTTCTTTTCCCGTTTCTTCCGCTCCATCACCTCCCCAACAGCCTGCTGCACCTCGGGGCTCGCCCGCACACTACTCAACACCAATCCCTCCTTCATCCCCTTCCGGAGCATGGCTGCACCGTCGCGATCACCACGAAACGGCGCGAGTCCCAACTGCAACAGTCGTGTCGCCTCGGCGTCCGTCGTCCGCGACAACTGCACGACCTGGCCCAGTTGTTGCATCGTCTGCGGACGCAGTCGTTCGCTCGTCGCCGACGCAGACCCTTTGCTCACCTCCGGTGGAGTCAGCTGCGAGATGAAGATGTGCAGCGTCACCGAGAACCGTCGGGCAAGGGTCAGGATCTGGAACGGGAGAAGATAGAAACTCGACTGCATGGAGATGCCGAACAGGTCGCGTAGGCCCGGGGGGATGTAAGAGGCCGGGAAAAACAAGGCCCCCGGATGGGTGATCAGAGAGAGTTCCAGTGTAAGCAGCGCCGCGAATGTAAAAAAGCGCCACTATTCAACGACTTCGTTAGTCGCGATCTTCAGAAGAGGGAGAACACCACCTACATAACGTCCCCATTCAGACCACCACACAAAGTTCAGCACAAGAATGGTCAGCAACCCGCCCACGTACTGCGGCATCGTCCGCTGCAGCCCGGCCATCAGGAAGCCCTGCATGGTCTTGCGGTCGCCCCAACCGTTCATGTCCGGCCCAAATCGGTCGTATGCGAACCGCCGCGCCGGGTCCAGCAGCGTATCCTGCGCCAACTTCAAGTATACAAAGTAGTCGTCGGAGGGGCCACCGTGGCCGATCTTATCCGGGTGATGCTGGGCGGCGAGTCGCCGGAATCGAGACTTGATGGTGCGATCGTCAGCTAGCGGCGAAACCCCTAGGGCGCGATAGAAATCGCCCTCCATCTGGACCCGATGGAAGGCCTCGTACAGCGTGTAGAGAAGGTAACTGGTCACCACCAGGATGAAGATGCGCCGGCGATGACGTGCATATCGAGGCGAGGGAGGCTGTGGCCGCGGATCCCCCGCACGGATAGTAATTCCATAGTAAATGTTCTGGACGATTGTGGTGGCATACTGTGCGAGGTTAGTTGCAATGCCTCAGGACGGAAGAGGGTGGGGAGCTCACATTAGGAAGGACAGCCCAGCCCATAAAAGACAGAATCGACGCCATCACGGAGACCGTCTCTTAGCGTCAGACCGCAATCCCACCGACAAGCAGACCGACACCGAGACCGCAATAATCCCACGCGACACTGTCAGTTCCAAGCAATTGACGGGCTGATTGTTGTTCATATCGATATCGGCGGCTCCACGGTGACCGCCCGACCCACCGCCTTCCCCATTCTCCACCTCAGCAAAATGTTAGGAAAAAAAAAGTGAAGTAAAAAAAAAGTGCATCTCAACAATCCGCCAAATCCACCGCATCTTGTCACAACTTCGGCGCCCAATTGCGCCTCCAACCCGCTATGGCCGTCGACGAAATGGACATTGACTCGCAACCCGTCTCGATGGTGCCTGAGACGGACAAGGAGCGCAAGCGCAAACACAAGACGAAAGACACTTCCTCCTCGTCGCCATCTAAGAAGAAGCGGAAGCACGAGTCCAGCGCTGCCGCAGAGCCCGCCAGCCCGCAGGAAAAGAAGCCCAAGAAATCCAAGAACAAGGAAAAGACCAAGTCGGATCGCACCAAGTCTACCAATCCCCAGTCCACCACGGCCTCTAACCCCGCCGACTCGCCATACACCCTCACCACCGCGACTCTCTACCTGCCGCTCTCGCCCATCTCCATCTCGCCCACGCACGCCCTGGCCTCCCTGCTGGCTGAGCACCTGTCGCCCCTCCTCCTCACCTACTACCCGCCGCTGCAAGGCATCGTCCTGGCCTACTCCAACCCGTCGATATCCAGCACGCCGCCGGCATCCTCGCCCGCCGCCGACCCGCAAGACCCCAATCCGCAGCCCCTAACCCTCGCCAAAACCGCCGGCGAATACGGCGTCCTGTACGTCTACCTGACGGCCACGTTCCTGGTGTTCCGGCCGCGCCGCGGCCACATCCTCGAGGGCTGGGTCAACGTACAGTCCGAGGGGTTCCTGGGCGCCGTCGTGCTCAACCTGTTCTCCGTGGGCATCGAGCGCAAACGCCTGCCCTCCAACTGGCGCTGGGTCCCGCCCGGCGAGGAGGCCGATGACACTGACGCCGACAAACCCCTCCGTACCGAGGACGAGGACTCCGAGCCCGCCGCCCCTTTCAACCCGGACAAGGAACACTTCACCCCCGTCTCGTTGGCCTCAGACGCAAACCCGCTCTCCGACATGGCCGCTGCCGACCAAACCGCCGGCGGCGATGACGATGACGCCGTCGCCGAGGGCTACTTCCAGTCTGTGTCGGGGCATCGCGTGCGCGGCACCGTGCGCTTCCGCGTCGTCGATATCGACGTCATTCCGGGCTCGGAGCGCGAGCGCGGCTTCATCAGCATCGAGGGCACGATGTTGTCGCCGGAGGAGGAGGCCAAGGTGCTGGAGGATGAGCGCAACGGCGTGGTGACTTCGTTTGCTACGCCCCGGCCGTCGAAGAGCGCGACGCCGGCGGCGCTGCCTGCGTCGAACTCGGCCGCGGATGCGGAGACGCCGGCTGTGACCGACACCCCCAGCAAGACCAAGACCAAGGAACCGAAGCAGGAGAAGGAGAAGAAGTCCAAGAAGTCGTCCAAGTCGAAGAAGGAGAAATAATCCATCGCGCATACATCTTTGTTCCCAGCTACTGTTTGTCGATGCCATAGACGCTGTCCTTCGTGTTATATATTACTGTTCATGCTTGGCGTTAGGAGAATCAAAATATCTTTTCCAGTCCGAGGTTGGGTGTGGAATGTACTCAAAGTGCCAATATGTATATTCAGAACCATCGAGACAATATATTATCCAGCCCTACGTTTACACGACTATATCCTACTGGCATTTTACATCTTCACGGTCTCAGGCACTCCAACCTTCAACACGTCCGCTCCACTCTGGATCTCCTTTTTGGAAGGCATGTTCTTCCGACGCATGAGCTCCGCACACTTGACCATGATCGGGTCCATGCCCATCGTCGCCACAGCCACAACGGTGTCACCCTTGCAATAGTACGCCGCGAACTTGGCATTCTCCGGTTCGCCCTGCAGCACCAGGTCATCCCAGCCATTGGGGGTGTTCCCGCAGTAGCGCAGCTGCGCACCCACGGCAGACCAGAAGATGGGGACGAACGGCTTGGGCCGCGACGACGGGTGGCAGATGGAGCGGGCGACGGCGCGGCCCATGTTCTGCGCGACGTTCCAATGCTCGATGCGGGTGTAGGTGCCGTCAGCGCCGGGGCCGTGGTACGGGTACGTTGCGATATCGCCGATGGCGAAGACCGAGTCCAGACCGGGGACGACGAAGTGCTCGTCCGTCTTGAGGGAGCCGTCTTTCTCCAGCTGCACGGCGGGGTTGTTCTGGAGGAAGTCGGTTGCGGGACGGACGCCCACGCCGAGGATGACCAGGTCGGCTGGGAGAACGGTGCCGTCTTTGAGGTGCACGGCGCCGACTTTGCTGGCATCCGCGGACGACGGGGTGGCTTTGGCGACGCCGGCCTCGAGCCGGAATTGCACGCCGCCTTTCTCGAGGTTGCCCTGCATGATGCGGCCGACTCGCTCGCCCATGACGCGCTCCATGGGGGCCTTCTCCATGCCCACGATGGTGACGCTGTTCTCCTTCGCGAGCGCGTTGCCGACCTCCATGCCGATGAAGGAGCTGCCGATGATGACGATCTTCTTGTTCTTGTCGCCCACGGCGGCGAGGATGTTCTGCACGTCGGGAATAGTCCGCAGGACGAAGATGTTGCCAAGGTCCTTGAAGCCGTCGAGAGGGAGCGTGCGTGGGACGCCGCCGGTCGCCAGGACCAGCTTGGTGTAGGGGAGCGATTTGCCGGATTTGGTGGCTACGCTCTTCTTGTCGAAGTCGACGGCGGTGACCTCGTCGAAGACCAGATCGATCGAGGCATTGTTGTACCATTCACGCGGACGCCATTCAATCTTCTGTGCATCTGCGATCAGCGCCTTGGAGAGCTTCGTCCGGTCGATAATCAAGTTCGGCTCGCGGGAGATGATGGTGATAGCACCGTTGAATTTCATCTCACGAAGGGCCTGAACAACCCCAAAGGTACCGCTTCCTCTATGACGTTGTTAGCTGGGTGACCGGTATGCAGAGAACCAAAGCCGGTAGGACATACCCTCCAATGACGACGACCTTCTCGGGAGACGTGGCACTGCACTTGATCGCAGGGTCTCTTTGACCCGATTTGATGGCAGACTCCTCGCCCTTGATGTAGACGGCACCGTTCTTCTCGACCACATCAAACGTGCTCAGAGCATTGGGGGCCGGAGCGTCCTCCACGTCACCGGTATGGATGTTGAAACAGGCTGTGGAATCATCAGTCCTAGCTCGTCTGATTTAAAACTACCAGTGAACAACCTACCGCCATGCCAGGGACAGGTGATTCTGCCATCGGGAGCAACCACGCCGTTCTTCAGCGGGGCACCGTAATGGGTACATCTCGGACTCAAGGCGTGGACCTGGCCCTCATACTTCACCAGGAGGACCTTTCCATCCTGGACACCTTCGACCTCGCACTCGATTTTGTCCATGTTCTTGATGTCCGCGAGGGACGAGATGTCTTTCAGACGGTATTCCTGGGCCATTTTAGGCGACTCTGAAGCAGATAGGTTACGAGACGAGGTGGATGAGAAGAACCGAGCTGCAGTCCAGCTGGAGCGTTGTACGATATGCCTGGAGGTGAGGAACCTTGATGAAGGGGAGCGTGGTTGGATTACAGCGGTTGAGAAGGGATGGATACAACAGGTGCAGGAGCAGACGGTGGAACTGCGACACCCACAGCGGCAACGGGAGATGCCCGACGAGGAGGAGATCCGCCTACAAGCGGTCTGGGAGAGAACTGACGATAGGCAGAAGCTCTGGCGTGAGCCGCGTGGGAGGGGTAAGTGCATATAAGCAGAGAATCAGGATCAATGGTACAATTAGTCGGGATGAAGAGAGAAAAGGGATGAAGTGGAAGGAGAAGAGGAAGAAGAGGAAGAATCAGGGAGAGAGCGCAATGACATAACGGTCTGGACGGTCAATTCGATCATTCTGGTCGAGTGAACAATGTCCTGCTTGAAACGACGCATTCAGTAGCAATAACCATGACGTCGCTGGCGGGGGGTTCTCCGCCAATCAACACCCTCTTTTTGTCAGACACAGAGCATTAGGTAATAAGGTACTTTGTAGTTAACTAGATCTATAACAACAGCTGGGTATATCTCTCTCTCCATCAAATCAACAGCCCATATGTACGTAATCACACATCTTGTACAATCATTACAACCCCGATCCCCGCCTTTTCCCCTTGCGACTCGGACTACTAATGCTCACCTCTTTCAACGTCTGCACCCGCGATCCCGTCGACTGCCGGGTCTGACGACGCGTCGAATGATTCTTTTGTACCCAACCAGACCCGCGCGGGAGGGAAGAACGGGTAGAACCCTTGTCACTCACTCCCGGAGAGGCCGGGGGACTATCCTGGGTCAGGTCGACGATATCTCCCGACATGGTCGAAGCGGCGGACGGCTGCGATTCCGGTCCCTTGTTCGTGTCCTCCTGCTGTCCACTTTCCGGCATCTCGCTGACAGGCGAATGCTCTTGCGACGGCGACGGTCTCTTCGCTTCATCACCCGGCTGCGCCGAAGGTGGGGAAGAGAGATACTCATTGGCCGAGACAAAGTCCATGGTAGTGTCGCCCTCCTTCATTCCGAGGCTTTTGGCGCGTGTGGATTGCCGCGTCCGACGTTCTTCGTGTGCCTTGTCAATCTCGTAAAATGGGTTGGGAACGATGGACTGGGAGGAGCTCGGCCGGCTCGGAGTACCACCACCGGATCTCTGGCTTGAAGAGTCATCGTCGCGAGTCTGGCTGAAACGCCTGTTGATCAAATCGCGCAGGGAGACGGCGCCCACCGAGCTGCCATCGGAGCCTAACGCAGGTGAGCTCTGGGGATACATCCCCGAGGGTTGTGGCGTGGACCGACTTTCTTCCGGGCCTGATTCTCGACTTTCCGAATCGCTATCTGAAGAACTGGCGCTTGAACTTGAGTCTAAACTCTCTGAGTCGGAGCCCGAGGACGAGTCTGGCGAATGGAACCCAGAAAATTCGGGCGATTTAACCCTAGGACTAGAATTTCCAACCTCGGACGATATGACACCATCCATAGTCGACACTGCCGGTCCGACCTGCTTGGTAGGAGCCTGAGTGGACGGCTGACCGTCCTGGACATCGTTCCCCGTCGCTTCGTCTCCAGCCAGCTCGGGGCTCTGTGGGGTGTACTCTGCCACAAAGCTGGGACGGGTGAGCGCCTGGACGCTAAAGAGATCGTGAGAAGAAGGAAGGAAATCAATTCACTAACTTGCTAGCATTTTCAGCCTCCCCTGCATCACCAGCACGGAGAAGCTTGGGATCAATCAGGTCGGCGAACGAGAGTTCACGGAAACCATCGTCCTCCTCTTCGTCATCCTCATACCCGGGCATTTCAAACCCACTATATTGGCGGCCGTCTTCTTCGTCTTCGACGTGTCGAGGGCGGCGGCGATACTCCTTGGCGAGTCGCACTTTGGCAACACTTCCCTCAAAAACGTCGTGCACCATGGCCACCCGGTATTCTGATATTGTGGGCTGCCAGTTTGTATCTTTAGACATGTCTAGTGTCTTGAAGGCAATGACTGAGCCTAGCTTCAAGTCACTCTCTTCGAGCGCAGGGACTGAGCCCAGATCAGCAGGCATGGGAGGGAGGTCATCTTCTTCGGTTTTGACCTGCTCATCGCCACCTTGTTCGGCCTCACGATCATCTGCAACATCGTTGAGCTGCTCTGTGTCGTCGTAGTTAAGCTCGGCATTCCCGTTGATGTAACTATCCCCCTCGGTCTCATAATTGTTGCTCTCGCCATCATAAACTGCGAGGCGGTTCCGTCTCTTCCGTTTTGTCCCCCAGCCTTTCCGTTGTCTTATGAGCTGGCTAGCCTCGTAATCCCAACGCTGCTCGAACGGGAAGGGTGGAGTGCTCAGTTCGATGTCGTCGTAGAGACACTCCGTGGCCCGGAGGACCAATTTGTCTTGCCAATTGTTGTCCGAATCACTTTCGGGCGCCGGATCAGCTTCTTCCTCCTGATCACTTTTCCGAGGAACAAAACTATTAACCTTTCCCGCTAATTTCTTCCGGGTCGCTTCCTCATCCTCCTTGGACCGGGGAGTGCGGACGCCAAGTGATCCGAAAAGCAGGCGTCGAGAGCTAGCGATATCCAGAGTGCGTCGCTTCGGCGGAGGGCCTTCCTCAACTTCATCGTCTGCCACGGCCTCAGACTGCTTGGGTTGACCTTCTACAGGATCCGATTCAGCTGGAGGAACGTTTTCCTTCTCCGAGACCGCGTGCACATCCGGCGAGACATCCACGCCCCCCGATTCAAGATCACGGAGCAGTTGTTGCCGCTTGGCCTCGAACGCGGCCTTCTCTTGTTCTTTGAAATCTATATTTGGTTGATACTCGACATCCCGACCAGCGTTGTTTTCTTCCCATCTCCGAAGAGCGGCAAAGTCGGCCTCGGGAGGTAAATATCCTAGTTCTTTGAGCTTTGCCAGCCTTCGGCGCATCTTGTTGCGTTCGTTACTTTTCTTAGTCCGGAGCGACCCGTAGCCAGGGGCGCTAACCCTAGACGTAGAAAGGCTAGAGACACCCTCGTCTTCAGACTCTGACGCAGATGATGCATCCGAGCCAGAACTAGAATCGTCATCACTATCCGAGTCAGATGAAGAATCATCGCTATCAGAATCGGAAGATGAGTCGTTCGAAGAGTCGGAGTCTGTGTTTGCTTCATCAGAGCTGGAGTCGCTAGAATCATTTGCAGACGAGGAACTATCACTGTCGCTATCACTAGACTCAGACGGAGACGCTCCAACTTCGGGTTTCGCGACGGTCGAGGACGCCGCATCCTGCTGACCGAACCTGACTGCCTTCGAGTCTCTCCGAGAAGAGTCTGCATCCGCAGGAGCTCTGGCGAGAGAGCTCTTCCTCGGCGCTGGCGGCTTGACATTGGACTGATGACGCGTTTGATACCGTCCTATAGATGGCTCATCGACCGCGATGTCAGATTCGGGCATGGGAGAGACATTTTCCAAATCGGCTTTGAGATCATTCAGTTCTTCCATGAGGTCACCGTCCTCGATATCGGATATATCAGCCTCGCTTTCTGACTCACGGTCAGCAACATTGTGCCGAATCACCGTGCCATCGCCGGTGTCTTCATGGGCCTCGTGGTAGTCCTCGAGGTCATCTCCCTGGAAAGCATCTCCGTAGCCTCCGTCGTTTTCCTCGCGAATCTGAAGCGCCGACGTCTCCTTCACAGAGGGAGCTCGCGGGGGAGGCGCCCATTCTGTATCTTCCTCGTCATACCCCACTCTATTGTCCCATGATGCAAAGGTTGTACGTCGCTTCTTGCGGGGAGGGATGGTAATTGCGGGTCTCGAGGCTGTCGGTCGCTTCAGGAAGGGTTTTCCAAACGGGACGCCGTCGATCAGGTGTTTGCCGTCAGCGGAAATCTGGTGACGCCCAGACAGACGTCTAGCGCGTAGATCCGAGATCTGAAGAGCGCGGATCCTACAAGAACAAGGCGGTTAGAGCGGTTTGGAGCAACAGCGCGCAAGAAGACGGATGTACAACTTACAAGACTTCGTCCCCATCGCGGAGCAAACCTTCCACCTCCATGAAATGCAGGCATTCCGACCCGCACACCTCGACCACATAGTCCTCCAGCCCCCACTGTCCGCTATACTCATTGTCGAATAAGCCTGGCTCGGTCTCTAAAGGAATGACCTCGTTGACATCCTCCAGTAACTGCGCGATGGTATAGCCGCCCGTCGCATACAGCGCATTTGGGACACGCGACGAGGTGATCGCGGAAGAGGGCGCGGCGAATATGGACGAAGAGCTGCGCGCTTGCTGCTCGAAGAGCGACGGCGGGGATGTTGTCCAGAGAATGCGCGTCACTGGCAGGCCGTGACGTTGGATGGTCAGGTGGAGGCGCATGATGGAATGTTGGGAATTAGTTCCACTCCTCTCGATTCGCCGGGAGGTCCTGGAAGTCAATCATCCGCAGTAAACTGGGAGAAGAAAGCGCTTGGCTTGAGTTGGTATCCGGGAGCTTTGCAGCGTCGGGCGTCGCAGATAGTAGCTCGAGGTCGCGTTGGGGCGCGCGGCTTGATACGGCTTGGATGGGGAAGGCGTGACAGGCACTAATGCAACGAGAGAAATAAACACAGCACGCCAGGACCCCAGTCACAAAGCAATCACACCAACAAATAGCGAATCGGAGAACAACAATACTCGACAAAAGGCGTGTTGCGGTGAGGAACGAAGACCGCCGGTTGGCAATCGTCCCAAAATTGAGCTTGAAGGCGTTGGCCGCTAAACCTGTTTGGTTCTCCCGCCTGAGGCACCAACATAATCCCGTATTACTTTTCGACCATATTACGGGGAATGGGGCACGTCATACATATAACTCCGATAGGCAGGATTATTACGGCATGAATGCGTTCAGTTGCCGCACTGAAGGATATTTATTACTACCGAGGTATCTGGTCCATGATTTATCGTTCGTAAAGACATGAAAATGGAACAACGAAGTGGCCAGGCTTCCAGCCTGGAGTGTGGTATCGAAGAAGGAATTAATAAATACCTGAAAATACCCCATAAACTCCATATATGCAAGCTGTTTTATAACGCAGTCGGACGCTGGGCATTGTCAGGTAACTCTCCTTCGTATTCCGCAGAGGCGAGTAATGGTCATTTCCAGCTAGTATTTCTTGAGTAGTGATCCCAACTGACAGGAATGGGTGTCACAGTTGTTGAATTGGCACCCTGGGAATACGAGGGCAGCTGAGGCAGCCCACCACCGCACTCAGGAACCCCCCGAACTTGGGCTTCGAGGCACTGGCTTGCGATTGGGGACTCCGAGATTCATCGGACGGAAACCCGGGCTGGACGATCTGCGTTCACGCTGACCCTGGGGAGGTTGGAGCTGGCCCTCTTCTGCCACGGACTCATACTGGGGTGGACTATCCTCCATCGGCGGAGGGACCTTGTGGATTTTGAGCACGCTCTGTTGGCGCGCCACAGGGGACGTCGGAGGCGATCCAGAGTGTGACTCTGGTGGAGTTGAGGGAAGCATGTCGAAAGACTCCGAGGACGAGTTGGCGTCACGGTTACCATAGGGTGTCCGGGCTTCAGGATCCTTCCCACGGTAGTCTGACGGCCTTCGATCAGCTCCAGATTCATGGGATCTCCTGGAAGAAGTATCTGGTGGGTTATACTCGCGACGGGGGCCATCCACTGGACTCAGAGTTTCAGCCATCGCGTCCTCATAGCTCGGTGGTGCATCGTCGTAGGTTTCATCGGCGCTGACTGGCACGGGATATAGTGAATGGCCTGCGGCCCCAGATGGTTCCGCGAGACCCGTGGAAGGTCTCGGGGGCATCGGGGGACGTTCACCGCCATCCTCTGTCGGACGCTTGGGCATCGGCGGCGGAATTGTTGGTTTGACGCGTCCCGTTGCGGCCATGGCGTCCAGAAGGGCCTGCGGCGGAGCGATTCCAGAGTAGACCTTGACGGGCATTCTCAAGGGAAGCACAATGAGTTGGGGCTTCGTAAATTAGTTTGCGGTCTCTTCAGAAGGACATGGCGTCACGGCTCACCTTCATATTTCCAACTGTGCCATGGGTTAGGCCCACGCGCACCTCCAACTCGTACGTCCTGGAAATATTGCAAGTTTCAAAAGTGGGTGCCACCGAGCTTGGTAGGGGTATGCGATTCCAGAGATTTGCGTCGAGGGACCATTCCGACCCCGCTGGGTCACCTCCTCGCCCCAGTGGCATGGCCATGTTACTTTGGCTCAGGAGCACCCAACTGCCGCTCTCAGTACGTCGGAGGTCATGGGCGAGAATGTGAGTGTATGATATCAACTCGATCTGCAGCATCTGCAAAAAGATCGTCTCGTAAGATTCGGAGACTTTGCTGACAAGAATGCGTAATGGTATTGGCTCATTGCAAGTGAGGATAGACGGGTTCGGGAGTCGAATATCCGCAGACACTCGAGGACAGTCTCCAGGATCGTGAAGCGAAGCATTGGAGACTTTCTTGAAAAGGGCCTTGGTTCGGGATTGATTGGGCGCATTGACGAATTGATGCTGACGACGCGCATAGGTCTCTTCGTTAGGGTTGCCTGTGCGCGGCGGCTCAATGGGTAGGAAGTTTAGATTGGTGATCTGGTCGGGTGTCAGCATTTTGGAGGTCGTAGCACTGGGGAGCTGCACGTACGGCGCGAAGATTCTCCTTGTAGAACTGCGGCCGGATCACGGTGGCTTTGACATAGTACTTGATATCAGCTTCACCGGGAAAGCCACTTAGCGAAGGGGGTAAAGTCTTCTTGACATGTCGATTTGTATCTCGCGCCATTTCAACCTTGAGCCCAGTAATATTGAGATTGGTAAGCATGCTATTGTGGATGCTGCACGCATTGTTGAAGGGAAACTGGGAGCTTGTGAGTTCTAAAGGCCCCAAACATGGGTCTGGAGAAGGAAGCTACCTTGAACTGAAAAGGATATTCGTATGTGCCCGCAGCAAAGGTGTAGACTGTGGTGGGTTTCTCGGCGTTGAAGACCGCGGGGGTGGGGAACAACGTCAAGACCTTATACAGAAGCTTGTGGACTTCTAACTCGGTCCGCCTCTTATCGGACTGATCATGGTGCGGATGTTTCGGACCTGACAGTCTCGTGCGACTTTCACCTTCGAGCTTGACCTGAATGCCTCCAATGGTGGCTTCGGACGGAAGTTGTAGGATGACTTTGCCCGTGAGGAAGTCGAGATTGGTGAAGTGCGTGTGGGGCCGGTCCAAAGAGATGGACACAGACATGGCGAGAAGCCTGGGTGTGCAGCAAGACGATTGTTGACGGAGTGGATGGAGGAAGAAGACGCCGGCTTAGTATTCTGGGGCTGAGAATAGGCTGATCGGGCGGGAATTCGGCATAATCCGCTGGTATGACGTTGAGTGGAGAGAACGAACGGGAAGAACAGGTGAAAGACTAGGTAGACGTAAGGGAGTGTGACTTCGCTCGGGGGTATCGGTGTCGAGACGGTCGGATTTATAAGATCATCGAGGCGACCATCCTGTAGATTGATGCTGCAGGGCTGGACTGTGAATAAGGGTTGCCTGATGTCGTCTCCGGACGCTGTTTATCGGAGGGGCCCTGCTCAGCCACGATGACATCGACGGCACCGCCACGATCCCAACCCTTTTCGGAACGTCTACACACACTAAGCCCTACAACAGCACAGACAACTCCAGAGTACATCACACAGCAATCATGGAGTCATATCAATTTGTCTGAGAACTAAAACATCGAGCATCAATCTCCCATTCTTTCTGTCCTTCTTCCCTCCTACTCCCGACTGCGCCTGGTACCGGAGCTCAACGGGATCGGATGCTCCATATACGCGCGAATTCGCTCTCGCACCCATGGACTCGGGTCCCCAATGCTGGACACAATGCCCGTCGTCGACCCACCTCCCAGGAGCACCGCAAAGATGCCGCGAAATACGAAGTCTTCATAGGCCGGGTTCGTGATATCAAACGGTTCGGAGCGGATGAACGTGTCCTCCGCCGTTTTCCCCATGAAGGGGAAGGCATCCAAGAACTTCAACTGCAGGATATCCGGGTTGACCTGGTGATAGTCTGATCCAATGCGCGGGTCGCCAAAAATGTAGCTGCCACCGGTACCCCAATGCTGTCGTTCCAAGTCGTCGACCACATCGGTCACCAGCGGGATATGACTCGCAGGGATCTGCCAGGGCATCACCGGAACGGCCATGTTCAGGCTGTACGCCTGGCAGAAATCAAAGAACCGGGCCCACTCGCGGGGCCCATAGCAGTAGCTATTGCCGTATCCGCGATATGTGAAGTCGTCCGCCTCGTACCGATCGATGGCCATGAAGTCCGGCGGGGCCATGTTAATCGCCTGCGTGTCAAACACGCCGAGACTCCTCGTGAATTCGGCGGTCTGAATAGCGTTTTCTCTCGGTTCATTCCCATTATCATAGAGCCAGAACGAGGTACCGACTCCCCACAAATTGATCTGCCAGCCAAACGTAACCTCGGGCGCGACCGTTCGCACGAGCCAGTTAACCGCGAGGATGTAACCCTTGAGGGTATCATCGATGGCGTCGGGGATGTTTGCCTCGACCGCACGATACGTTAGTGCGTTCTGCAATGGCTCACGCACGGGCATAACGAAGTCCGCGGTGATGCCGTCTTGCTGGCACGCACCGATGAAATCAGGATTCACAACGAAGCCCGCAGGAACGGGATGCCGCTCGTCGATAGACCCCCTCGCTATGCCTAACGCCAGGATAAAATTGCCAAAGCTGTGTTCCAACCACAACTCATTTCCAAGTCTGGTTCTTGCGTCGCCAACGGAGAGATTGCAGGTGTAAGAGATCAACACCGGCAAGACCGGGTTTCCGTCATTGAGATCAGCCTCTACCTCCCGTGCCAATTCAATTAGTCTCCGGGTTTGCACATCGTCCGGAAGGTTCACTTCAGGATCGCCGTCACCAGACACACCGGCGTATATGAAGATGGAGGAGGCACGGGCAGACACGAAGTCGGCCCGGTCCGTCGGAACTAGCTTTGTGCAGCCGCCGAAATTGAGGAAATTAGGGAATCCGCGGACCTGCATATTCGCTCCGCGTTGCACTTGCAACTCCAATACTGTGGTACCGTCGGCTGCTACTGTCAACTCTCTCGGTGCCGTTACCGCGTAGACAACACCATCGTGGAAGAACCCGGTCACCTGCACCGAGTAGATTCCTGGGGCCACAGGTACTGCAAACGAACTGCGTCCCGCCTGGACAGGCACTGACTGTGTATAAATTAGACCAGTGGGAGCAGCAGGAGTGGGAGGGTTGGGCCCGGTGGATGCACTGTACTCGATGCGCACAGGAACCAACACAGAAAGGGCGGTGACGTCGGTTCTCACGGCTACGGGAAGCTCCACGAAGCCCGTCGTGTCGATATCGGATACGATCATGTCGGCTTGAGAAAAATTGACTCTTTGTAAGACAGGGGACAGTTGTATCTCCTTCGGCCTCCATGAGCGCCGTATGTTGTTCAATGTAATTGGGTCGAGGCCAACGGTTGCGAATCCATCTGGAGGGATATTGGGGAATCGCATATAACCCCCAGGTCTAACATGGGCACCGGTAAGAATGCCACCTTCTGTGTTTACCGTGATGCCGAGCTCCTCATCAGCCAGATCTGGTATGGGACCGATCACCACATCGATGGTAGCGAAGTGCTCGACGGCACCGTAGATCACATTGAGGGATGTTGTTTCTCCCGTCGAGACGGTGATAGTTCCAGGTGAGACCTGCGCAGTGGCCGTTGTGGTTTGATCAGGCGTACTGAGAGCTGAAGCGGTAACGGTATAGGTCCCCGGGGGCAGGGGGACATTGGTGGTCTCATTCAGCGGCACAGTGACCGGAATAGCCCTTTCGCCTGGAGTAAAGATGAGCTCCTGCTGCTGGTCGGCAAGAGCTGGATCCGGAGCCGCATCGACGCGCACTATGACTGTCCCGTTCACATCAGGTATCGCATCAGTGGCGAATATGAAAGACTCAAGGTAACGGTCTGTGTTATTTGTGATGTCGCCATTGACACCAAAATTGAGAACGTCCTTGCCTCCAGGACCGAAGGTGTGTGGTGTTTCAACGTTGAGACGCATGGTGATGGCGAAGGTATTCGCATCGAGCCTTTCGCTAGAGACCAACTCTTCCGTAACTTCCACCCAGGGATCAGTTTGCGCCCAAAAGGCCAGGCGCTGACCTTCGACAGGCGCAAGAAAAACGACTCCAAGGAAGTTGTTGACAGGCACACCACCACCATTGGTGTAGTGGAGGTTCGTCACGACCACCTGGGCGTAATTCGGGTTCGCCCCGGCTGCAAGTGAGGCGTCATATTCAATTCTCTGTGGCTCAGACATGTTCTTGAAATCAAGATATCTTGAATCTATCGTTTCGAAAGAGACTGTGGAAGTTTTATCAGATAAAGCTTCCAGATTGACTTCAGTCGGGCTTTATCTAGCTGCTCCATGAGTCCATCAACGCCCAATTTATCAGAAGATACTGTCGTATGACTAAAGATGTTGCACTCTTTCCCTCGTAAACCTGCTCTATCTGACGTACGGTGTTCTCCTGACTGAAGCTGTCAGACCCTCAAGCCTAATAACGGTCTATGCAATATCGACCAGAACAATCACGAGCGCTCACAGTAACCTTGGTGACCGCAGGCCGTTCAGCCTTGTGACATTGTACAAGTTGCCACGGCAAGGAACAATATGCAAATATGTAGGTCATTCGAGAAGGATCCCTCCTAGGGACGATTCAGTCTTCGAATTGAGAAACAAAACGGGGCATATGTTGATGCCGCATGACGTACTGTGATATCAAAGCTCAAGACACGTTACAAGATTGAGACGCCACAAACAGGAGATGGTTCTTCATATTCCGTGCGGATGTGACCCAGAGGAGCCCACAGTGGAACCATCTTGAAGGAATTCCTATTCACAAAACCATCAGCTTAGTACATTGCGTCACTTACTAATATTGTCATAGCTCATCATGCTTATTCTTCCGCAATTGAGCTAACACCCAACGGATATCTATCGATGTCATTTGACATGCAGCTTGATTTGGTACACCATCTAAAGTCTCTGCTTCAAAGGAGGTGACTCAGGGTCAAACTCTCGTTGCACCAGTGAAGCAATACCGCCCAAGGATAAAGAATCTTGTAAACATGATGTTGGAAAAGGGGTGATCACAAGAATGGAGTGTGTACACAAAAGTTGCTGGTTAATATTCCGGGCCGTTACGCCGCACAAGATAGAGATATATTGAAAGTCTATGAAGCTGATGACATTTCATATAGGAAGCTACTAACCTAAACAGGAATTCCTGTTAAATCTCTCCAAGAATACAACAGCCAGAACAAGTCCACTAGAACGCGCCTCTACGACAACTCTTTGCTTATTCCTCAGAGCATATATCGGAAATTTGGCGCACGGTCTCCAAGTCTCGCTGCTTCCACGGGATCGAATCGGGAGACATCCATCCGGTCACGCTTCCGATTGATCCTCTGGTACCCGAGACGAAGTATGACAGCCGCAATTATCCCAGCCACGCAGAATCCGAGCTCTAGCGCATGCCCAAGAATATACTTGGGTGCATCCTGTTCACGGTAAAAGTTGGACGCCATGGCTATGTTACCGATAGTCAGCTCTGCACATGTGAACATACTGCATTGAAACGAGGGCCCTTACCGCCAGACAAATTGCCCACCCCGATGTGGATGGCCATCCCAGCGGCGCGCTTGTAGTCACCAGCCAGGTTGACACTGAGCCAAGTGACGTTTCCTGGGAAGGCGGGGTAGATTCCTGCAGATTGTTAATTCACTCTTCATTCCTCACATGGATGACTTGAAATGAAAGGTGACTTGTTTGACGTACCCACTACGGCAAGAAATACGCCGAAATAGACGACTCCCGGGACCCCCCTTCCGCTTGACGCAATCACAATTATGAACCCAATAGCGATCAGAGACATGAAAAAGAGGATGAAAGGTGACCGTTGCCGGCGTCGGTCAGACAGCCACGCCCCACCAACTGCGACTATGGCAGCGGTAATGTAGATGGGTACGGTGAGCAACTGCGCTGTCGAGGAAGTGTATCCCAAACTCTTGATGATAGACGGGAGGAAGAAAGAGACTCCGTACAGTGGACACGTGATGCCCCAGTACACTATGAGTGGAAACCGTTAGCTGAACTGGACCAGTATATGCCCCTTACGTCAGGTAAACATACTAAAAAGGCCAACGTAGATCTGCCAATCCGTCAAAGCGTCCCAAACGTACTTTGAACGGAACTTGCTCGACTCTTTCGCATGTACAGCCTCATCTTCAGGAGCTGACTGTCCAATCTTGGCCTGATTGCGCATCGACCAAATCACCCATTCTCGCTCCTCCTTCGTGAGAAAAGTAGCCTTCTCAGGAGAGTCGTAGATGGCGAACGGGGCGATAAAAGCCACGACGACTGTGAGCAGGCCCTCAAGGATGAAGATCCATCTCCACCCGGCGTATCCGCCCACTCCATCCATTTTCTGCGCACCCCAGGTTATCAATTGCTCTCATGATGAACAGAGGGAGAGAGAAAGAAGCCAACTTACTGCGATCCCATACGCTAGTAAACCGGAGAATGCTCCGGCAATGCTTGCCGCACTAAAGAACAGCGCTTGCCGAAATTGTGCTCGGTGACGTGGGTACCAAAGGGTAATATAATAAGCGGTGCCTGGATACAAACCAGCTTCTGCATGAAGATACCCCAACATATTAGAGAACCATTCAATCATTGGGATGTTTACACGAACCAGCAACGCCTAAGAAGATGCGCGTGATCACGAGTCCAGCGTAATTTTGCACAACCCCCATCAGTGTCTGTAGACGTTAGAACTGATAGGAACGTTTCTAACACAAGCACGGGAAGTACTCGCCATAACAATGCCCCACGAAAGCATGATAATCGGAAGCCATCTAGAAGGCCGTAGTCTCTTCAGAAGTAGATTGCTGGGAAGCTCAAAAGCTGCGTAGGGAAAGAAAAACACCGTCACTGGCAGCAGGGCATATGTATCAGCTCTGACCCTCTAACGTATTCTGGGGACTTACAGGCCATGCTGTACTGATGTCCTGACATATTCAGGTCATCAAGTAGCCCCTCAATCTTCGCATTACCGATGTTACCGCGGTCAAGAAAGGCTAACAAATACAGCAAAGCGAGCATAGGAATCAAATGGATATCCATTTTCCGGAGAATCTTTTTTTCCATTTCTGGAGTAATTTGAGGGGCTGCAATTGCATCGTGGGCTTCATGATCGCTTGAGCTTATGGAGTGTTCGAGATTGGCCTGAGACTGTTTCTCCTCTGTATCGATAGTTGCGCCCATGGTGAAATTGAATGAGTCAAACGTCAAACCGGTCGTGGATCCCAGCCAAATTGACAGGACGCTGGACGATATAAGAGCTGTGTTTATAGGCTTGTGTTCAACCCCAACTCGAAGCCTGGACTGTGGGGTACCCCACACCGTGTAAGCAAGGAGCTAACCCCGCATTCCATCAGCCAAAGACCCTGAGATAGATGGGGTTGTGGCGCAAACCTTCTATGCGTGCCGCCATACTCGGCCAATCTAGCGTGGGCTTCATCCCATGCCCAGAGCGACTAGCTCAGATCATCACGAGGATGCCCAATTATAGGGACTTTCGGTACAGGAATCCAGTACATTACCGAGGCAGAGATATACATAATTTTTGAGGAAGCAGGTTTAGGATGAGCATGGGGATTGGAAGCTGGAAGATGATGCAATTGGAGTCTCGTCGCTACTGTATCGTGAGAAACACTTCGTATGCATCCATACTAGTTCTTAATGCAGCCGTCACTGCACCTGTCAGTTTTCTACCCGATGTATACAATAGATCACTCAGGGATCACATACCAGGACCATTGAATACTATTCTCCGGATGGCTCTCCACACTGCGATAGGTGACTCAAAAGAGGCCACAGGCCAGTAGGCTCGAATGGAGTCCTCGAAAGCCAGTAGGGCATCCTTCTCCGGCGAGTCACGTTGATTTTCAAGTACATTAATTGCCCACTCCGTGATGACGACGCCTAGTAGGAGGGTAAGCTGGTTTTCATGGTTTTCAGCGTCACATCAGAGATAAACATACCACACGGAATAGCTGCCATGGATGACTGATTTCGGCGACTAATAACCCAAGGAATCATCGCCGTTCTTGCAAAGGAAGCCGCCCCGGACAGATCTCCCTCCCGGAGTACGGCGCGCATGGCAAAGAATTGATTCGCCCGCATGAGATTCATTGTCTTTCTGATATCTAGACAGAGCGAGATACGGAGGTAATACGCCGCAGGGTAGCAGAGGTGATTGATGGCCAGGTTCTCGGGGCTGGTGCGGTCGTGCATCTCCCACCATTTATCGAGTGCACGCTGCAAGTACATGTTCATATCGACCGGATCTAGGGTGGCCTCGCGGTGAATCCCATCGATGTAAAGAAGAAGCCCAACGAGAAGGCATAGCGATGCAAGTCCATTGAACGGGCGTGGCTTGCCGAAGAGCAAAGCCTCCACGTTATCTGACCAGCTTCCGGGAAATTTGTGTTGTGGATATTTCCACAGCCCCTGCCACTGCGCTGCAGACCTCGCATTCCAGAGTGTTTCAGACCAGGGGAATTCGATCAGGCTGAACGGAAAGTCGACAACGTTGACTATGGGCTCATAGGCTACTGACCATAGCCCACTGACCACAATAAAACAGAGGATGGACCTGGAGCATGATTAAGTATCAACTCAACATACAATGCACTGGTCTGCGTTAACTCACCTACGATGAGACTCGGCCTCTATGTAGCTGCGCCACATCTCTTCCGCAGTGGACGCTTGATCTACCGAATCCATCGGAGGTCCTAACTCGATGATGCGAGCCAGGCTAATCATACTATCCAGGCTCCCGAGAGTGACATCGCTACCCCGAGACTCGCCCCCTGGTAAGCCAAATACACAATTTAGCAAGAGTGTTATGAAAACCCAAATTGGGATAGCTCCTCCCTGATGTGTGTTCATCTGTTCGGAGTTAGCCTTCTACTGTAGGGAGGTAGTTAGAACAAACACGCACATAATTTGCCACGAGACGACGCGATGCCTCAAAAAGCATCTGCCCCACGGTGGGTTCATCGCAGTACATTGCACCATCGGCAAGAACGCCAATCGCAATTGCTGGTATCTATCAGCGTGTCTGGCTTCATATTTAGTGGGTATTCTACAAACCAGGTATTTCATAGATGTATGACTTTGGGTGTGCAAAAGGGAGGTTCGTGTGGGGTATCTCAAAGAACATGTTCCAATAACGATAAAGCGATTCTGTTTCGGGTATTGGAAAGCGATTAGGGGTACCTTTTCCTGGTGGATTTTCGATACTCTGAGAAGATGAGGATGTCTCATAGGACGGAGATGATCAGAGTGACTACTCACCATCAAACCCTGGACCGCTTTTTCAATCCCTAGCCTGGCAGACTCATTCCGATCTTGTTCAAACAAAGCATCTGTCTGTGGGGTGCATAGACGCAGCGGAGTTGGTAGGCCCGATGTTGAAAGTGGCGAGTGATTCAACGCCGATAGTAGTGACATCAGCTCTAGTCCCGTTGGCAGTTTTAGCCATGGAGGCGTTTCATTGCCGAGAGGGCTACGACTGGGAGCTTCCCTCGGTAGGTCATGATACTCGTTTGGGACAAAAGGAGATGGGGCCTCTGAAGCTGCGAGAGGAGCTTCCATATGTGGCTGCACATCTTCTCCGACAGGTGGCGGTGACGGGGGAGAAAGACCGGTATGCTCGACGATTTCAGGCAATGGAAGAATTGATGTCACGCCGTGCCGAGTCCGCTGATGGCGATCATGCAGCTCTTTCCGCGAGAAGCTCTCCCCACACTCCCTGCATCGAAACGGTTTCTCTTTCGTGTCTAGATATTGACCTGCTCAGCCCTGTCAAACAAAGAATGTAGAGATCGAGACATACGCCTTCTCACGTGGCGTTTCAAATGCTCGGATCGTTTGAAGCTGGCGCCACAGTATGAACATCGGTGGGGACGAGGCGTGCTTGACATGGTAGAAGTTGTTGATGGAGTGTTTGGGGTTGATGATAAGAGTTGGGGTCTGGTACTAAATAATATGGTGGGAATTTTGCGGGGCAGCCGGCCATTACCTAATGGATGTATACCATTCGTATACGTACATTCTTTAGTGCTCACTTTGTGCCTATCTTATCAATTATATTAAATTCATTACATTTGTCAAATATAGGGACCACTGCTATTATACGTCAACCTCTATGACATACATCAGGGCACTACCACGGGGTGTCTTCATGCTGCGGGATTCCACTATATGATCATGCACAAAATAGGTGCTGTAGTAGTCCTTCCCATCTTCCTGGAACTCCGGTCCCCAAATATAAGGACCACTAGTTAGGAGTATGCGTCGTAGATCCGTGATCGACAGTACACGACCAAGCTCTTCGCGAAGCCGTGAAACCGTAACTGTACCGTCCTGCGGCCGCAGCACAAACATGATCTCCCACCCGTGCCGATTGACTTGGAGTCTCTCGGTATCTGAAGGCTCCCGAACTGCCCACCCGACATGCATCGGCGTACCAAAGCCCCTGGTACCTCCAGGAGATGTCGTCGACAGGTCAGAAGGCTGTCTTTTGTCAAAGGCATCACGTTCCCTGATGAAGGCCCGTCGAGTGAAGCAAAATCCACATTCTGGGATATGGGATGTGACGAGCTGCATTTCGAGCTCGGCGCCTTCGAAAAGACAAGTATGATGGACGTTGGTTTCTGGGTTTCTCGTCCGAAACCAATAGACGTCATTCTCCCGCAAGAGCCCCGGCAGCATGCGCACGAGCTCCTCGTAGAGGAGACGTCGGCTGGCACATCGGTGGGTTACCTCGACGGAGTACATCTCTCCCTCGCCGTGAATGATGCAATTGGCGATATTCACGACGGGAAAGGAAAACTGGTGGTCCACCCTGACCCCTAGTCACCCTGATATTCAGTCACATTGTGGGGTAATGGGGATGATTTGTGGGAGAACCCACCGTTGGGCAAACGGACCACCATTCGCATGACTGCTCGTTCATCGTTCGGATAATATTGCGGCAACCGGTCGACAAGGGGCGACGATCCGCTGTTCTGGTAAGGCGCCACAGGCGTGTGCATGTCCATTCCTGCGAAATTTGGGGACTGAGCAGCCCCAAAGATTAGTATCCCCTCAGTTTTATTGACAGACCCCAACCGGGTGGGGTTGGCCGTCGAGTTGGGGTTGGTTTGTTTCCTCGGCTTTTGCTTTGTGGGGGATCAGCGGGTGACTAAGACCCCAATATAAATTGCATGACACACGCCATTGTTGCACATCATCTATGTCCTAGAACCTTCATTTTCACATCAAACTACATCACCATGGGGTCTCTGTCGTCCTGGAGCCAACCCAATATCTCCAGCCGACCCGTCACCGTGATAGGCGGCGGCGTTCTTGGCCGCCGCCTATGCATGATGTGGGCAGCCGCTGGCCACAACGTGATACTGCACGAGAAGCAGCTGCACGTTGTTCAGGCTGCGATGAGCTATATCGAAGATGCAATTACGTCTCAGATAGGACGTCTTGGTCGCAAAGCGCGCGGAACAGTCACACCGATTCAGGACTTCGGGAATGCGGTGCAGGATGCATGGATGGTCATTGAAGCCATTCCTGAGATTCTCGAGCTCAAAATCGATCTCTTCGCCGAACTGGATCGACTTACCCGCTCAGACTGCATCCTCGCAACCAATTCCTCTTCTTACCGTTCTCGTGAGATCGCGGAACGTGTCGTCAAGAAATACCGCGTGTGCAACACCCACTACTACATGCCCCCGGAGAAGAATTATGTCGAGGTTATGACTTGCGGCGAAACGGACCACACTTTAATTGAATTCCTAAAGGAACAAGCCACAAAATCAGGGTTTGTTGCCATCCACGCCAAGGTTGAATCAACCGGTTTGATCTTCAATCGAGTGTGGGCGGCTATCAAACGGGAATGCCTGCAAGTCATGGCTGAGGGCGTGGGGACACCGCAAGATATTGATCTGATGTTCAAGGGGTGGTTCCATGCGGAGATTGGACCTTCGGAGATGATGGACCATGTTGGTCTGGACACAGTGTATAACATTGAGAAGCATTATATAGAGGAGCGAGGACTTGACTCTCGACCGAATGAGTGGCTGAAGGAACACTATATAGACCAAGGCAATCTTGGGTACAAGTCCGGAAAGGGCTTGACTTTGACTTGAAACACCTAGTAATCAATGATGTAGTGCATTTGATTCTGGTCACTAGAAAATATTAGGAGAATTGCAGACAAAATGACTGACCGACACTGGCCATCATGTACTATCATTCGCCATGTGGTCTGCATTCAGTATAGCTATTCATATGGAACATATTATCCAAAAGTATAAGACCAGCATAGTCTATGGAGATAAAGCAACAGCTAGGTAATTTGTTGGTTTTATCTTCTGTTTACCTAGAATCACAATATCGCATTATCGCCGTGGCGACCAGACGTACCACTTCATTATCCTCCGCTCTGTCATGTTTTATCTTTTTCCAATCCGTGACTGATGTCTCTTTCCTCCACTTAAGCCATGTTTACTGACTAATTCAGTCTCATATCAGCACTACTTAACAAAGGTTGACCTTGTCTTCTTCGGTACCGACTTCCCACTGCCCATTACTTCGCATTATACTGACACTATTTCCTAGAGCCTACCTTATATTCGAGCTGCTTATGATGGCACACAACCAAAACAGAAACGCAAAGGGCCAGAAAATTCCCCGAGCCCGGCGACAGGCTGCTCATCGCCCGAAACGTGACGGATACGCAAACAATCAGCGTCAGGCCCAACAGGCTTCCTCTTTCCCCCGCCGGGCCCAGATTGACCCTCCCAGCCATGAGATAAACATGCGAGTTGGGGTGTTGAACCAACCGGACCTGACTCCGATCCTTCGCGAACAGCCTGGCAGGATCCGGGAACAGTGGATAGAGTACCCCATGCAGACCACGGAGAATGCATCGCCTCTTTTTGTCCCGAAAACCCCAACCTCGGCTTTCAACACACATATCGAGCACATTTCGCAAGAAGCTTCAGACCGTCGCAGAAGCCCTCCGTCCCTCGGTGCTGCCATCCAGCACCTGACTCAGATAGCTCATAACAATGACGACAACGCAAACATCGCAGCTCATCTCGAGGAGAACAGCACTGCCCAGAGAACTTTTGGAGATCACAGTGTTCATGGAGAATCTTGTTCGTGGGTCGATACTGCGGTCACGGTTATCACCCAGGGTTACGAAGACGAAATGGAACATCGGAAGACGATACACATTATGAGGACGTTCATCGACGCAATGCAGATCACTCATAACGCCCTTCTTGTCCGATCTCCTTACCAAAATGCCATTCAGGTTGTGCAGGCGATGATCGAGCAGAATGCGAGTGACCAGGGAGGGAAGGCATTTGTTGAATCCGAGCTTGAGGCAACCTTGCGCAGACTTCAGAACAGTTAGCCCTCTTCCGTCGGTGTTCATGCCCTGACAGTTTTGCGTCTTCACTGGCGGCATTCACTAGTGCCCTATGCTTCGGAGATGTTGTCTTGGGCCAAGTGATCGAAGGAGGGTTGGTGAATTCAGAAGCAAGTGTTTTCGGGGGTCATACATATGCTCTTCTATTCAACGTCGCGCACAAATTCTTTAATGTACAATATGATGGAAATTTGCGGTATGATTTTCTTCGTGAATAAGGATGGATTTTCTGTCAAGTCTTACGGGATATCTTTGGTGGAGGTGATGTTCCAAGCATCAAGATCAGGCTCTTTGAACTCTTTCCAACTATGAAATGTTGGTTTACTGCGATCCTCATCATAGCCCTTCTTTCGCCAGCATATCTGTAACTGGTCAGCAGATTCCATAACTAGGGCTGGAGCTAGACATACCTGCAATCGCCAGATAAAAAGCAATCGCATTGAACCTGATTCGACGATTGTCAGACAGATATCCTGGTGAAGTTTGTATGGTTACGTTCACTAACCTTTTCTTATTCCCGGTAATCTCTCCCATCCACCACTTCAATCGATTGCTCCAATTGATTAGATCCAGGTGGCTCACATCAACCAGAGTCCCTTTGTACCCGTTACTTCCTCCCCAACGACTACTAGCCACGCTGACGAGTCCATCATTGTGGCCCTCAAGACGTTGAAGAATCCGATGGGATAGACGAAAAACGGAATACCAATTTGGCTCCATAGATGCCCCGTATGAAAAGTACCTGCCTGGACTCAGCTGAGAGGCCATTGGTTCTAGCACAGGGTCATACAGACCGGACATCATCAACATCAGGGGTGTTAGGATTGAAGGTATTCTCCATGTAATCACGCGTTAATTGGCCAAATGCACCCGTTTCGACCTTCAGTTGGTCGAGCGCATAATAGACCTGTGCGAGGCGATCGTCTGTAGCCAGGCAGTAAGCTCTCTGTGCATTCAAGGAAAGTAGTTATTGACAGACCGCCAAGCTTATCGAACACGTAATCGGCAACAGAAGATCCTGTATCATTCTCAGCCAATCTTCTTTGAACTGTGTGGCATCATACCTCGATGGGGCGTCGCAATAGTCGTTAAGGATAGCACTTTGAAATCCGTCGGCCTCAATCGGCTAATCATATATCGAGAATCAAGCCCCCTTGGACATTGGATTAACATGAAGATCGTGTCATGGGGGTGCGTTATCTTTCTATATCTCACCCCTGAAACTCTGTGAGTAAAACGCGAGTTACAGAGCATACTCGATGGACATACCATGCTATGTCTGTAATTTTGTTAGATAGGGAGCAAATATCAAATTGAACAAGAGACCTACGCTATGATATTTACGTGCTCTCCCCGAGCCCCGTCAGCAATGTCTTTCGCAAGCTCCTCCGCCCGCATCTCTATCGATGCTGAAGGTGGGACTGTGGCCGTAATAACCTGGACGCCTTTCATTGACAATGCTTCTTTAATCCCGCGCCAATACTGAATGCCAGGTAGATAAGCGCCTCCAAGACGAAGCTCATCAAATCCTAGCAGCCCATGCGCGAGCACGATGGGGTGCTTGGGTGTATCTACAGAGACTCATTAGACAAGCAAGCCAATAATAATTAGGTGGAGTGGAGGTATTAAGCCGTTGTTTTTACTGAGGAAGAATAGTGAAACCAACCGTAGTGCTCTCGTATCACCGCATATTCGTCTTTGATGACTTTCCCTAGGTCTTCTAGACGCGGGTCAAGTGGGCTAAAATCTCGCCGTGCGCGCTGGCTATACTCTCGACGAGGTAGAATAATCGTGCTTCCGTTAAGGCTCCGCCGGCTGCAAAGTCGCGTTGCCGCATGGAGTCCCTGATGGGGTGGAATGTGATTCATAGGACGAAGGGAATAAGGTACAGGATCGCTGAGTCTAGACTGTCGTTCGGTATAGAAATCTCTATGTCAACAACGATCGAGGGATGTTGGAACATGGCACCATGCCCAATGACGCAACTCTAGGGAGGACAGATATGACTAACCCTATTTGGGCTCTACTATACCCTTTCCAGATAAGGCAAGTATACATACCGAGAATCATACAAAATGTCTTCTCTCTGTCTTTTTCATATACTACTATGTTTCCTTTCTAATCACTATCAATCTATGCACTCTAGGTGACAGAGCCTGATATTTTACTTAGGAAGACTAATCACCTTTGTGCTCACTGCCCTCTCGGACGAGCATATACCCATCCAAAAGATCCACCCCACCCTCAAGTCTCGGTTGGACAAAACACGCATGAAAATGCGCTGCAGCTATAGTAAAAGCTTTTATAATTAGCCCTGAGCCCACCCATGTGATGGAAAAGGGGGTGGGATTGTCCATAGCGCGATCATGTTGACCCCACGGGTACGGCGAATCCACCACCAGACTCTTCCAAATGGCATTTACCAGGCAGGTGCGCCCTGTCTGGAAGACCAAATAATGGACCAGATAGAGCGGAAAGGCGATGGATCCCAAGTACTGCGCAGAACGCGAGTTAATCGGTCGCTGCAGCCGAGGCAAGCCGCTAATCGCAAAGACCACGAGGACAGAGATAGCTGGGCCGCAGAAAGGTTGGAAGACCTGACTCTTGTTCGGGGAACTGCAGTTGAAATATGAAAGAGACCAAAATTGTTATTGAGAGCCTATGTGATAGCTCTGCAAGGCGTAGAATTGTATTCTCCAGTGCAGACAGCTCCATTCACATCTCCCGAACCTCACTACAGATCTACAAAGCTTTGTGAGAAGTCCAGCTGCTGCACTTCACAAGCACAGTTCTTTTCTCTGGTTATTCAGCCGGTCGATTATTTGTCTATTAATGCCACTGAGCGCATTCAACTAGGATACCTATCACAGTGATATATTCTGTGCTTATCCACCTACCTATCTACCTATGATGTATCTATATCCCTGGCAATCGCGCTGTAAACGAGCGTAACACTGACATCTGGTTTGTAGGTTGCGCAATTATGCCCTTCACAGTTTGTGAACCCAGGAATCATACTTTAGTGCAGCCGACTGTTCTTTTCGGTAAATCATTCTTGAAATCCACCTGCCCATTTACTAACTCATTGAAGATAAGACCTACTCTGACTGCTGTTTGATCGCTCAGAATAGTGCCAATTAGTGTCCATATGACTTCGTGCTGCTTGCATAGTGGATAATAATGGGTAATAATTTTAGATCAGATCCATCGTGAAGTGTATGGATTCATCATGTAATGGGGAAATGAAATGTGCGTATGTCTCCGATCTCGGAGAGCGACACCGTTGAAGACATTTAGCTTGTCATCATAACCGGGTTAGATAAGACTAGTCTAATATGCCTACAGCCCTGGCCAGGAAGACCAACGCCTTCACGCGTAGAAGAATGCGCCGAAGTCGAAAAGTGAAGAGGACTATATTCACAGCTCAAAACAAAATTCAAACATGTACGTTGCTCCGGAAAAAGTAACCCTCTCTATGCTTTGGTCACAATCTTCTCTGAGGGCTCAGGCTTCACATCAGTCAGCGCATGAATGAGGTCGTCCACGACCTTGCTGCCCTTCTCCTTGCCGGCCTTCTGAATTTCCTGCAGCTTCACCTCGGCTTCCTTGTTTGCGTCTTCCTCGGCCTTCTTGTATCCACTCGAGTGCTAGAGCGGCAGTTTTGTCAGTTTAGGACGAAACATGACTGCGGCGTCGGAGCTCACCTCGGCCTCGAACTTCTTAAACTCCTCCTCCTTCTGCGTTCTGTATTCTTCGATTTCCTTTTGCGCCTCCGACTTGGCGTCTCTTACTCGCTTCGTCCGGTCTGCAGGCAGAGATTAGGGTCCGTCTCTGCTCGGGTGGAAGGGAATCATACATTCTCTAGCTACAGGCGCAGCATGTCAGTATACGCAGATAGAGACTGAAGGAGAACAGGGGGGAACGGACCTTGTTGAACAATCTTCTGAGCCTCTCTCTCGGCCTACCAACAGATTGTCAATTCGTGAACAAGTCCCAGAAGCTAGTACTACCTACATCGAGGAGGGTCTGAATGCCTGCGGAGTTCTGAGCGGACTATAGGACAAGCTGTTAGCACGAGAGGAGGTCGCATAGCTGAACCGGATAGAGCTTTACCATGTTTGCCAGTGAGCCCTCTTAAAAGCGGTGAGGTAGATTCGACGAGGGCGTGAAAGGGACGTAGACAGAAGACAGATAAGGTGGAGTCGTGGAGCTTGTGATGCACCAGCGGCCGTCCCATCTCCGCGACGCCACGAATGATGAATGACCCCCTGGGCGGTCGGGGATTCTGCCGCCCGTCACCGCCGCAGATATGATCATCACCGATGCTCCGATGGGGGATTCCGTATTTGCTCCGGACGTCCTTTGCATTAGGCCAATTTCCCGGTTTCTTCACGGCCCAGCCCATTTTGTTTCCTGTTTCTACTAGCATACAATGTCACGCGCTTCAAAACTGACGTTAGCCGCCACCGGTCTCGGTACAGCGGGTATAATCTACTTTGTCCACTGGGCACAGGAACAAGAGAAAGCGGTAGGTGGACCGATCTGTTGAAAGAGGACTGTGCTAACAAGTGTGCTATTCCCAAATAGTCCATGCACAAAGGCGTCGAGCGAGATATGGAAAAGCAACGGATCCGACAGGAGCGTCAGGCCGAGTTCGAAATGCAGAAGCGCCTCGAAGAAGAATACAGGAAACTTCAGCACGTTTCGCCCAGTGCCGATGGACAAGGAGGCGGAGGAAATCGTCAAACACAAGGTTCATAGCGACTCCGAAACGAATAGTTGCATCCTAGGGTGATTGGCCGTTATGCATACCCTGTGCCTGTAAGACCACAACTTCCCGCTGCGCTTGACATTGACCTGACGATTCATCCAGTCTGTCATAACTCAATCGCCTTGAAAATAGATGATGTTGTGTACGATATACCCGGCATGTACAATATACGATTGATGCATTTGTTATCCTGTTTTTGCCGAAGGAGATGCTGCACCTCCAATCTTTTCGCGGGCCTAGACATCCACCTCGGCGTCGCATGATTATGCATTAATCTACCACAATAGACCCGTATACAGAGTTAGACCATCTCGAATTGCATGCGACCTAGTGCAGTGTCCAACCCCAGGTTGTATCAAGAGCTCAAGGTGAGCGCATCGACGCTATAAGCGTCCAATAGTGTTAGAGGGCAGGGAACCAGGTGACTCTGGTTGAAACCATACGCCTCACCGACTCTTCGAATCGATGCACTTGGACGTAGACAGTGTCCGCAGAAGGTATCGCTGCCAACGAGAGGCATGTAGGTGCTGATGTATGATAGTCACCTGGACACACATAAAAGCAGGCCGGCTATTATCGGAGGCCGGCAGAATTCCGGCCTCTTGGCGCTAAGAAAGCCTATTTACGCTCCGATCCGGAGCTTACAGCCAATCAATGGGCTGGATGTAACGTCAGCAGTCTTGGCGCATGGTGAGATATAAAGCACTCAATAGAAGGATGCCGCAGCGTTCAGCGCAATATTACCGCGAAATTGGGAGTTATAGGGGCATAGCTGAACCTCAATAGTATTATAGACATGTGTCTATTATATGGACATATTTTTCTATGCCCCACTCGCAGATAATAGGGAAAATACGTTAGGGGTGCCGCCATTGCCGTTACCGGATTAGGCATAGCGTGTCCCCGTGATGCTGGTCAGCCCTGACCCGCCAAGGCTCGATATAGATCGCATCTCGATAGCTTCCTGTATACAGATCGAGGAGGAATGGGCCTGGGGATGGCCATTTATCCTCAAGGAGCTTCAATATTTTGCTCGTGGAAGCTACCCGAACTAATCTGATGAAGTTGCATCCAGAAAGCTAGTCTCCACGCGCTTTCTCCATCTCTTTCGTAATGGCGCCTTTGAGGCCGGAATTGATACCGGCCTCACAATGTTATAAGAAGCTCGTCGATTCCCGCCCAATTCCCTCCTTCCATCTGATCACCAAGGAACCAAAAGGCCCCAAATCCTCTTTCTAACTTTTTCTTCTTCCATCACGCCTCACAACCCGGCTTTTATTGCCTTTGTCACTTCTTGATCTCCTTTTGCCTTCCATCCTCCCACGTAGTATTAGACCCCTTCTACCTTTTCCTTATTGCCTTGTTGCACCATGACCCAGACCAAAGCCCCTCCTGCTTCTACTACCACCTTGAAGCGTTTCCCTCACATCCATGATGACCCTGCTCAACTCCCTCGGTCCTTGGACCCCTTCACCATCACCACTTCCACCGGCTTCCTGCCATTCATCATGTCTCCCACCAAGCTGCCCGATGCCTTCCAGCCTCTGATGTCCTTACTTGACCGTCTTCCCGTTGTCAAGGCTGATGGAACCCCAGGCCTCTTGGCTACCTATGAGCTGGGGCCTGCTGTCGAGGCTGAGCTACCCGACCTGACTGCTGAGGTGGATAAGCTGGTCACTGCTGATGGTTCTCCTGACCTCTATGCTGTCACTGCTGTCTTCCGGGATTACTCTTTCCTGGCTTCTTCTTACTTGCTTGAGCCCTGCTGGGAGAACTGGACCAAGAACCCCGAGAATGGATACGGCCTGGGAAGAGACTTCCTTCCTAGGGCCGTGGCTTGTCCCATGTACCGTTGTGCTCAACTGTAAGAAACCCCAACCCTACCCAGCTTCTTTAATGTATACTCATGCTTATTAACTCCCACTCAGCCTGGACATCCCTCCCTTCATGTCTTACGCTGCCGCGTACTCCCTCTTCAACTACACTCTTGAGGATCCTTCCAAGGGCCTGGTCTACTCGAACCTCCGCCTTGTCCGAGCATTTGAACGTGGCCTTGACCCCAAGAGCTCCGAGGCAGGGTTCATCCTCACTCATGTCGACATGGTCAAGGAATCCAACCACCTGATCAGCGGAGCTGTTAAGGTCGTCGACACCCTTGAACTTGGAGGCCCTCGTTCTGATGTGAATGATGGGTTCCGTGAGATCCTCACCGCGATGGAGAAGATTGAAGCTTCCATGGAAGGTATCCAGGCGCCCTTTCTTTCTCATTCCCCTTACATCAACATAAGCTAACACTCCCCAGACATGTGGGCCAACTCTAAGCCCAGTGAATACCTTTCCTTCCGTGTCTTCATCTTCGGAATCACCTCTCAGTCCATGTTCCCGAACGGAGTGGTCTACGACGGTGTCCTAGATAACAAGCCTCTTCATTTCCGTGGCGAGAGTGGAGCCAACGACAGCATGGTAAGGGTGCCCCTCTACATCGAGCTATCTAGTCCCAGCACCCAATCACTAACACATCCCCCAGATTCCTCTTCTGGACCACCTCCTCCAGATCCCCATGCCGTCCACTCCCCTCACCAAGATTTTGCATGAGTTCCGTGCTTATAGGCCTCTTCCTCACCGCGAGTTCCTCGCCCACATGAACTCTAAATCCCAGGAGGTTGGCGTCTTTGACTTCGCGAAGAAAGACACGGAGACCATTATCCTCTTCCTCAAGACCCTGAACCACGTCCGCAGCTTCAGATGGCGACACTGGCTGTTCGCCCGAGAGTACATTATCCGGCGGACTCCTCACCCGACTGCCACCGGCGGTAGTCCAATCGTGACTGTACGTTCTGATTCCCCTCCTCCTTCCCTTGCAGATCGATAATAGGTCTGATGTACTAATGGCGCGTATAGTGGCTGCCTAACCAGCTTTCGGCGGTTATGGATATGATGATTTCCGTCTACGATACCTATCTTGCCCCACAAAAGAGTTCCGGAGACGCCAATGGCTTGACGGGTTACGATGCGACGTACCAGAAACAGGTTGAGCCCATGATGGAGATGGTGCGTGATCAGAGGGAAAAGTTGGCCCGTGAGGTCGAGAGGTGGTGCAAGGAGAGAGGAGTTTGAGGAACAGCGCTATATTTGCTCATCATAAACTTCCAATAGACGATCTCAAATGATTAGAATGGGACATGCTCCGCATACAACTACTTTATTCGTGATGGTTTCATGTATTGATTGGGTTTTATTAAGATCCAGGCGCAAAGATGAGGTGCTCAATGCACCTTCACATCGCCTTCATGCCTTATAAACCATGGGAAAATCCAAATGTCACCACACGCATTAGAAAATCCCTAATTTTAAATGTTTTAGCCAACAGCCGAACAAGTTGGTAAGCTCCGTAGATATCCATAACGCCCCAACAACATGAACAATCATAGACTCAAAAGAACACCCAACCGAAAGAGAACCAACGCTGTAAAATAAAAAATCAAACGAGAACCTCAATCCCATTGGCGCGTCCGTAGGCAATAGCGTCCGCAGAAATATTCTCACAGCCCTTCGCTGAGATACGCTCTACCTGCGCTCCACCAGTCTTTCGCGCATCCGCGAGACTCTTAATTGAGCACCCAGTGATGCCAGTATAGCTCAAGTACAGGCTCTTCAAATCCAAGAGATTCTTAGTGATCGACTCGACCACCGCATCAGTGATACAGGAGATATGAGACACATTCAAGTCCGTAAGCTTGTTTGCGTGCTCACAAAGGAGCTTCGACAACGGTCCCCCCAAGAGTCGAAAACAGCTGTCAACGTGAAGGACCAATAACGGAGATTTGCATTCCAGAAACACGTGGATTGTTGCATTTGTGACCCACGGCACGTCGCTGAGGATCAACGTGTGGAGATTGGGAAGGTTGAATGGAAGCTGGTTGGAAAAGGGGAATTCTTCGGCGCCTGCGCCGCCACGGATGCGAAGGCATTGGAGACTGGATGGAAGGGCAAACTCCTCGCCGATGTACATGCCACTGAGGTCTAAGCGTCGAAGTCGGGGGAGGTCGAAGGGGTTGAAGGTGGGCGGATACGGAATGAAAACATCTGGATTGGAGTCGAGACGGAGCTCTTCGAGGTTGGCGATTGTGCAGGGGAGGGAGGGATCGTCTCGACGAGGGATGTACAATGCAGGCACGTGGTTGGAAGGCCTGGAGGGTTCTACCGTACCGAAGGTGATGCTTCGGAGGTGGGGTAATGTGGAAGGCCATTGTGTTCTGAACTGAGGAGAAGATTTGGTTTTGTGGATCTCGATGCGCTCCAGGAGAGGCAGGGCCTCGAGGAACTTGGCGATGTACTCCTGTGGTATAGGAATGTCATCGGATATCATCAGGCGCTTTAGCCTCTTGGAGTTCTTGTATAGCTCATAGAAATCCTGGCAGGCGAATTGCGCCCAAATCTCTAGGTTTTCTAGTCGAGGACACCTGCTGAAGAATTCGAGGACCCGCTTGGTAGATGGGACGGACAAGTTCTTCACAACAGCGGAAGTGACCATTGCTTTAGATCGGTTGATATAGGCGCGGACAGAAGACCAATGGATTTTTCCCCGCGCACCAGACAGGTCTATACGCATCCATAGCTCTCGCATTGATGAGAGAAACCGGTCCCATTGCTTTGATACCCGCAATATTGCCCTGGAGTCAACGTCAGGACTGTCGTGATGGCGGGAGCGTTGACAACTTACACAATCTGCCTGAAATCGAAGTGTGTTAAGATCATCGTAGCAACTTCCAATGGAAAGACGGTGAATGGATCGTGGCACTTTGCCACTGTCCGCTCTTGGAGCTTATTACGGAGTTGTTCTAGTTGCTGCGCCGATCAGCATGTATCATTCAAGGAGCAAGTCGACGAGGACGATCCTCTACTGCGGATGTACCAACCTTGCGCCGTGGATGATCTGTAGGAAGGCATTTCAAGGCGTATTCGTAGATTTCGAGAGCCTTGTCGTGTTTGCCATCCAAGATCAATGTCTTTGCACAACGCAGGTAACCCTACAGGCCATTAGTACAAGGCGGCGAGCCCTAGCCCATCATTGACCAGTTCTTACTCGTTCATCGTTCTTGTCTTTCTTAATCATCTGTCGCGCATCTCTCAAAGCCTGGTCATGTTGACCGAGCTTTGAGTAAGTGCCAGCGCGGTTGTCAAGCACAGCGAGAACATCGACGTCTTGATATCTCAAAGCCTGTGCAATACACATTTATCAGACTCAGTTTACAGAACATTCACAGTCGAAGGAAAATACCTCCGTAAATGCCTCTATGGCTGCATTGAATTGACCCTGAAGGTATAGTTTCTGGCCCTGCTTTTGCAGGCGAGTAGGGTCTCCACGCGCCAAATCTGCAAGAAAACTCAGTTTTATCAAACCTGGAAGATGTATAGGAAGTGCGAGACGCACCTAAGGAGCCCATAATGCGACAATCTCATCCATGTCCTTTTGTTGGGGCGGGAGTGCACGAAGACGCGTGTGACGCGAAGAGAAAGCGTTGGTAAGCAATTAAACCCATTGCGGCGTTAGTCCACCGGGCAACGGATCTTCCGATTCTGCCGGGTCTGCAGAACTGGTCGCTGCGGCCTACCGGTGCTAGACCGTGTTTACTTTCTTCCCCTTTTGGCATCCCTGCAACCCCGACCACACTACGGTAACCAACGGTCGCCCATCAGTTTTCTCAGACGACAAACCTTCACCCTCACCCAGCTCAGGCGCTCGAGGCAGCTTGCAGGCAAGCCATGGAGCCGGATAATCTGCAGGCAGCATCTACTTACATTAATAATGTGCTCCTCGCCCGAGGTCTGCTGAAGAATGGACGACCGATCGATTTCGCAGAGCCGGAGAACGAAGAGGGTGGCACTGGGGCTACAATGGGGAGAATCATCAACCTGGTGAACGATCTGGTTTTGCGGCGGGATGTACGTTGCTCAACGAATATTTGTTATTGTTCGCCGAGGACTTGGCTGACCATTTACACAGCGCGAGGCAGAACATCGAGAGAATCTAGCAACCACAATCCGCGCGCTACGCACCGAAGATTCCCAGAAGACAGTTGAAATAGTACGTTTCTTTGCGCATTGCTACAATCGATGGAACGTTGCTCAAACTAGTATAGGAGAAACTCAAGGCGAAAGCTTCTGAATTAACCCGCGCGCTGGCCCTTGCCGAGGCTCAAGAACGATCATTGAAATCCAACGTTGCGCACACCGATGCGACCATCAGAGGGCTCAAGGAGCAGGTACAGCGCATGAAAACTACGATACAGCAAGTCCGAGCACAGTGCGCAAATGACATTCGCAAACGTGATTTGGAAATGCAAAGGCTAAAGTCTCACCTGTCCGACCGACAGCGTGGGAAGCGGGAAGGCCTGGGAGTGACAACCATCAATATCAACCCCGCCGTTGACCGAGCATCTAAAGCGAAGTTCTCTTCTGGTGGAGAAGGCCTCCATGATCCAGGCTATAGTCTCAGACAAGAGACCAACGACTTCCTCACCGAACTGTGTCAGAATCTGAGTGATGAGAACGACAGCTTGATTATGCTCGCACGCAACACCGTTCAAACGTTGAAGGACCTCCAGGGCTTGCCCGAGATGGACGATGACGATGAGTATTCCAACGGAACAGTCAGCATTGGAACCCATAAGTCGTCGCACGGGCCTGTGACTGCTCTGCCCGCGTCATGCGAAGAGTTATCGTCTCAGATGGATAGAGTGCTTGAACATCTCAGAAACCTTCTTACCAACCCCTCTTTCGTACCTCTCGAAGAGGTGGAAGTCCGAGACGAGGAAATCAAGAGACTGCGTGAGGGCTGGGAGAAGATGGAGGGTCGCTGGAAGCAGGCGGTCACTCTAATGGATGGCTGGCATAAGCGACTTGCTGATGGCGGAGGCTCTATTCAGGCCGAGGAACTCCGCATGGGAATGACGCTGAACCTTAGCGTTGACTCGGTACGCGATGTGCCGATGGATGAGGGAGACAATATCATGCCATCGCCGATTTTCGAAGACCGCGACGCCGAAGAAGAGGCTGCGGGCCAGGTCAAGCTTGTGGACCAAAACAGAGTTGGTGGCGGCGGACAGGAACTAGGAAAAGGTCAAGCAACATCTGATCGGGCTCTCAAAGAGCGGAGCGACAACATACGGTCCAAACGCTCTCCACGAAAAGTCTCTTTCACATCTGCTCTGCAGGAATGCCCAGATGAGTCTGGCAGAGAGGAGGATGAAACGTTACCTGTTAAAGCTCACCGTTCGGATGCTGTAACACGCAGACCATCAAAGAAGAAGTCCGACGCTAAGTCCGTCCGTCCAAGTCCAGGCGAGCCGAGGACCCGCACAAGGGATACGTCAAAACCCGAGCAGCAACCGAGCACTCAGACTCGCATGAGCGTTCCTCAGAAGCTAGCGGCCGCCGAGAGTGAGGCTCGAGCTGCAGAACAAGCTCGCAAGGAGAGTGAAAGCCGGAAGAGAAGCCGGGCCGCCAAAGCGAGTAGCAAACGAAACCAAGATCGACGGAGGAGCACTCTGACCAGCGACGAGCTTGGAGAGCTGATGGGAATGCCGACAGCTTGAACCATTCCCGTTTGATTCAATCGATTTTTGAAAGATGTCTCTTGATACCCTTGATTCAGCATGTGTATATACCTGGTGCTTTGTTTCTGGATATTGGCAGATGCGATGATGACATAGCGTGATACCTCCTGCTCATAATAACATTAATGATAATTGCGCCAACAGTAACTCCGTAAGGACGTTCAATCTTTGGCATAATCGGGGTATAGGCAGGTTGTCTAGCGTGAAGTACTTCGTCCCATAATTTCATCAAGCATCGCAGTATGCCTTCCAAGCAATTCCAGCCTGCCAAAATATACAATCTGCCGTTTACCGAATACCGCAACCATGTGGCTCGTAGGGTTTTGCTTTTCGCTCGGTAGGCTTCGTCGCATGGAAGAGGGAATATCTCCGCAACCTCGGCAATTCCTGATTCGGACCGCAGGCGAATCTCCGCATTTCCATTTAACGCTCTGCGCCTCCACATACATCCAGCGTGTTGTTCTTTATCACTCGATAGTTGAGCCGTTTGACTGTACCAATTGTCACTATCCAGACATACCATCCACCTGGCAAGGAGGAGGGCAGTCCAACAAACCAGAGTCTGCACCAGTAAACGCATTAACGACCTGATCATGGCTCCGACATCGCCAGACACATATCAAGGCTGGGTGGCCCACGACGCGACCAGCCCACTGACATTCACAACTTTCCACCCTAAACCCTTCACCGACATCGACGTCGAAGTGCGCGTCTCCCACTGCGGCATCTGCGGCACGGACATCCACACTCTCCGCTCCGGCTGGGGTCCCTCCGACTACCCCTGCGTCGTGGGCCACGAGATCGTCGGCACGGTCGTGCGCATCGGCAGCAGCGTGCCGACGCTGGCATCGTCAGCCGCGTCGCGCGAGATCCGCGTCGGCGACCGCGTCGGCGTCGGCGCGCAGAGCATGTCCTGTCTCAAAGCGGACTGCGAAGCCTGCGCGGACGGCGAGGAGAGCTACTGCCCGCGCATCGTGGGCACGTACAACAGCCGCTACGCAGACAAGAGCAAGTCGTACGGCGGCTTTGCGACGCTCTGGCGGGGCCCCGCGCACTTTGTGTTCAAGATCCCCGATGCGCTGCCGTCGGCCGAGGCGGCGCCGCTGCTGTGCGGCGGAGTGACGGTCTTTGCGCCGCTGCGCAAATACGGCGCGGGGAAGGGCAAGTCGGTAGGCATCGTGGGCATCGGTGGCCTCGGACACATGGGGGTGTTGCTGGCCAAGGCGCTCGAGTGTGACCGGGTCGTGGCTATTTCGCGGACGTCGAGTAAGCGCAAGGATGCAGTGGAGGGGCTCGGGGCGGATGCGTTCATCGCGACGGACGAAGATAAGAACTGGGCGCGTACGCACTCGCGCTCCCTGGACTTGATCATCTGCACGGTGTCGTCGCAGAAGATGCCCTTGTCTGGGTACTTGCGGCTGCTGAAGAAGGATGGCGTGTTTGTGCAGGTTGGCGCGCCGGAGGAGCCGTTGCCGCCGCTGCGGGCGTTCTCGCTGATTCAGAAGGGCGTCAAGTTGACGGGCTCCAACATTGGGTCTCCGGAGGATATCAGGCAGATGCTTAAGCTCGCGGCGGAGAAGCGGGTGCTGCCGTGGATTCAGAAACGGCCCATGGAGGACGTCAATGCTGCGCTGGCGGATATGCATGAGGGTAAGGCGCGGTATCGGTATGTGTTGTGCAACCACGAGGGGACGCAGGCAAAACTGTGATGTCTCTACAGGATAGCAGGATAATGGCTACCTAGGTCGGGGCCAATGTATCTGAACGTGGATGGCGACAGCCAGTCTGGTCTACAAGTGCCCCATGCTCGATTTAACCGAAAGCAGCATTCTAGAATCACACTTAGTACGAGCAATGGACTAATTCCTCCAGTGTAGTCCCGGATATTCGTCCAAGAATAGAACTAGGCTGCCCTGAATCGACCCCTAATGCATAGCTGGGGAGATAAACATCTATCGCCACTACCACGGTCTCGCACTAACCGTACAAGGCAGATAATACGAATACCCGCTAAATAAGAATGCGTCCTGCGGGTGCTTAACTACGGGTGGACTTCGGCTTGTGTCCCACTGGGTCCAGGGCTTGTCTTTCCCTGATCCGGTAACTAGTACGAGATATACGACATCAACAGGATCAACACGTTGAGAATGAAGAAGGCGGCTGGATTGCAAAATCTGTCCAAAAGAGAAGTTCTTTTTATAAAAGGGTCCATTGGACCTCCTCTAGTCTGCATATCGACTCCTTTGTACAAGCATCGTGCACCCTAATACCCATATACCCTATCTCTCCTCAACTACTACATTCCACGCATCACGATGGCCAACTCAAGTTTCAGCGGCTGGGTGCCCTACAAGTATGACCCGTCTATGGCTGCTGCCGTTATATTCATCATACTCTTCGGCGTGGCCACAATCCTGCACACCTATCATCTGATCCGAACGAGAACATGGTTCTTCATTCCTCTCACGATAGGAGGATGGTGTAAGAACTCTTTTTCCCGCTGGTTTGACTAGAATACTGACAAGAACAGTTGAATTCGTCGGATACATAGGTCGCGCGATGTCTTCGGCGCAAGCCCCCGACTTCACGCTCGGTCCGTATATTATGCAGAGCACTCTTCTGCTCGTCGCCCCCGCTCTGTACGCCGCCAGCATATACATGGAGTTAGGACGGATCATCTACCTCGTCAAGGGGGAGAAACTGTCGCTCATTCGTGTGAATTGGATGACGAAGATATTCGTGGCGGGTGATGTGCTGAGCTTCTTGATGCAGGCATCAGGTGAGTTGATCAACAGCGTGCTAGCACACAGGCGACATGACTAACAGAGTGCAGGAGCTGGGATCATGGTCACCGACGCACAAAAAACAGGCGAGAACGTCATTGTCGGTGGTCTATTCGTGCAGATCATCTTCTTCGGGTTCTTCCTCATCAGCGCCATCATCTTCCAGCAACGGATTGGGCGTCATCCCACCCCCGAATCGGCCGATTCGTACAACCCTTGGCGCAAACATCTCTATGCCTTGCATACTTCCAGTGTTCTCATTCTGATTCGGTCCGTCTTTCGTGTGGTGGAGTATCTCCAGGGTTGGGATGGGTATCTGCTTTCGACGGAGGTCTTCATATACATATTCGATGCGCTGTTGATGTTCATCGTGCTCGTCATCTTCGTCCTCATTCACCCGAGCGAAGTTAACTGCTTGCTCGGCAGAGGGAGACTGATGACCACAAAAGGGGGATTGAAGGTCTCCGAGCCCTCCATGCCTGTTTAGTGTTATAGATCAGGAATTAGTCGAGTATATTTTCATTTTTCTCGGTAGTTCTCTCCATAGACGACCACCATTGGCCAATGAGCCAATGGTTTCCAGTGATCATGCAGTATGGACCAAATGGCCTTTGGCACAGTAACTGTCCAGTCGTACACGCACCAGTCGGGACGGGAGCGGTGCAAGATAGCCAGATAATGTGCAAGAATGACCAAGGCCAGCGGGTTGTGCTCTCGGATAGCCTCCACATACGAGGCTTTCATCTTGATGGCCCACCGGCAAGCGACTGTGATAGGAGTCAATCCACCGTGGATCCCAGCCGTCATGTCTTCCAGATTCTCAAGAGCAGTTGCATAGACAGAGGGATCGTGGTGTGGATCTTGGGCACCGCACGCTTCGTTAACCTCTCGCAGTCGCCGCAGGGCGGAAGACTCCTCTTCTGGAAGGGTGGAATCATAGTCGTCTAGCTGCAGAATTATCTCCCAGTCTGTATCTTTGATTGCCGGGGTAGCTTGTGCAAGCACTTGCTGCACCCCGCGCGAGAGGTTGAACACCTGGAGCAGGTCATCCAGACATGTCTGCGGGTCTTTGGGGTCGGGCGGGTGAGGAAAGCCTAGAGCGTAGATGGCCACGATGCTGGCGAACGCAAACACTGCCTTTGCGTTGGAAGCGTTGATATCATTTAGTGACTCCCGAAAGTAAGCCAGCGCTTGGTTTTGATGAGCAACAGCCGTGCCGAGATATGTTGGTCGACGATGGTCATCGTGAGTCCGAGCCAGGTGCAGGGCGGAAAGGGCCAGGATGCCATGCATGAGAAACGGATGAGAGAGGGCTTCCTTAGGGACAAGAATCCGCCACACCGGGTCTACCCTTTCGTTGCGGGCCAAGATCTGGTGGGTAGAGTTACACCACTGCATCATGAGCTCCAAGTCACTGAGGTTCAGACTGGAGGTTGCCTGAGAACTCCCACTCGGACCACCGAGCTGGCCCAGGATACCGAACGAACGAGCGGTGGAAGACGGAGAGTCAGCCCTCTGACATGCTGCAGAATCATGTTTGTAGGATGGCCGCGCCAGGGAGGGCTCCTCGTTTGTCCACCGGAGGGAGCTCGTTCCCTCGTAGTGACATTCGGCATGTCGTTTGGAGCAGTTGAGACATACAGGTCTCGATTCATCACACTTGGATTGTCAGGACTCAGCAATGGGTCCAGCAGTACAGGGGATCAGTGTCCTAGAAGCACACCTTTACTCGTCTCCTCTTGCATTCTGCGCAGCCGTGGCGAGATTTGCGATGGGGTCTTCTGAGAGCCATAGGAGAGTACAGGGATTGTGTACCAAGGCCATACTACTCCGTACGGAATATATGTCGTACACGATTTTGCAGGTGAAAGAGGCATGGGACGTGTCGCAGTGTGAAACATGAAGTTAATGATGATTATGTCATCGGCGCTGCCTAGTCGGGATTCCCGACCGACCGACATAGCAATAAACAATCCATTCTATACGCTTTCAGTGATAAATAAACATGGTATCTTGACATCAACAAAATGAGACACATAGACAACCTGGTAGGTAACAGTCTATCAGCCGCCGCCACCTCCTCCACCACCACCACCGCCTCCTGCGCTATTGCTGCGACGTCGTTGCTTTTCATACAATGCGAGCACAGTCACAAGAGCCATCAGATCAAACTCTTGGCCATAGTCTGCATCCACCTGCAGTTTCCCGCTTTTCTTGATGCTTGTCATCGTGCCTGTGAACACGGCGGCAACCCGTCCGGACCGCTCCTCGACCAACTTCCAACAGTTGGAGTTGAATACAGAAGGCTTCTCGCCCCCAACACCAACCGAGCGGGTTGACTTCCACAGGAAAGACCGTCTTTCCGGGCCGCCAGCACTTTTGACAGTCATTTGCCAACGATACTTGTTGTGCCGGAGATTTTGGCATAAGAGATCTTCCCACTGAGCAGAACCGACGTTTTCAGGGTCTCCTAAGCAGACTTTCACATGTCTGGAAAAGTGCAGAAACTTGCAGGCGGCGACTCTAGGGCCCTTTTCGTCGCTTCCGGCGTGGACAGTGAGTTCAGGTTTCTTCGGTGTGAAGGTGGAATTATACACGTGAAAGAGCGGCGTTTTGTCGGCCGTCATCACGTTGTAGTCGTAACGGAACATGGAGTGGTAGATCTGGTATAGACGAGACCCGGAGGTAACATTGGATAGACCTCCATCCACGGAGTCTGCATCAGCGATGGAGTTGGTGGCTTGGAGGGATTCGGCGTCATATACGCCAGATGCGTTGTTCGATTTCTCCATGGTGACAGCTAAAGATCATCACCTGGGTAGAGAAAGATAGAAGAAGAAGATGTTGGGTTTCATCCTCATCCGACGGGTGTCCACCCGGTCTTATATCTCCCCGAACCTTCCATCCCTACACTAGGGACCCTGTTGCTGATTGATTCTCACTAGCGCAGTGCTTAGGCTCAGATTGACGGCCTGGGAGCCATACAGAGACAGCAGCCGCACTAGGCGCATTGGATTTGAAGGCTGTGTTTCTCCAAGGCGGACGCGGCTCAGCCTTGGGCGAGTCGGGCACAGCGAATCAGTAGTAGCGAATACGAAGTTGCCCAAAGCGGAAGCTCCTCCACGTGACGTCATGGAAGGCCTTAAGTCACGTGGCATTGAATATATCACATGACCTCACATGACATGGGCGTGGCCGCCAAGACTCAAGCGCGTCGATCGACGGAGAAGAAGAAGCGACGCCGACGCTCGACGGTGACAGCTCATCCTCCTTCACCTTTTTCCTCCGGACTGCGTCGCCGGTGGTTTGTCGTTGGTCGCGCTTGGGATATCTCGTCATCGCCCGTGACAGAGAAACCGTCCCATACATCCGGGAGCCCACGTTGAACCTCCCCGGATTCCAACCGGTCAAGAATAATTTCTTTGTTTATTCACCTTCACCTTCTCCTCCCGTCGTCACCGACCCAATTCCTCTCCACGCTTTTCTTGCCGACACAGAATGTCTTTCAAGACACCATACGAGTCCAGCCCCCCGTCGACCCCAGGAAAATCCCGCAGCTTGTTCAGCAATCTATCCACCACTCCCTCGGGCGTTCCGCCGTCGGCCTCCAACTCCTTCACCCCCGCCGGTCCTCCTCCGTCCACCGTATACGGCAGCTCCCAAATGAGTTCCCGATCTCATTTCAATTCCTCTCAATCTCTCTTCACGAAGTCGGGCAACGTCAACCCTAATGACAGCATCTTTGGGTCGTCAATTGGCTCCGATTTTGTGCCCAAGAGCAAGAAGACCGCGCCAGCGAAGTCATTTGCGCCGTCGCATTCGATCTTCAGTATAAACAGCGACAGTCCGTTTGGCGAGTCAACGAATTCAGCGGCGTCCAGAGATTTCGGCGCATCGCACATGGAAGAAGATGGTTACCATGATGGAGAGGAGGAGGAGATGGAAGAAGAGGCTGAAGAACAAGGGGATGGTGATATGGAGGTGGAAGATAAGCTCGGAAATCCTGGTCGCTTTAGCTTCTTGGACTCGCAGTTCGGGAATTCTCTGGCTCCCCAATCTGCCTCCAATGGCCAGCGCAAATCGATCTATTCCAACCCGGGCAATGCGAAACGGCCGAAACTCGATGAAAAGTGGGCAAGCCAATCACCGCTGCGCAAAGGGAAGCTGTCGCCTAAGAAGGATTCGGCAGTCCCGTCCATTGTGCGAAATTTCGCTTCAAGGTCTCGTGTTGCGCCGGTGGACGAACCCAGTGACATTATCATCAACACGGAAGATGAAATCTGTCGCATGTACGACGAAGCTAGACAGGCTGAGTACCAGGAAACTGATTTCCGCGCAACGTTGGCAGAAGCTTGCAGCAGGTTGACCGCCGTGTGGAAGAAATCTGCAGAGCAAAGCGGTCGTTCCAGAAGTTCAGGGGTTATTGGGCCTGGGGACAATGCCCCAAATGTAGCGAAGGCAAGCTTTCTGGGATCCTTGTTGCTTCAGCTGCACCACCCGCCTCAGTCGACTTCCAAACCAGGGAGTCTGTCTAACCTCGGCTTTGCGGCGCCACGCAGTCTTGTGCTGGCTGGCTCCCGAGAAAGCACACCCACTCCCATGCCAAAAGTCCTCCTGGACTGGCTTGATGCAAACCATTCCCAGTCCGTGGATCTCCGTCAGTTGAAGGAATCGGAGCCCAGCCCTACCGCATCTCCGAATTTCTGGGAGCTCATCAACGCCGCCGTGCTGCGTGGACATCTCTCAGAGGCCGCGGAAGTCTTGCGGTCTGCGGATTTCAACTACGCTCGGTCTGCGTTAGAGGATGGACTACCACAGTCTGGCTACCGTGGCGCACAGCTGCAGAATATTCAGCGCTGTGTCAACAAAGCCCTCCAGATTCTCGAGTCCTGCCCGAGTCAACGTGGTGACTGGGATGTAAGGAACTCTGATTGGGCACAGTATAGGAGGCGTGTAATGACTGCTGTGACTGACCTCGAAGAATTTGCGGAGGGAGATGAGCAGCAAGACTCGGAACTTCCGGTCACAGGCAACCGGTTCCAGGCGATCAACTTCGGACTGGGACCAAACCCCACCGCACAAGACCACTCCTTTGCGCAGTCTGCGCGCATGGCTGAAAGCCGCGTTCCTTGGACGATCTATCAGAATCTCAGGTCGGTTTACCGTATTATCCTCGGAGACACGAGTGCCATCATGAGCCACGCTCAAGACTGGGTTGAAGCCACGATCGGTCTGACGGTCTGGTGGGATGGAGAAGACGAGGAGGACGCTGGCAATGACTTTGCTATGAGCAATTTCCTGCGTCCCCGCGGATCCAAGCCGCAGACATTGAATCCCGACGTTGCTCCGGAAGAAGCCTACATCCGCCGCCTTGATCTAGCCTTCAACAACGCCACGAATGGGGAGTCTGGCGACGCGGTGTTCCGGATTAACTCCCTCAGTCAGCTCGAGGTCGGCTTGGCGTCTGTTTTTGAGGGCAATGTGGATGGTGTGTTGGAACTCCTGCAGACGTGGTCCCTGTGTATCGCTTCTGCTGTGGCTGAGGTTGCGTCCGCGGGAGGCTGGCTGGAAACCGAGTCGGGGGAAAAGGCGATGCCAGGTCTGAGTGAGAATGACTTGATGGTTCTTTCGTATGGCCAAGAGGGCAATGCGAACCGTCGTGTCCAGAAGGACGATATTCTCACCACCTACTCATCCGCGCTGTTCGAGCGCCAGTCTATCGAGAATGAAACTGGTGTCCGCGAGGGCTGGGAGCTCGCGCTTGAAGTTCTTAGCCGTTTGAGCGATCATGAGAAGATGCAAAAGAGTGTCTCCGAATTGGTGGACAAGTTACCTCTTGATACTGCGGAACAGATGGACAAGGTTGTATTACTTTGCTCGGAGCTAGGACTGGAGAAGGAGGGCCGGAGAGTCTCAGAGGTATGTTCCGATTCCTTATGTTCGGAAACCAAAACTGATGTTGAGAACCATAGCGGTACGGAGATATTACTGCGTCGAAAGGCGAGGAGTACGGACTGGCTCTTATGTGCTACTCACGGGCTCACTGCCGCCGCAAGGTCAAATCGGTGGTCGATCTTCTCATTTCATACAGTTTGGTCGAATCCCGGGCTTACCCTCCGTCTGACGAAATGGACGAACAGCTCTATGCGCTAATCAAGGAACCTAAGACGGCGCTGGAGGGAATTGCTGCTGCGGACGAGGAAGCGGCAAGTATCCTCCAATTCTATTTCAGCGGATATGCCACGCTCCGGCGATTTTACGAGACCCGAGATGAGACCGTCGGCCTTGGTCCTGGCGAGAAGCCTCGATACAAGCCCCTGGCCCGCCGGCGAGTCGCCGCTCAGGCTCTGGTCGCCGTGATCGGTAGCGCCGCGGATAGCATCTACGGTGGGCTCTACGACCCGGACCGCGACTCGGCTGTACAGGTGGATGGTTTGATGGTGCTTCTGGGCGAAGTCTTGCCGCTAATCAACCGTAAGTCGTACCGGTGTGCTGGGCAAGTCAGGAGACTAACGACGACAGAACCGACGCCTATTCTTTCCGTCTCGCAGCAGATTGCAGTGTTGTCTGCCATTGAAGATCTCGAAACGGTCACGCCGCGTGTCTACTCTCAATGCGAGGAATGTTTCCGCTCGACTCTACTCGATCACCAGTCGTCGCAGCGTGCCTTGAGTGACGCTCAGACCCATGATTCCTTTGTTGTCCCACCGTCACCGCGGGCTCTTTTGAAGAAGTCGGTGTCGTCACTAACAGCCTCGAGCACGTTCTCGTTCATTAGCAATGACATGATCGAATCGGCATGCGGTCGTTCCGGACCAGGCTCGACCAGCAGCTCTGGCGTGCTGGTGCCTCGGATGAACGAGGGCCGCCGGGGCCGGGCGCAAGAACGTGGCTGGGACTGGCGTGCCGGGTTGCCGGCGGATGTCAAGGGCGACGATGTCCTCCGGATGTTGCGATTGGGACTGGCGAAGGGATTGAGCTTTGGGGCATTGGGATGCATGTAGGGCAAAAGTTCATTTGGAGCGTGTATGTGTATGGAGTTAGTATGATCTACCGCGCTGGTGCAAGTGTAGAGATTAATATGATACCGGTACTGGTTGTCTACACCTCGGGCTCTCCGACGAGTACGGAGTATACTCGATAAGGGTCAGGCGTGCCGTGTGGCCGTGCAAGAGGCAATGCAAAGGCACGCAATGACTCACAGTTGAAGAGCCGCAATGTACACAATTCATACCGTCGATGAAGAAAATCATGATGTTGACCGCTACTTTGGACGATAGTGAAGCCGATACTCCGTATGTATACACTGGCCAAGACTGCGCCCGACGCCCGGTGTGGCTGAAGCACCCGCCAAGACCCAAGTCGGCATGAGTTCCGTGCTGGCGATCTCTCTTCTCCGTACTCTGTACACTTCATGGTGTAGTTTGATCTTGGTATTTCTGAGATGTAGTTGGTGTGTACAGAGTATAGATATGTTTACGCTGATGTTCAAAGACAACCTCTACTACCCAATGCCGACAACCTCCACCAATTCGACTCTAGGTCTGTTTATTACTTGCACAGCAAAGACGGATCTACTCCGTGTTCGGGACTTGGAAAAATGGCTGCCTGGAGAATTAGTGACTCAGGCCGCTGGTCAGTGACCCGCCAAACCCTCATCCTACTTCCTTTCTCCCAGCTGGATCGCACTAACGCGCAGTAGTGCACGATCCCGGCCCTACCGACCATGGGGATGGTCTCCTCCCAAAGATAATGGATGATCCATGAGGCATACCATGAACGCCAGCTGAACAGCCCCTGCAAGGTGTGACAACCAAGGAGTATGCTTACTCCAGCATCCAATGGACGGGTTGAGCCTCCAAACCGTTGAGATCTCTGTCATCAGGACCTCGCATATCAGCTGTCATCTCTCGTGCCACGGGACAGCCAAGGACCAGCCCTACGGGGTTTGCAGGAACGCCGGTGAAGTATACCTTAGTAGGCTCGCCCACTAGCCGACGCTGCGACGCCTCAGCCCGACTGTCGGTCCCCACTGATCGTCTAGGGCTCGGTGTTGTCCGTTGCTCGCCCTACGGAGGGGTTGAATCAGAATCAGGGAATAACTAGTGGGAATGGGGTATATCGTGGCCGATGCACTGGGTCTTTATTTTTGGCTTTGGATTTCGTTTCGCTTCTTTTCTTTCTTCATCCCACATTCTCTTGTTTCCCTCAGGCAGTCAGGTTTATGGATGCCTTGCAGCTTGAATCACAGCGACAATCTCCCGGTCTGGACTCGAAGCATGGTCTTTCGTCTGGGTCTATCTCTGCATTCGTTCTTTCTGTCATTGAAGCATCCTGACCATGGTCTGGTCGCCTGATGGTCCTCTCTCGTTATAAAGCTTGACACTGCTTGCTACATGAAGGTCTTCATCGACAACCTCTTCTTCTTCATTCCTTCTCGTCTATCGCAGACCAGTCTCTCCTTCCACCTCATCGACTTGACGGCCCTCCGCTGGCGCACCGCCTATACACCCCATTCCTACCCTCTCTCTACCGCAACCAAAACCAACCGTATCAGGAATGTGCTACAAACTTGTCGAACGCTTCTCCGTCTGCCGCTGCCTCTACTTCGAACACGCGGTCGACCCGTGTGAAGCCTACGGCCAGCGCGGCCACCGCGTGCAGGAAAAGACCGTGCTGGTCGGGTACACCTGCCCGCGCCATTCGCTGCGCGCGAACCCCTCGGCGGGGACTGGGCCTGGAGCTGGAGCTGCCTACCCGGATTCCGGGTACTCCAGCGCCAAGGGGGTTTAATCTGGTCGGTCCGGGGACGTGCTGGCACGTCACCAACCGTATGCAATACACATGCTTGTATGAGACGGCTGCGCCGCAGCGCGGGTAGCTGGCGCTGGACGAGCATGCAAGATGGGACATGAGCGACGGGATACGGCGCATGCGCCTATACTAAGATCGAACGGGGGGTTAGGAAAATGGGTAGTTTGTTCAGGCTGGTCCCTTCATACCCTATGTAATATAAGCTGCATCCTTAGGTACCTAACATCAAGATCTGTCCGAAATGACCTCCGCAAGAAAATCAAACCCCCGCCGCTGCACCTCCCACGTCCGCGACCCAACCTTCATCCCCATCGCAAACGTATGATCCTCCCCCGGCACCTCGACCATCCCACACCGCACCCCACACCCCCTCAGCACCTCCAACAGCCGCCGACTCAACCCAATCGGCACCATGCGGTCCTCCGCCCCATGCACAATAAACGTCGGCGGGAAGGTCGACCCCACCCGCGCGACGGGGTCGATCTCGCGCACATCCCGGCCGGGAAAGCACGCCGCCAGCACGGTGCCGTTGGCGATCTGCGTGAAGGCGAAGGCGTCGCGCGCGCGCGTGAAGTCTGGCGCTGCACCGGAGGGCCCCTCGCTCTGGCCCTCGAGGGAGATCGCGCTGCTCGTGGGGACCGGGTGCTCGGCGTAGATCTGCTGGAGGAAGGAGTCCGCGAACGGCGGGAGTTTGGACTTGATGTGCGGGACGGGCGACGTCCAGAACGGATCGGTGAAGTGCACGGCGCCGTAGAAGTTGAGGATTGCGGCGGGGGGTCGGGGCACGTCGTAGCCCTGGTCTTGCAGTGAGTACCTGGATTTTCGTTCGACGGCATGGAGGAGGGGGGGCGGTTGGGGGGTGTACGAGTGACAGAGCGAGCGTCCCGCCGCTGGAAGTGCCGAATGCCATCACGCGCTGGTGGTCCACGCGGTGCGGTTTATTCTGGGACTGCAGGTATGCATCCAGCTGGCCGGAGTAGATCCACTGCAGCAGATCGCGACAGTCGGCGATCGGCCCGTCGAGGATGTTGACCTGCGGGCAGAGACGGTGGTTCGGGGCGACGACGATCCAGCGGCGCGCGAGACAGTCGTCGATCTGCGGCATGGAGACCATGCGCGAGTGGCCGAGCATGAAGGCGCCGCCGTGGATGTTGATTACTATATGGGTGAGTATGGCCCAGCAGCTAGATGTAAAGGGACACGCACAGACGGGATACGAGGTGGACTCCGGACTCGCGGGCGGCAGGTAGATATCCGTCGTGATCTTGCTGCCATTTGCTTCCTTGTATTGCACGGTCAGGGGGGTAGTCGACGCCATGGTGTGGGTGTACTTTGTGGTGTGGATACGGTCTGGGGCAAAGGTAGTTATATACATCCATCCGACCTCGGGATATCCGAGTGCGGAGGTGGACTATCCGAGAGCTGCATCACGTCCATATATATATTTCTACCTACTTCGTACTCTTCATCACCATCCTCCGGCCATGCATCGACAGGCCTCCCATCGTAGGCCCGACATAACCGGGACGTCATCACTCATCAATCCATCAGTCATTCCGCCTGGCTGTACATCAAACGTCCTCCGTACAGAGCGGCATTGTCCAAACACCTTCAATCAGTCCCCTCACCCCCTGGCCGCCACGAAGCGAGTCCGGCTCGTCCGTAGTCCGGCTACACACCTCCTCTTTTTTTTTTTTTCTCTTTTTGTTTTCTGGTGATTAGCGCAAGGTGTCCTGCAAAAGAGTGACTATATATCCAAGGCAATAACTGCAACATGCCCATAGCCAGCATCTCATCCGTCAGGACCGAAGTCCAATAGTAATTGTCTTGATCGGGAATCGCAATACCTCCCACATGCCTTATCTGCGGACAACAATCCCCTGGCGACGCACGGCGCTGCGCGCCCGACGGTACTCCTCATCACTGTCGGACTCAGAGCAGCTCGCTTCAGACGACTCGGTCACGTAGCCGCAGCGGCTGCCGCCGCAGTCGAGCTTGACGCGGTCGCCCTTGCGCGTGATTCCGTAGCGCTCACAGCGGCACACGCTGGGCGGGTCGCTCATGGACGACAGCGACGACGGCGAGGTGCTGCCAGACGACCGCGAGGACAGCGACGAGCCGACAGAGCTGGGCGGGCTGTTGGAGTACGAGTACTCGTCGGACAGGCGGGAGCCGGCGAAGCGGCGCGTGAGGTCGTCCACGGTGGGGGCGAAGTCGGACTCGCGGATCTGGCGCGAGGCGTATGGCTTGGACGGCTTGGGGTGCTGGATCTTGGACGGCGATAGGGCGCGGCCCTTGGCGATGTCGTGCGACGTGCGGCGGTGCTTGGGGGCGGGCGCCGGCGCAGACGACTTGCCCCCGGGCACGTCGAGGATGTTCAGTTTGCGGCCGGTGGTGGGCTCCACGGTGTAGTCGACGGCGGGGTCATGGGAGACGTGGTAGCCGTCCATGATGTACTGAGCGGTTAGTATATTTCTGATTGAGTTCGTGTTCTGGGTGCAGACATACGTAGTACCAATACCGCCCGCCGAGCTTCAGCATCGAGGTCTGGAAGCGAAACTTGCCCACCCAGGCGCCGGGCTTGACATCGTCGCGGGAGAGGGGGATCTGGCGCGAGTAGTTGTCCCAGGAGCCGACCAGATGGACGGTCTTGACGTTGGACGAGGTCCGAAGATTGAACTTGAGTTGCACAGCAGTCATGGTGGGTGAGACTGGGATGTACTATAAATTATATTATGTGCAGCGAACGAGAAGTATAGCGGTGTGTCGCGGGCGAAGATGAGCCGATGCTTCCACGGGAAAGCGGCGGAAGACTATATCGTTGTAGGAGCTTGAGACGAGGACTACCAGAGTCGAATCGATCAAGTCCGGATGTTGGTTGTTGGTGTTGGTGTTGGCGATGGATTGACTGTCAACAACGATCACAACGAGGCTCTGCGATTGACGGGATCCAGTCCACGACACGCAAGTCGAATTAATAGTATGTAGTCTGCAAATGAAAAAAGCCTTGGCGAGAGAACCAACAAGGCTGAGCAAGAGTCTGAGCTGAACGAGGCGCAACAGTCGACCGGCGACTAGATTGGAATCGTTAAGAAGTCGTAAGAGTTCGAAGGATCCTGAACAAAGGCAAGGGAATCCAGAGAGCACAGCTCGTCTGAACAGGAATTCTCAAAAAAAAGGGTAGGTAATATGGGAGTATGGTTTTTGATATAGCAAGTATGGGCGATTAAATAAGAAGTATAAAAGCGACGAAACACAATGAAACCAGTGCAACCAGTGCACAGGAACCTTCAAACTAAGGGCAGCTCAAGACAAGACCGGGCTTGCTGAAGAAAGAAAGAAAGAAGAGAAGAAGAAGAGGAAGAATCAGCTCGGCGGCTGCAGCATTATAAGGCATTCTCAGCCTTTCGACTGCGATGAACGCCGCATCCCAGAATAGAAGCCGATGACATCCCCACGAGCCAACCACCGTGCGTAGTTGCCCCACCCCCGCTGTCCCGGCGGGTAACAGACAACTCGGATTGGTTCCCCGGTAAGGTAACCCCACTCCATGCGGGCCAACCACCTGCTGCAGTCACCACCAATCACACCCCCTCCTTAACCGCCGAGGATCCGCTCGTCACCGGCATTAGACCGTTCTTAGACCCTCGTCCATCGCCAATAACACTCCCCCATCGGCCTGAAGAAGGTTCGCTCGGGACGAGATTATATTGATGAACTGGCTTCCGGTGAGGGGCAGATACACTCCATACCGAGTACTCGCCAACTAAATGCTATTGTATTCGCTGGTATTCCCTAGTGCATGTATAGTATGTGGTAGTAAACAGGACCCTCCGAATCATCCCCAAAAGCCTTCGTAATCAGAAAGGAATGGCCAAAAGAAAAGACGAGGGATCAGCAGATCATCAAAAGTAAACACACAATCCCTCAAAACCACAGGACGCCACAATATGCCGATTTAGTCGGTTTTCTTTCGGTCCATATCAAGCAAAGTTTTCGCTGAGCAGAATTAAGAAACTAGAAGAACAAGAAAATATTCGAAGCGAACAACCAGTGGAAAAAATCGCATAGTACAACGAAGGAATCTTCTTCGACGAAATTTCCCTCACCGCACGGACACGCCGGACCGGTTAGTAAACATGCGAGCGGCAATGTTCATCGAGGCCAGCTCTTGGAACAAAAGCTTGGCTGCATACGGGATATGCACCTGCGAGATTCGGTGCTTGTTGTTGCACAGGCGACACTCGAATAGGCCCTTCTTCAGTTTTCTGCAAGCAGGGGTCAGTCAGCCATCGATCCTCCTCGTGTCCGATTCAACAAATCAACGCAAAGGGCACTTACGCAATCGGCGTCATCAATCCACAGTCGTCGCAAATGTGCACCCGGAACGGGTCGGACACGTCGAAGAGCCGCTCCTTCAGGAAAGCACTGGCTCCGTGCGCAATCATGCAGTCACGCTCCATCTCTCCGAATCGCAGTCCACCGTCACGAGCACGACCCTCCACCGGCTGCCGGGTCAGGATCTGGGTCGGGCCTCGAGCACGCGCGTGGATCTTATCGTCCACCATGTGCCGCAGCCGCTGATAGTACGTCGGTCCCAGGAAGACCTGCGCCACCAGCTTCCGTCCCGTGTGGCCGTTGTACATCACCTCAAACCCGCGGGACTGGTAACCGTGCTCGCGGAGCAGACGCGAGATCGAGTCGACAGTGACATCCGTGAACGGCGTCGCATCTCCCTCGAACCCACGTAGCGCCGACACCTTACTGAGTTGACACTCGATCAAATGGGCGATGGTCATACGAGACGGGATGGCGTGGGGGTTGATGATCAGATCGGGCGCCACTCCCTCCCGAGTGAACGGCATGTCTTCCTGTCGATAGGTAATACCAATCGTACCCTTCTGTCCGTGACGAGAAGCAAACTTGTCACCGATCTGGGGAATCTTCGTCGTCCGCATGCGGACCTTGACAAACTTCAGGTCGTCATTGCTGGTGGACACAAGGACCTGGTCCACGATACCGCTTTCTGTACTGCGAAGCGGCGTCGACACATCCAGCTTGGTGTGCGCCTTGGTTCTCTGACCAAGCTCTTCCGCCTCGGGCGCCAACGGGGCCGTCTTACCAATAATGATATCCTCACCCGAAACGCGGACACCCGGCGCAATGATACCGTCTTCATCCAGCTTATCATAGGTACCCTTCCGCATGCCAATCGTGTCGGATCGCATGGGCTTCTCGAAGCGCTCGACCACGGTCAATCCCACCATCTTCTCCGAGTCGGTATATGTACGGTAGAAAAGACTGCGGAAGAGACCGCGATCGATACTGCTCTGGTTCATAATGACCGAATCTTCCTGGTTGTATCCGGAATAACAAGCAATAGCCACGATGGCATTCTGACCTGCTGGCAACTCACGGAACCGCAGGAACTCCATAGACCGAGTGGTCGCCAGAGGCTTCTGCGGATAATAGAGAAGGTTCGCCATGGTCTCCATGCGCTGGTCGAAGTTCGTCAGGAATACACCCATAGCTTGCTTACCCATTGCAGACTGATAGGTGTTACGAGGCGACTGGTTGTGATCGGGGAAAGGAATGATACTGGCGCAGACACCGAGAATCATACTGGGATGGATCTCACAGTGAGTCCAGGTGTGCGCCTTTTGACTAAGGATCGAACGAACACGCTTGTTGGGATCGTGCAGTTCCTCCTCAGGTAGCGCATAACCGGCCTGAAGCTGTTTGGAGATCTCCAAGTCCTCAGGAGTCATCACAATCATGATGGTCTCCTCTTCTTCAGCATCCACATATTCCACCACGCCAGACTTCACCAGACCGTCCCATCCGAAGTAGCGTTCCCTGCGCTCTTCAGGGTCCAGGTCTGGAGGCAGCTCCTTGTCTTGCTCCAATTTCCGAATGTGTTCTTTATTGAGAACAAGAGAGCCACAGTTTTCACTCTTCGGGTCATTGTCGACAACGAAAAGTGGTCGGCACACACGTCCAGCGTCCGTGAAGATTTTAAATTCCCGCTCACGGATATCCCGGATCAAACTGACTTCGTGCGAGATCATGTTCCGGCGACGCAGAGAGGACATAGTGTTGACCAGATGAGCAGGATCCCGGTGGATACCAACCCAGACACCGTTCACGAAGACCTTGGTCGCATTCGGCGTAACCTGAGGCTCAAACTCTTCCAAAACCTCCATATTACGCTGGATCATGAAATCGATGATCGGCTCACTGGGGGTACCGACAGTAATGTAGCACATAAGCGCCAAGTTCTTGACCAGACCACAAGCCTGACCTTCCGGAGTCTCTGCCGGACACACCAGACCCCAGTGGGTGTTGTGAAGCTGACGAGGTTTGGCAATCTTGCCATCACGGCCGATAGGCGTATTCGTTCGCCGAAGGTGAGACAAGGTAGAGGCGTAAGTATAACGACTGAGCACTTGCGACACACCGGCCTTCGCACTCGCGGCCTTCTTCTGCTCGCCCCAGTTTCCGGTAGCCAGAGCATACTTCAGACCTCCTGTCAAGGTGCTAGCCTTGATACCAATGTTCAAGTAGATTTCTCTGTTCGTCTCCACGCATCTCTGGACATAACGCTGAAGGTCTCGCGTGACTCGGGTGAAGAGAACACGGAAGAGGTTCGCAAGAAGAGGACCAGCGAGATCAAGGCGCTTCTTACCGAAGTGATCCCGATCGTCCACATCGCGACGGCCGAGAGCACACTGCAGAAGCCGGTGCACCATGTAACCCAAGAAGAATGCTTTCCGGGTTTCGCTACCTTCGCTCTGGGAGATGTGAGGGAGCAACTCTTTCTGCATGATTTCACGGGCATAACGAACACGGCGTTCGTGGTTCATGCTGGACTGAGAAGACCCACGCTTGGCAATGAAATCCAGGGCGACTTCACGGTCCTGGATGACGAAACCTTCTTCAATACAAGGCTTGAGCATTTCAAGCATAGGAGTATCGTTCCGGTCGTAGCAGATGTGGTTCAGAATATCTTCATCAGAGACAACACCGAGAGCACGGAAGACGACCACAATGGGAATATCTGTCTTGACGTAGGGCAGCGTGGATCGAATGGTAGGACCGAAGCCACCCTTGGCACTGTCGCCCTTGGCGAACAGTTTGAGCGACAACTGCGAAAGAAGTCGGGAGCCCTTTTCAACGGCACTCCGAATCTCAGCGACGTAGGGCGTAGGGCTGGGTGGCGCCTTCTTGAACACCTGGACCGTGTTTCCAGCACTTCGCTCCTGGGCGATCAGGACCTTTTCGCTTCCGTTGATGATGAAATAACCACCAGAATCGTAGGGACACTCGTTCCAGTTGTACAGAGCCTGCTCGCTCAGATCCTTGAGGATACAGTACTTAGACTTGAGCATGATCGGCATCTTTCCGATGAAAACAGTCTCCTCCTTCGCCTGGTCAGGCGGCAGTTCCTTTTGCTCCCACTGAAGGTATGTGCCCTGGCTTTTTCTATCCTCAACCGGTTCACCCATCTCTTCCTCGTTCCGGTCGGCAACCAATCGCTCCCGACCTTCCATGATTCTCTTCGTAATACCGAGGTACAGGGGACTGGCGTAAGTGAGGTTTCGCAGACGAGCCTCCTGGGGCAACATGATCGTAGTGGCACCATCACCCTCGGTGACGGACGGACGGGAAAGCATGACGGTTCCGAATTTGAGCTCATACCGACGGAGGACAATGGGGTCGACTTCGTCTTCGTTCGGGGGAAGCGTCTGGTCGAGAGTAACCTGGCCCTGCTCTTCCACCAGTTCCTGCATTGTCGACGAGATAAACTCGTCAAAGGAGTCCAGCTGCTGAGAGACTAGACCCTTGGTGTCGAAGAAGGACGAAATGACGGTCCAGCAGTCCTCCGACGTGATCCCCTCATCCATCTCATCGTAGAACTCATCCTCGTAGGCATCTTCGTAGTCGGCCATTTTGGCTAAGGTCGATCACAAGCACAGTAGAAAGGGAGATAGGCAGATAACGGAACTGAATGAGCGCAAAGGCGCGACGCGCTCGTCCAGGGAAAAAGAGAAAAAGGCACCCGCTCGCCGGTAGCCCGACTGCCCAGACAAGCAGACACCTGATGAGACGTCCCTCAGATGGCGCTGGAGATTGACCGGGAAACTGAGTGTCTCAATCAGATGAGAAGTGAGGCCCAGCGATGGTGGTGAACGCAGTAACGCTGGAGAACTTCAGACTCCGGGCGCTGATGGATCTTGAAAGAGCGCCACTAGGCAGCCTCACCGCCTTCTGTGTTAGAGGCTAGTCCCGATACAGTATAATCACGTGACCAAGGTTCTATACAGCGCCACTGCTTGTATAGCAGTGACATTGATGGTGAATAGTTCAAGGCTTACAATAACTTTGTTATATTATGCTATACTTCAATATACCGAAGAAGAGGCTTCGGAATTGTTGGAAGGTTTGCACACAGCATACACGACCGTTGGCCATTAAGAATAGCATCGCTATATTACAAATCAATTAAGATCCTCAGTAGTATTACAATTTCTGGTCTAGGTACCTATATCTTTCAAAGAAATTGGAGTAATGTTTCCAGCATTTCCTTATAATCCTTTTGGCCTGGCTCTTCTTCTGACAGACCCTCGATTTGCTCTGCAAGTAATTAGCATAGATACCTGAAGCAACTTGTAACTGCTGGAACATACCTTTCAGTGTGCCCTGAATAAGAGACAGATCTTCATCACGGTCTGCAAGAAGAGCGACAATCCGTTTTCTTGCTCCATCGTCCTCAGCCACAAGCCATGCCAAGATCACGTCGATAAGCTGCGACTGATGTTAGCGACTGAGAATGTGCAGGACGTGCAGGACAGCACATACCTGGATACAGAAAAGGCCTGCGTCAAACCTCCGTGAAAGCCACTCTGGTGCCATAATCTCCTGCTCTTCTTCCGTGTATTGTTTGCGCTCCTTTTCAATGGCTTGCTCGACAGGAGTCACACGCGAGGCATAATCTCGTCGTAACTTGATCAGCTTTTCGATTTTCTCATAGTCCTTCTCCATGAATTTTGCCAGGGCACGAATCCGTGGCGCGGATCCACCGGGCAACAGACGCAGGAGAGAGGCAAAAATGCCCAACAGATGCTCTATCGTCTGATGTTCTTGCTGTTCGAGCTTAGTCTCAGGGTATGTAAACCTAGGTGGTTCTGGGGCTACCCTACCTTTTTCATGAACATGCCGAACACAGTTCGCAGGCCCGCAGCCTCGACCAGACGCTCGCACGCAGGAGCACCCTCAATTCCACCCAACGCATGATCCAGCACACGCAGAGCGCGCGGCTTGCTGAATTTTCCTTCCTTCAACATAATCTGGGCCAGTTCAACGCCTTCACCTTCTAAGAACTTTTCCTTACCCGATGCCTCGTCGACAAGACAGATCAAGCAGTCAAATAAGTTCTCGACATACTCTTCCTCGTCAGAATCCTTCTCAGGATCGCGCTTGCGATATTGACTCAGGAGTTGAAGGAGTACGTCTACGCCATCCAGGCTAATGAATTTGTCCCGGTTTTTGGAGGATGATTGTAACAGTATAGCCAAGATCTCAGCCGAGTACTGCAGATTCTGGGAGACTGGCCTCTCTTTCTGCTGAACGCGGGCAAGAAGCCACGGAAGCGTATTCTTATCTTGACCGATCTTCTCAGCGTGCAATGTCTGTGAAGCAAGATTCTCCAAGACACCTATTCCGGGGGAGTCAGCAAAGTCGTCGCTTTTATAACACGGATAGATCTCTTACTTAGAACGTAATATACTCCTGCGCGGTCTGTTTCAGAGTTTTCATCCAACCGCGACAGGTTCTGAGCCAGCAGTTCGATAAGGTCCGCATCCAGCTATATCGGTCAGCATTGTCTGAAATGTAAGTAGACAATGGATGCATACCATTGCATTGACTAAGCTATCCCACTGTTCTTGCTCAGCCTCGACGTCTTCGTCCGTCAGTTCGCTGATGATCTGAATGGCATCAATGGCGATGTCGGCGTTCTCGTGAGAAAGTAGAGAGATCAACGAGCCAACGCATCCCAGCTTAGCAAATTCGCTGTAAAGTTCGGGGTGTTCGGAGAGGATCGATAATTCTTTGATTTCGGTGTCTAGATCAGCCTCGGAGGCCATGAATCTAAGGAATCAGCCCGATGCATATGAATCCGACGGAGTGTATGCTCACTTTTGAGGGTCGTTTTCGAACTTTCCTCGCAGCTCAGCGTTCTTGGAGATCTTCTTCTCAAAATTGAGGGCGAACCGGCGCAGCCAGGCAGTGTCGAATTTCTCAGGCTAGACAAGCAGTCAGAACCCAGCCGAAGACAACATTGACCAATAGTACATACCGCCGCCTCTCCCTGATCTTGTTGGTCGATATACTGCATTGCCTGCGCGGTTTGCCGGTCCATGCCTCCACCGAAAAAGCGTCCTTCCTCGTCATCATCGGGAACATCTTCTTCGGCGTCGAAATCGGGAGGGAGTTCGGGACCAGCTTCTCCGTCGTCATCCACTTCATCTTCGACCATCGGGGCCTTCCCTTTCGACTTTACATCTCCGTTCGCTTCGAGCTTCGCGGCTTTGTAGAGCTCGTCTTTGAGGATACGTTAGTATCTGCACCCGTTATACGGAATCTTTCGACGTACTCGGGTCTTTTGTGGCATCTAGTTTTCGTTTCGCACTAGCTGCCGATGACGGTTTCTGAAAACCATTAGCTTCCAATGCTGTTGCGCTGGTGTGCTCACAGTACCTTGAAAAGCTCATCGACACTGGTCATGGTTGCGACAGGTATTGCGGGCGAGGGTCGGCGCAACCACGCTTTAATCAAATGGCGCGAACCGGAGAGTGGAAAGCAATAATATGACTGGACTAGGATATTTCACACGGTTTCAAGTTGCATGCCTCTCAGGTCGCGTTCATGAGCTGATTGAGCCTGTGGTTGCGCTCTTGCTCCGAGATAATACGGCGTCCGGGAGGAGCTAAAGACGCAGTCGACCGCCAAGCACGCGAAAGATTTCTCGGTCCGCAACTTCATCATCGAACATCCATTTGCAACCCGACGTGTCTGCCTTTTGAACACCGTTCTAATCGACTACTCTCCACACTCTATCTCCTTTGAAATTTCGGATATTCGCCATGGCTCCCAAGCAGCACATCGTCGCCGCCGGCCGCCCCCAGAAGGGCTTCTTCGCTTCCGCATATGAGGAGATCACCCGTCCGGAGAACGCCACCATTGTGAGAAGCATCGTCGTGTTCGGCGTAAGTCCTCCTAAGTGTTGTTGGCTTGACAGAGTATCAGCTTGTCTGACGTGTTTTCTACAGGCCGGCGTCGCTTTCCTCCACAGCTCTCTCAGCGAGCTTCTCCTTCCTCCGTGAGTCGAGACCAACTACCGCTGATGATCGCGAGCGGCCTTTCTCAAAGAAGAATTGCCACTGACAATGAAGCAGTATGTAAACGAATACCCGATGAATCCGTACGTTGTGTCGCTGTGTTATGAGCTGTGAGTGTTGGTCAGACGATCTGTCTGTTGGGCGGATGGGAGATGCTGCCAACGCTTGTTATACTATATCCCTGGGTGAGGTTTATCTGGGTTGATAATCGCTCCATGTATTATACTGCATTTTGTGTTTTGGGGGTATGTTTGGTAGTACTTGACATGCGCGTGTTTTTATAGACGGGAAAAAGAAATCGATACTAGATGAGGTTACTGTCTGTCCACTATCAAGATGAGATGGTGAGGAAGCTTTCTTTTGTGACTTGGATATCTCATACTAGTCTCATGTAGCAGACTACCGTATGTGCTCCGGATATATACTCGGAACGTGGATATTGATACTCCCTCGAGTGTACGGAGTGAACATCACCACCCCTGATATTGTCCTGATCTCCACATGTCTCACAAGCTGGGCTGAATGTAGAATAGAAGAGTCAGAAATCCATGAGATAACATAATAATAATAACCTCAAACCCATAACTGTCTCTTCTAGAATCCGAATGGATCCCACATATTACCCTTTTGGGATTGCCCGGTCAAGCAGTTCTCGGCCTCAGGCACCGTGCGTCGTGCAGATCACTGACAATTCTCCGAGTACATAACAATTCCCTCGTCTCAGCTTCTCTGCCTCCCCGTTCCTCCCCGACGACACTAGGACCGTTCTATAATTATTCAGACACTACCCCATCCTCGAATTCTCCCCAAATAAGCTGATCCCCGCTAAATCCGCCAAGAGACTGTCCACCTCCCAATTAGCGCGGGGAACCCGCAAAATCCCCACACGAAGCGACCCGAACACCGCCTTTGGTAGTGCCGGGGAGAACACTATCCAGCGCTTACTCCGTAGTCGCTGCATGCACTCTCATTTTTCCGCCGGATCTGCTTTTCCTTCGATGCGAGATTCGTGAGACTTTCACAGCTGCAAGCGCGGCTGGCATTACGCTGCCGAAGATGATGACCACCAAACGCAGGTCGCCGAACATCGAGGGGCGTGATAACGTGCCGGTGGCCAGAAGAGACAGCGTCCTGGGGTATAATGCCCATGCGCCCTGGTTGCAGGACGCGCGGCCGTCAAAGGGATGGAGAACCCTCGGGGACCGCGCAGTGCACGCGTCCCTACCGCTGGCCAACATGGTGTCCACCGTGCAGGACCTGATCGACCCGGATTTTGACCCCCTCATTGCGATCCTCGACGACGAGCCGCGTTTTCTGAAACCCCTCCCTCCCAGGATCTCGCCAGAGGATCTGGAGTTTCTCCGCTTTCGTGGGGCCCTGACGATCCCCGAAAGTGGGCTGCGCAATGAACTACTGCGGTGCTATATCAAATGGGTGCACAGCTTTATGCCCGTGTTAAACCTCCAGGAGTTCCTACGATGTGTGGTCGAAAATGACCCAAATGGGAATATCAGCCTTCTGCTGTTCCAAGCGGTCATGTTTGTGGCGACAGCTTTTGTGGATTTGAAACACTTGCAGGATGCCGGCTATTCTACGAGGAAGAGTGCTCGCAGTGCGTTTTACACGCGGCTAAGGGTGAGTGCACCGGAAACACCGGCAAGTACGGGTTGCATCTAACGTGGATACAGCTGCTCTATTCCCTCGACTGCGAGGACGACCGGATCATCATCCTGCAGACCCTTCTCCTGATGACGTACTGGACAGACCACATGAACCATCCGCAGCGGGATATCTGGGATTGGATTGGCGTCTGCAACACCGTGGCCCATTCAATAGGCTTGAACAGAGATCCGTCGACCGCGACGAACATGGACGATAAGACGAAGCGCCTGAGGATCCGTCTATGGTGGAGTCTTTTCTCGCGGGACCGTCTCATTGCAATGGGTCTGCGACGGCCTACCCAAGTCAATGAAGGAACGAGCAATGTTCCCATGTTGAAGCTGGAGGATTTTGACCCCGAGCCCTTCCATCCAGCCGTGATTGAAATGTTCGACTGTCGTCAGCTACAAGACGCCTCCCACCAGAAGCGCCTCGCAATCATGTTCATCGAAAAAACGAAACTTTGTCAGTGCATTGGCCGCGTGCTCTTTGCCCAGTACATGCCCTCGCAGCGTCTGTTTGGCACCACCACCCGGACGACGATCACTCTGATTCCGAGGCAGGCCTCGGAATCGGAGCTGGCACGCTGCAGCCAGCGGCTGGACTCGTGGTTGGGGGCTCTACCAAAAGACGCGCAGTTCATCCCTGCCTCGAAGACGAACATCAAGGAAGGAGAGGATGTGCTGCTCCTCCATGGTGCCATGGTGAGAATGTTGTATCACGCTACCATTAGTGCCTTGCACCGTCCATGGGCCATGGGCGCCAACAAGGACCAGCCCAAGTCTCGCAACGAATTGACCAATGCTGCGCGCGCAAAAATGCACGATGCCGCTATTGGCATCACACACATCATCCAGGGTCTCAACCAACTGAACCTTACTCGCTTCCTTCCCCAGTCCGGAGTCACAGTCATTATCCCCGCGGCCGTGGCTCACTTGGCGAATTCGCTGTCCGACAATCCTTCCATCCGCGAGGCTAGTATCCACAACTTCCAACGATGTATCCAGGTCCTCCAGGGCCTACAAGACATATACCCCGCCGCCGACATGGAATTCGCCAACATCGAAGCCGCCGTCCGTCTCCAATCCGACAGCGCTAGCACGTTCCTGCGCATCATGCAGTACAACACCATCAACATGAGCCAGCTTCAGGCCCAGTCCCAGAGTCGAAGGCCCAGCGCCGGTTCAACCGTACAAACTATAACGTCGCCTGACGAGCGAACGCCCTCCCACTGGGCCTCCCCGAAAGCAGCAGAACCAAACAGCTCAAGCAGGCCCCACCCTCCCGAGAACAAGACCCCCAAACCCACTAGCCCCGAAACCCGCAAAGACAGCACAGCGACGACGGCTGCAAATGAACCGTCCTCGAAGAAAGCAAAACTCGAACACCCGACCCCCTCTACTTCGACCGACTTTGATGACCCTTTCAGCCGCATGATCAACCCGCCTCCCTCCCCTCCTGCCGACACGAACCCAACCATCTTCAATCCATCCGATCTCCTGCGGATGGACATTGACTCGTATATATCCGACTTCCCACTCCCCGACCCGTCGGGGTACCCCAATCTCGATGTAGACTGGGCGGAGGAGCTCCTCCGCGGAGCAGAACTGGACCTCGATTATCCTGGTCCCACCACAGACGACCGGAGTAATGATATCTTCGATTTTAACGACAAACCCGAACGAGGGTCTATGGGACATGGGAATGGCGACATTACAGGAGATTTGGATAGGGACTTGGGATTGACGCATTCGGGTGATGAAATGTTTTAGCATGGTTATGATAGATCGGTATATATACATGTACGTGTAGCTTACTTATGCCCAGAATGACACCATTTATGCTCCATTACTTCAGACTTCTTAAGGACAGAAAACTATTCTCATCATGAGATCCATTGAGCAAAGAGATTACAATCCCTTTGTTTTGAACGCCGGTGACAAATTCTAGATCCCCACGATCTATATGGCATCTATCAGACCAAAGAAAGCATTACAACGTGGCAGTCCTCCGTCGTGCATCTAAACCAAACCCTGAGTACCAGTCGGACTACCGACCGCCCCAGCGGTTGCTCTCGTCACCCTCTTCCCACAGGTGTTCAGTATATCCCAAGCCGTTTCTTAACGCTCTGCACCGTCTCCTTGTCGCCCGTGTTCTTGCCCATATTGTCACTGAGTTTCACCGCGGGCCGACCATTCGCGGTGGCAATCTTGATAACGATATTCAGCGGCTTCGACTTCTCCCCGTTGGACTTGTTGACAAAGTCATCTACAACACGTCAGCTGGAGCTGTCCACCGCGCACCCCTCACAGAACAAATGACTTACTGGTAAAGAACGTCCCAACTCCAAAAACAGGCCGGAACCCGGCCTCCTCCGCAATGACCTTGTACTCGAGACAGTGCTCGATGTTCAGCGAGTCAGAGAATACGACCGACTTCTTCTCTGTGATGCCTTCGCGGTCGTAGAAATCCCGCACCATCTTGACGAAGTACGTCGGGTCGCCCGAGTCCTGCCGCACGCCAGTGTACACATGCGCGTACGTCTTGGAGGGATGCGGGTGGCTGCCGTTGTCGATCGGCGCGGCGATGGGTGGCTTTGTGTCGGCCTCGCTCTGGGGCGTCGACTCGCCGGTCGTGCCGGGGCCGGAGGCCGTCGTGGACACGGCGCCGACGCCCGCGCTGGTGTAGTCGGGGATGGGCTTGCGGAAGGCGTCCAGGAAGGCGGGCGTGCCGAAGGTATCGGTCAGCGCGATGCCGAGCACCTGGCGGAAGGTTAGTGATCTGGTTGGAGAAAATGAACCGCAGCAGGCAAACTACATACACCCTCTCCAAAGCAGCCCATCCAGTACCGCAGGGCTATCTCATTAGCGTGCTCGTAGTCGTCCGTGATCGCCGCAATGGTCATGTACCACTCGTGAGCGACAGTACCGACAGGATCGACGTCGTACTTCATCGCAAAGTGCACGTTGCTCGTGCCGGTGAAGACGCCTGACCAACCCTGTTTCTTCTTTTCGGCCGCGGCACGACACAGCCCCGTCATGACCAGGTCCTGGGTGTGGTAGTCGCGGCGGCGTCGCGAGCCGAACTCGGAGAACACGCAGCCATTCTCCAGCAGCACGCAGCCCTTGCGGTAGGCCTTGTCCTCCTGGTTGCTGTAGTCCCAGTCCTTGTCGCAGAAGCGGAAGTAGGCCTCACTGGTCAGCGCCAGCAGCGGGATCTCGTACAGGATCGTGTCCACCCAGAGACCCTTGACGACGTAGTGGATGTCGCCAACGTCGTCGTCACTGCCGGTGTCGGTGGTGGGGGTGAAGTGGATTTCGATCTGCTCGGTAGGCTTGAGTTTGAAGGTTGTCAAGAAGTCCAGGTAGGCCGGGCTGAAGTAGGGACAGCGTTTCTTCAGGAATTCGATTTCCTCAGGTGTGACGTGGACGTTTGCGAGACCTGTTGGGAGAGGCGGTTACCATGGTGGTTGTTGGCGTGGAATATAGAACAGAGAGCGTCTACATACGGTCCATTTGGTTCAGAAGCCATTTATATGCCTCCCGCGTCAGCTTCATCTGCGGAGTGCGGTTCGTGAAGCCGTATGTTACGTCTGCGGAGACGTCAGAAGCGCCACTCATGCAGCAAGGGTGCGAGGAAGATACATACGGACATCAGGGAAGTACTTGAGAACGGCGCATTGCATCGTCAACTTGTATAGATCGGTATCAAGAAGGGAGGAGATGCCCTCCGGCAGAGGAGGGGTTCCTTCTTGACTCATTCTGCGCGCTACGCCCGAGCTCTGGCGAAATCCCAATGTATAAATAGCTGTAGCTGGAAGTGCCGCAGGTGGTCAAGGACAGATTCAATCCAAGGCTGGGTTCAATGGAGTAAAGGTGACTGAAGAATTTCCATATCAATCGGCTGCGGGGGAACCGTTGAAGCCGCCATCGGGAAAGCTGTTTGCACCGTTTGCATGCATCGGATTTTCGTCATTGAAGTGCGTCATGCTCAAGTAGCTGGCTGGGGGGGAAGGTAGGAGCGATTGTAGGAGATTGCTGTTAACTATGATGGGATTTATGGAAAGATAACGCCTGGCAGGGGTGTGCTCGTCGGATTAGGGTCATTGCGAGCCTTTGCGTGTTGGGAAAGAGGTCTTGTGCATTCAAAGAGGGTGTGTTGAAGTGGATTCTATCTTTCAATTGTATACGTGCCTTTGGCATGTATAGTGAGGTACATGAAAATGTCATCATGCAGGCCAATGCATGATATTGACCTGTTTGGGATCTATATTGTACAGACGAATGCTCACTGATGCCTGATCCCTCAGGCCGCATACCCCGCCTGTTTGACAAACTTTCAAAGGTGGCTGTGGCTGGTGTGACTGACTCAGCATTTAGTGGCGGTGTCGCTGCCTGATCTGCAAGGCTTCCCGGCGGCCGATTATTCCGAGCGCGGCGATTGTCCGTTTCCTCCCAGATTGATCAACTTATCGCTCTTTGTCCTCACTGTCCATCACTATCCATCGCCACCATCACACCCGTGTCGCTGTTCGTACAGGACACTCAGCCCTCTACATACTGCCATCTGGGCCCGTCTCTGATCCAATCCTCATAGCCTGGTTCGAAGTTCAGAGGCGCTCCAGTTCTCGACCGCCGACATCGCATCAGTCTACCCAGAAACATGGCGCACGGTGCGGAGGACTGCGCAGCGGTCTTGGAGCAATTCGTACACGATGTGGCCAACTTACCCGCCGAGATCAACCACCTGATGGAAGAAATCCAAGCGAAGGATAAAATCATACAAGAATGTCGCGCGACAATCAACTCTCGAGACAGCAGTATCCAGAAGTTCATCAAGCTGAACGGCAGTCTGACGCCGAACCCGAAGGAGGAGCAGTACGGCCGGGCGATTCTCCAAAACCTTGAAAAATCCCAGCAACTACAGGACGAAAAGATCCAGCTCAGCGATAAAGCCTGCGTGCTACTGGATCGCCAGATCAAGAAACTCGACATCAAAATCCGCGACCTCGTCAACGAAGGCGTCCTCTCCAACGATCCTCCCCTCCCCTCCCTCTTCAACAATAAAGACCAGTACCGCGATCCTCCCAAGATCTTCTTCCCCGACTCCACCTCCGAATCTCCCGCCTACAGCACCCCTCTCAACTCCACCTCCGGCAACGCAAACGTGATCATCGGCGCGACGCAACGGCTCAATCAGTCTCTGGCCCGGAACGTCGGCGCAGCAGCCCTCACCTCGCAAGCTACCGCACGCAGCTCGGCCCCTGCTACTCCCGCCGGCGGGACTGGCCATCTGCAACCGCGCCAGCGGGAGTCGTCCGCCGGCGCAGTCGAGAACAAACGGCGACGGTTGAACACACAACTCGGCACGCTCCCCGCAGCGTCGTCGAACCTGCGGCAGTCCTCTCTTGGGCCCGGAACACCCAAGGGCGGAACCCCGGCGTCGAGTCGCGCGGGCAGCGCAGGGCCGCGCACCATCACGACCACCAAGAAAGCTTTGACGAAAAAGGTCGCGCCGCATCAGCAACTAAAGAAGATAAAGGCTTCTGGCGGGAAGCCGGGCAAGCGGTCGTCGAGTGCAAGCGGTCGCATCAAGATGACGGGCCCGAAGAAATCGCCTTCTGCCGCGGGCGGCGATGAAGACGAGGATGACTCGATGCTCAGCAGTGCTGATGTCTCTGATTCGGAGAACGCGAGTGACACTCGTCGCGGCGATGACGATATGGAGGACGAGGAAGAGGACGAGGGCAATGAGGATACCAAGGTCTACTGTACGTGTCGCAGCGTCAGCCACGGGGACATGGTGGCCTGCGATAATGAGAACTGCGAGTTTGAGTGGTTCCATTGGAAGTGTGTAGGCTTGACGCGGGAGCCGGTAGGCAAGTGGTATTGTCCACAGTGCGCGGCCAAGTTGAATGCTTGATTATACCCTCATGTATTATGTTACCAATTTCTGCAGAACCCACGTTTTCATCACATAGAAACATTACCTACCTACTACCTAGTCAATGCAACGACAGGCAATACCTATGCATCAGAAGACAAATCCCCCATCCGAACCATCATATCCATTGACTTTTTCTAATTCATAAATGCCCGTATTGTAGACACCAACCATGGTCAATCCCAACATCAGACAAACATAAACGCCATCGCTATGCAAGCAAATATGATCCGGCGCTCCCGCGCACATCGTACATGGAATAGAAACCAACAACAGCCACTAGAACCCGAGCGCCTTTTCTAGCCACGGGTCGAAATACTCGCAGCTTTCCGGGCTCACCGCACCGCCGGGCGCACACAGCTTGAAGACCGGACATTGGCCGCAGGGCGCCTCGGTCATTCCGTTGCGCACGAGACGGTCGGTCTCGGCGTCGTCGCCAGCAGGTTTCCGCGCCTGCTGCGCCTTCACCTGGTCGGGGTTCTTGACGGACTTGTAACACTCGCCGTTGTTCAGGGCGACGAGCTTCTTGTCGTAGCAGAGCATCTCGAGCAGCTGGACGATGCTCTCCTCGCCGAGCCGCACAGCCGTGAGGCGACTCTCGTTCACGGCGGCCGTGATCATCGCCACAGTCGGGTAGCCCTGGTAGCCACGCGGGAAGGGCAGGTACTCCTTCTGGGGCGGGTCGGACTTCACAGCAACGCCGGCGCCGTCGGCGGTCGTCTTCATGCGCTTTGCGCGGGCGCCGCCGCCGCCGCTGTCGGCAGAGACCTCGAACCAGCTCTTCCGACTCACGGTGTACTCGATGTAGCCGGCGATGCTGTTGATGAAGTCCTCGTCGAGAAGGCCGTCGGTGAACCAGGCGCCGCCGGTGACGTCCTCGCTGGGGGCGAGCCCGGCCAGCATGTACATCTTGCGGGTGGGGAACTTGACATTGTGGACGCTCTTAATGTAGTTCTTGCCTTCGAGCGATTTGAGACAGCGGTCGAGGATGGACTTGTGCAGGTTGGTGCGGTTCTGGATCAGCCGCACCCAGATGCCGGAGCGGCCGGTCGAGTGGATGACATTGTAGACCAGGCTTTCGTCGGGGCTGAGGCTCTGCAGTCTGATGCGAGGAGCGAGACGATTAGCAATTTCATGGGACGTGGGAAAGAGACATCATGTCTGTGTGCGCGGCAATTGGCATACTTTTCAGCGTCTTCCCGCGAGATGATCTTCCATGCGAGACGGTCATTTTTGCCCTGGAGCAGTCGGAACAGTTTCTGGTCGACGAGTCGCTGGGTGCATTGCAGCAGAAGCGCGACGTCGTTCTTTGGGATCACGTTCAGTTTCAGCAGATCCTGTTGGTAGAAGAGGTGGTCGGAAGGAAAGCCCTCAAGGCATGCATCGTAGAGCTGCGAGGCAAGCTCGTTCACTGAGGCGCTGCCAGAGGCCATGTTGAAGCAAGCCGGAGGGGTCGGTCAGTCAGTCAGGATGCGAGTCACCGGAAAGGCCGAGAAAAGATCATGTTCAAGGGCGCATTCCCGCTCGGCCTGGTGTGTGAGTCAACCTGCAATGTCGATTGCCAGGCACAGTCGGTGTCACAGGGGAGGTTGGTGAGAAAAGGCAGGGAGGAGTAGGTAGTTTGAAGACGAAGTAAGTGATGGTCGAGAAGATGTTTTTGGCGGCTTTTTCTTCGACAGCACCTGTTTAGGTTTAGCGCCGTCCGAAGCTAGCGGGGGCACGGTCTGGATGCCTGAGGCCCGCTACATTTGTCCGGAAATTTCCAGAAGCTCCCGCAGCAGTTAAGTTGGTTCGAGAGCTCACCTCACCTCACCGTTTCGTTCTCTCTTCCTCTCCTCTCTCCCTCATCCACATCCTCAGTTTCTTTCCTCACCACCCACCGGGAAGTTAGTCACCATGGCTGACGCTCTCAAAGCCGAAGGCAACAAGGCCTTCTCTGCAAAGGATTACTCCACCGCCGTGTATGCGTTCATTGACCCCGCTTTATGGGCTCCGGTAGAGCTATGCTAACGGGAAGTTCGCTGCAGGGACAAGTTCACTCAGGCCATCGCCATCGAACCCGAAAACCACATCCTCTACTCCAACCGTTCCGCCGTCTACTCTGCCCAGGGCGAGTATCAGAAAGCTCTCGACGACGCCAACAAGGCCACCGAGATCAAGCCCGACTGGTCCAAGGGCTGGAGCCGGAAGGGAGCCGCCTACCGTGGCTTGGGAGACCTTCGTAAGTCATTCCGTGGTTGTCTACACTGGTGAAGTGTTCATGGCTAACAGTGGGACAGTCGCCGCCCATGACGCATACGAGGAGGCACTGAAGATTGAGCCCGGCAACGATCAGGCCAAGTCCGGTCTGAGCGCCGTTCAGAGAGCCATCAATGCCGAGGCCCAGGCCGACGGTGTCACCGGGGACCCTATGGGCGGCCTCGGTGGCATCTTCAATGACCCCCAGCTTTTCCAGAAACTGGCCAACAACCCCAAAACCTCCGGTCTTCTCGCCGACGCCGAGTTCATGGCGAAGTTGCAGCGTGTGAAGGAGAACCCGAACAGCGTGGGTGAGGAGATCAAGGATCCCCGGTTCCTGCAGGTCATGAGCGTCCTGTTGGGTATTGACATGAGCTTCGGCGCTCCCCCCGAGGCCGCCAGCGCTGCCGGTGCGGCCGAGCCCCAGGAGGACGTCCCCATGCCCGATGCTCGTCCTCAGCCGAAGAAGGCGCCGGAGCCCGAACCCGAACCCGAGCCGGAAGACGAGGAGGCTGTCGCCAAGAAGAAGGCCAAGGAAGCCGGCGACGCGGAGAAGAAGATCGGTAACGACTTCTACAAGAAGAAGCAGTTTGATGAGGCCATTGAGCACTACACCAAGGCTTGGGAGTTGAACAAGGACGTGACGTACCTGAACAACATCGGTGCCGCCAAGTTCGAAAAGGGTGATTTGCAGGGTGCCATCGAGACTTGCCAGAAGGCCGTCGAGGAGGGCCGTGAGCTCCGTGCCGACTTCAAGACGATCGCCAAGGCCTTTGCCCGTATTGGTACGGCGTACGAGAAGCTGGGCGATCTCAAGCAGGCGATCGAGTTCTACAACAAGTCGCTCACGGAGCACCGAACCCCCGATGCCCTTACCAAGCTTCGCAACGCCGAGAAGGCCAAGGACAAGGCCGAGAAGGAGGCTTACATCGACCCGGCTAAGGCTGAAGAGGCCCGCGAACTCGGACAGAAGAAGTTCCAGGAGGCGGACTGGCCGGGCGCGGTGGATGCCTTTACCGAGATGACGAAGCGCGCGCCGCAGGACCCTCGTGGTTACTCGAACCGTGCGGCCGCACTCATCAAGCTGATGGCGTTCCCGCAGGCGGTGCAGGACTGCGACGAGGCGATTGCGCGGGACCCCAAGTTCATCCGCGCGTACATCCGCAAGTCGCAGGCGCTGGTGATCATGAAGGAGTACAACCGCGCGCTGGATGCCTGCACGGAAGCCGCCGAGCACGACGATGGCACGCACGCCCGGGAGATTGAGCAGCAGCAGCAGAAGTGCCTGGAGGCGCAGTTCAGTGCCCGTGCGGGCGAAACGGAACAGCAGACGATGGAACGAATCCAGAACGACCCTGAGGTGAGTTTGCTTTGAATTTTGGATGATGGTTGGATGATACTGATGGTTGTTTATAGATCATGTCCATCCTGCAGGACCCGGTGATGCAGAGCATTCTCCAGCAGGCCAAGAGCGACCCGGCGGCTCTGCAGGAGCATATGAAGAACGCGCAGGTGCGGTTGAAGATTCAGAAGTTGATGGCGGCGGGCGTGATTCGTCTGGGGCGGTAGAGGTTGACCAGTCGAGGGATGATGAAAAGTCGGGTTGAGATGATGCATTTTCTTGCACTTTCTTTGTGAATTGCGAGTAGTCTACGACATGCCATTTTACGAATGTGATTATGTTATGAGTAGTCGAGCGGGAGTGGGAGCGTTAAAGTGGTTGTACTTCGCCTGCGAGATATATTTCCGCACCATCTCACATTTCGTACCAACCTTGTGGAATTATTATTATTTTAATCAGCACGTGTTGATAATGGAACAAGTTGTACAAAGGACTATGGTGAACCCTGTTGGCGACATCCCTTGGGGAATACACTGCTATCAACAACAGGTACTACGTAGGTGTAGGGAGTAGACGCTTGGACCGACGCCAACAGGCTAACCGGGTCGCCCAGCCACATGCCACCCACTCGAGGGAAGGTTATCTCCGAGCGTGTCTCACTTCCACGCTTTCTCATCCACGCCAAGCTGGCCCGGAAATGTTTTTCGGCGGCGAAGGATCCACATGGCGTGGCTGGGGAGGCGCTACTATTGACCCTGGTGGGGGTGCAATACATACAGGTACGTACACCTACTGTACCTAGTATTGACAGGACTAATCCCAGAGTGGATGGACGATGCATCCAGAGGAATGGCGTGGTAGGACTCCTCTGGTAAAAAGGTTGATCCATGGGCGATGCGCACGATCATCGCATCGTATCGGGCTCCACCGGCGAACCATGGGCGATCGGTTGTTCCTGATGAGGAGTTTTCAGTTCAGTGGGCGATTGCTTCCAGTCCAACTCCTTATATCATGTATCTCTTGGATAGAGCAAAGACACGGGATGATTGGGGTACTGTGGCTGGGAGGATTCATGTTACTATCGGTGTTGTGTGGGGTTGGTGTTTGTTAATTGAGATGATGATATTAGCTCGCGCATGCAGTGGCAAATCCAGCGGGGCAAAGCTAATCGGGGACAGCTCAGCATTGGCGTTGGGGAAGATACTTCGGACAGCATTCCTGAATCTCTTCTGATAATGACTATAACTAGAACCCCATCCTGACACCTACAGGTACAGAAAGATATTATAGAAGAAAGCGAGACCGCTATAGATCTATTATTGGTATACCTATTGAGCAGGGGTAGGGATCTGTGGCGCATGTGGCGGTGCAATCAATAGATCGAGACTGGCGTCATCCATCCGCCGATCCTTGCGGTCCATTGAGAGCTGAGAGTCGATGAATGACAATAATAATGATGATGATGATAATAACATCACCCTCATAGTATCTACTGAATAATAATAGCAATAATGAATCCTTTGTAATCTCTCGGAAATACAAACAACCCCCGTGGACCAGATCAGGAACTGGAACGGATGCTGGATCCGATCGGCCTGTTCCTTTTTTTCCTTTTTTTCTTTTTCTCCCCTTCCTTTTTCCCTTTTTCCCTCGGCCTTGATTGACCCTTTTCGTTCTGCCTCCCCCGATCGACGTCACGACGCGCGGATCTCTCGTCTTCCTTTTTTTCTACCGTATGTCATCTCCTCACCTCGTCTCTTCTCTCGTTTCTCTCTCTCCCCTCCCCATTACATCCATTCTCTTCTTCCCTTCCTCATCTACCCTTCTCCAGCCACTTCTCCGTGGCGTTGCAGCTCAATCTCGTCTGAATTGACTGCATCCCTCCTCCGCTACGGTCCCCCCTCCCCCTCATCATCGACCGTGCTTTATCCGGTGAGTAAAGGTCAAGGTTGAATGTCTGATGTCTACATGAATTACTTCTTCCTCTTCTCTTTCTTTCTCCGTCCCTCTCCCTCTCTCGCGCTCACCCTCTCCTCTCCCCTGTCCCGAAGCTTCCACGCTCTCCCCGCTGCGGAGTTTCTGAAGGCAGCAGCCTTATGGCCCCGACCCTAACTCAACCCCAAGGCCGCCTACTTGTCCCTCACTTCAATTCCTCCAATTCCTCCCATCGCGCGCCCTTTGTAGCCCACCCGTCTGATCCTTTTTATCCCCTCCAACAAAGGAAAGAATAAAAGAATCCGTCTAACTACCGTCTCCAGAATTGGATCCACCGGGGTTTGTAGTCGGTGATTCTTCACCCCCCATCGCCCCGTGAGCCATGGCCTCCAACGGCGTAGATGCCAAAATGAGCGAATCGAGGCAGCAGGGTGCCATTGAGACCGCCCAAGAGGCCGCCCAACATCCCTCCCAGGATGCTGCCCAGGCCGCCGAGAAGGTCCTCGTCGAGGAGACTCGCAAGGCCGGCATACCCGCCTACCAATTCGACCCTGATGCGTCTCCCGAAGAGAAAGCCGCCGTTGCGGAATCGGTAGGATTTCATCATCCCGAATCTCTTAACATTAACTGACCGGCTGCCGTTCTCTTGTAGCGGGTACCACCAGGTTTCCACCACGAGAAGAAACCCAAGGCGACCGCCGTCATTACCGATAAAGTGAGCCCTCTCCTTCTCCTTCCCCCGTACTTTCCCTAGGAACATCTTGCCTAACCAGCGACCTCTCTTCTCCGCTAGGATGACGGCTCCCCCGATCAATACGACCTCCCTCCCCCGAGATCGGCAACCGATATGCTCGAAGAAAAGGCCAACGAAACCCCCGCGGAGACAAAGGCGGATGCCATGGATGAAGATTTGCGATGGGCCCGCGACCGCACCGGTTGGGCTCCGCAGTTCGAGAAACCCATGACCGAAGAAGAAAAGGCCGAGGGAACGCTGTTGGACCACCAGGATTTCCTCGAATCCAAGTTGGATGACAAGTTCTTTGGAGGTGCGTAGAACCACCAACTCGGAAGATGCCATGATCTGGATACTGACTCTTCTAGACTGGTACCATAATGCCGGTGTGATCGTTTTTGCTTGTCTGTCCTCCTGGATCATCGCCGTTCTGGGCGGTGGTCTGGCGTGGGTCTTCATTGTCATGGCGGCCTGCAGTACCTACTACCGGACCTCCATTCGCCGTGTTCGACGAAACTTCCGCGACGATGTCAACCGCGAAATGGCCAAGCAGCGCCTCGAAACCGACACCGAGAGTCTCGAATGGATCAACAGTTTCCTGGTCAAGTTCTGGCCCATCTACGCCCCGGTGCTCTGTGATACGATTATCAACTCCGTTGATCAAGTGCTGAGTACCTCCACCCCCGCCATGCTTGACAGTCTGCGCTTGAAGACCTTCATCTTGGGTTCCAAGCCACCCCGGTTGGAACACGTCAAGACCTACCCCAAGACCGAGGTGGACACCGTCATCATGGATTGGAAATTCAGTTTCACCCCCAACGACACTATGGATCTTACGGCCCGCCAGCTGAAGAACAAAATCAACCCCAAGGTCGTCCTCGAGGTCCGCCTGGGCAAGGGTGTGGTGAGCAAGGGCCTCGATGTGATTGTCGAGGACATGGCCTGCAATGGCTTGATGAGAGTCAAGGTCAAGTTGCAGGTCCCATTCCCCCATATCGAGCGCGTGGATGTCTGCTTCTTGGAACGGCCTGAAATCGACTATGTCTGCAAGCCTCTCGGCGGTGATACACTAGGTTTCGACATCAACTTCATTCCCGGTCTGGAGACCTTCATCAAGGAGCAAATACACAACAACCTGGGTCCCATGATGTATGCCCCCAACGTCTTCCCCGTGGAAATCGCGAAGATGTTGGCTGGAAACGCCGTCGATCAGGCGATCGGCGTGGTCGCCATCACGCTCCACGGTGCTCGCTCCTTGAGGAACCCCGACAAGTTCGCTGGTACGCCCGATCCGTATGCAGTCGTCTCTCTCAACAATCGGACTGAACTGGGCCGGACGAAGACCATCCGCGATACCGACAGCCCCAGATGGAACGAGACCATCTACGTTATTATCACCTCGTTTTCGGATTCTCTTACTATTGCGCCGTATGATTGGAACGAATTCCGCAAGGACAAGGAGCTGGGCACTGCCACCTTCCCGCTCGACCGTCTGGAGGAGGAGCCCGAACATGAAAGCGTCTATCTCGAAGTCCTGGCTAGCGGTCGGTCTCGTGGCTCCATCCACGCCGACATCCGCTTTTTCCCTGTCCTAGAGGGGCGGCAGCTCGAGAACGGTGAGATGGAGCCTCCCCCAGAATTGAACACGGGTATTGCCCGGTTTACCGTTGAACAGGCCAAGGACCTGGATGGCAGCAAGAGTATTGTCGGCCAGCTGAACCCGTACGGCGTTCTCCTTCTCAACGGCAAGGAAATCCACATTACGAACAAGCTTAAGCGCACCAACAACCCCATCTTCCAGAATGCCTCCAAGGAATTCCTGGTCACTGACCGGAAAAACGCCCGTCTGGGCTTGGTGATCAAGGACGACCGTGATCTCAGCAAAGACCCCATCCTCGGATCCTACCAGATCAAGATGAATGACATGCTCAAGATGATGGAGAAGGGCCAGGACTGGTTCCATCTGCACGGGGCCAAGACTGGCCGCGCGAAGATGACGCTGCAATGGAAGCCTGTTGCTTTGGGCGGAGTTTCGGGCAGTGCTGGCTATGTCGACCCGATTGGTGTGATGCGTTTCCACTTCAAGAGCGCCTCGAACCTGCGCAACCTGGAAACGATTGGCAAGTCTGACCCTTATGCACGGGTCCTGCTCTCCGGCTACATGAAAGCTCGTACCGTGACCTTCAGAAACACCCTGGATCCTGAATGGGACGAGGTGGTCTACGTGCCGATCCACAGTCCCCGCGAGAAAGTCACTATCGACGTCATGGATGAGGAAAGCGTGGGTAGCGATCGCACTCTGGGGTCAGTCGAGCTGTCGGTGGCAGACTACGTTCATGAGAATGAGAATGGGGAATACGAGGTCGACGATGAGATGCAGCCTATCTCCAGCCCGCTTCGCATTGGCTCTGGCACTCCGAAGGGTGTGATCAACTATACTGTCGCCTTCTATCCGGCCGTGCCCGTCGTCAACCCGGAGGACGAGGTCGAAGAAGAGGAAGTGGAGGCCGAGCTGAACGGCGAGGCTGGCGGCAGCGATGCCCCAAGAAAGAGCGTCGATTCCAGGCGCAAGCCTGCGCACGCGAAGACGCTCAGCACAGACTCCAAGGTTTCTGCCAAGACGCTCACCACCAACGGCGACGCCAAGTCTTCCCGTCAGAGCTTCGAATCGCATGCGAAGGACTCGGACGCCATGTCTGTCCGGAGCATCAAAGAGGTCCCAAAGATTCATATTGGGGTGGAGGACCTTTCTCAATACGGTAATACTGCATTCCCCTGAAGACTGCTTACAAATCGATCCACTGACTAGCGATACAGAATCCGGTTTCCTGGTGTTTAAATTCCATGAAGCTCAGTTGGCGGGCCCCAACGTTCATGTGGAGGTGGTGATGGACGACTACATGTTCCCCGCTTACACCTCGCACAAACTTCGTTCCAAGTCTGTGAAGATTGAAGACAGTATGTCATTGCTTTGCCCAGGGAAGAACGAACACTAATCATACGGCAGTCGGCGATGCTTTCGTCCGCGAGCTCGAATTCTCCAAGATCACCCTGCGCCTCGTGGAGAAGTCGAATACCAAGGATGATAACGAGGAGCATACGCTTGCGAAACTGACCGGTGACACTTACTCCACCTTGCAGCGAATTCTGGTTCGTCTCCCCGACCTCCGACCTGCGGGACTCGGCTGACCTCTTCTAGTATACCCCTACGGAGCTCGTCCTTCGAGGAAACGAGGGAGAATTGAGCAAGATCACGGTCAGTGCGCGCTACATTCCCGTGCGCATGAAGCTCGACCCGCGGGAGAGCATCAACAACATGGGAACGTTGCGAGTGAACGTGCTGGACGCGGCCGATCTGCCATCGGCGGACCGGAACGGCTTCAGCGACCCGTACTGCAAGTTCCGTCTCGATGGCAAGGAGCTGCACAAGACTAAGGTGCAGAAGAAGACGCTGCACCCTGCGTGGAACGAATTCTTTGAGACGCAGATCAAGACCCGTATCGGCGCCGACTTCCGCGTGGATGTATACGATTGGGATTTTGGCGACCGCGCCGACTATCTGGGGGGCGCTCAGATCCCCATCGACACGCTGGAGCCGTTCAAAAACACGGAGGTGACGCTACCTTTGGATGGCAAGTCCGGTGCGATCCGCCTGAACATGCTCTTCAAGCCGACGTATGTGATGCGGTCCCGTCAAGGGTCGTCGACGTTTGCCGGCAACTTTGCGACCCCCGGCAAGATCGTGGGCGCTCCGGTCAAGGGCGTCGGGATTGTGGGTGGTGGCGTGATCAAGGGCGCATCGTTCTTGGGACGGGGCATCATCTCGCGATTCCGCAATGATGACGCCTCCATCTCCGAAGCCGATGAAATCGCCGGCGACGCTGCGGCGCCGTCGGTGGTGGTGGAAGGCAGCCCGGCGCCGAGCGAGACGGCCAACGGGAATGGGCTGCAGCACTCGCGCACGCGCAGTGTAGCGTCGCACTATGGGGACCGCATGGGGTTGGGCGGCGCGGGCAAGGGCGAGTCGGGCACGGCGACGATCACGGTGGTATCGGCCAGCGACTACCCGCCGTCGGCCAACGTACGGGTGTACGTGAAGGCGATCACGCCCAAGGGCGAGAAGGAAGTGTTGAAGAGCAAGGCGCACAAGGCCAGCGGCGGGGGGCCCGTGCAGTTTGACGCGTCACATGAGACGTGCCGGGTCCATAACACGACGGCGGATGTGCAGTATCGCGTGCGGGTGGTCGACCATGCGACGTTTGGCTCGGACAGCGTGCTGGGCGAGGGGATGTTCATGGTGGCCGACCAGGGGTCTGGGTTGGGGCAGGACAAGGCCGTCCAGGCGGGCAGTGGTACGGTGACGATCCGCAGCAGCTTCGCGGCGACCGAGACGTCGCTGCGGCCCGGGACGGCACACTCGACGGCGGGGGATGGGGCGTCGGAGGTGGTGGATAGCCCCGAGTCGAAGAAGGGCCGGCGGAGCTTCCTGAGCAAGCGGAGCGTGAGTGGCGCGTGAAGTACTCGGTACTAGTTACTACTACGGCGTACTCCGAGATCATGTTTTACTTTGATCAGTATATAATTTTTTATTTCCCTTGTTTCGGGAGGGAGGTTATGATTGGTGACGGGATTGTGCGTGGTTATTTTTATGTATGATGGTTTTAGTTGACCTGGCAGAGAGCCGGGTCGAATGATGAAGAAGTTTTACGATGTGCGGAGGATGGCCGAGACTGCGTAGGAATGACATTATGGAGTCAAATGTAGGTAGTAGTTAGGTAGTACGATGTAGTAAGAGGCGGTGGAGGCATGACTGGTCTCACGAGGGATAGGGATGCGACCGGGGGGAGAACCGGAATGTGCAGGGCAGCTGCATGGCATCGTATCTCATCCTGACGGAGGAGGATGAGCTGTCTGTCGGCCACGCAGGGCAGAACTAGTGAACCAGGCCGGCGATAGCGTGGTTGAGAGCGGTCGGGATGGGTCCCGTGGATAAGAATAGCAGCTTGGCCCTATGTAGCCTTAGTAGGGAGTATGTACCAGATGAATCTAAGACCTGCGACTCTGAAGAGGACTAGTGAGTGGTTCTTTGACTGAGACATCCCTTTTCCCATTCATTCTCGCACGTTTCTTCGACTGTTCTAGGTAGGTAGGGACTTACGGAGTCGGTCCCCAAGTACCTTCTGGAAGAGTCGCAGAGCGAATGGAACGAACGAAGAACGGCGGGAACATCATGATTTCCTGGCCGCTGGTGGTGACGAGGCCGGTGGGGCCGAGCGTCCTGAACCCTGAAAAGGGGGATGAAGTACTCCGTAGTTAGTAACCTTAGGTACGGGAGTCCTGGTCTAGAATATCCCATCTATGAAGAGAATAGTATATTGGTATATTGGTATACTCATAACGAGCATAGCATTGGAGAACCTACACAATACAAAATAGATAGATAGATTAATAGACAAATACTAAATACTAGGAGAATACCTATTCCGATCAGTCCCCCCTCTATACCTCTCCTCTCCTCTACGCTTGCGGCCATTCTTGCTGGGGGCTTCCATGCGGCGGCGGCGGTGGTCGAACTCCACTGGCGCCCCCCGAATCAAACATCAACAAATCACCGTGTTGGGCCCGACAACATTTTCCCCCCTCCAGCGTCATCGTTCTTTTCTTATAAGGTAGCTAACACATCTTCGGCTTCTCTTCTCTTCTCTTCTTCTCTTTCTCTTCCCCCCATCCTCTCCTCCATTATTGCTTCATCACACACCCTCTCTCGCTTTCCATACTCCAGCTCTGGTATGTCGCTTCCCTCCAATCCCTCCCCCCTCCCCTGGCACCCTTTCTTTCTCCCCCTCCCCCCCATGACGCACTCATCCATCCCATCTGGATCGATCGACAAGTGGCAACCACCCTGAATCCATGGTCCATATCTTCTTCCCCTCCTCCCCTCTTCTCTTCCTTCTTCCCTCCCTCCTTTCTCTTCTACAATTCCTCCATCCGTCCTCGTTTTCCCAACCATCCATCAGTCGCCAGCTAATTCCCGTGGATAGCTCCCTCTGTGACACCGGATCTCCCCCCTCGTCCGTCTCGTCAACCCAAACTCTCTCTCGAGCCGCTTTGCTGGCTCGGAACTTTACACCAACGCGTCAAACCTCGCTCCTCTAAACACAACCAACCACCAATCCTCGCACAATGTCCGCTTCTGCCCTCCCTTCTCATCTCCGCGCCCCGGCCAACGAGGCTGCCAACGCTGGCTCCTTTGGCAAGCACCACGGAAAGTCTCAGTCGCACATGGTAAGTTCCTTCCACTTCCATCTGTCGCCCTCCCCTCTTGCCTTCGCCGTCGTCGCGCTTTTTCTGTCTGTTGTTCGTTGGACCGCCCGCAATCGCATCATGCTGGTCTCGCTCCCCATGCTCTCCTGCGGGCTGCACTCGACATGCTGCCCCTGCCATTCGTTTTGGATTCAGCCGTGGACCTCCTCATCTGTATTCTCACTGCCGTCTTTCGCCCCACGAACTCCTTGATCTTTCCCTTTCTGGCGTTCCTGGTCTATTGCTTCATCCTGGGTTGTTTCTTTGGCGCAATCCATCTCCTGCACTTGCTATCCTTACTGCCCCACATGTTATGGCCCTTTGCGGCCGTGTCCATCCTTCCGTTCGTCATAGACGCTGTCGTGGTCTTTTGGATCGCTCGCTATGCCCATCGCCAGCTCACTTTCGCCCCCTTTCCCTTTCCCGTGCTTTCGCATCCCCTGGGCCCAATGGCCATTACCTTGGCTCTTGATCACATTGTGGACTGTCTGCTGGTCTACGGGATCCTGACGGTGATCTGCCGCCGGGGCATCTTCACACCAGAGTGGATGGCGGCCTCTCTGGAGGTCTACTGCTTGATCCGTCTCTTCAAAGCGTTGGATTGTCTGCCCGGACAACGCATTGTGGCGCTCCTGCGAGGCCCGTCCCTGAAAGACCATCTGCGCCTCTTCACATCACTCCTACCACTTGGCGTACCGGTCCGCCTGGCCAGTTCGCAGATCAGCGCATTGCCTCGTTTCCCCCCACTTTTCTCCCATGTTCCCCCGAAATTCATTTGGTTACCTCTTGTCATCCTTTACCTGATGCTAACCGCCCTCTCCCTCCACCAGGCCTTCGAGAATGCCTCGACTAGCGTGGCCGCGTCGCAGATGCGCAACGCCCTGAACGCCCTCGCCGAGACCGTCCCCGACCCCTCGGAGCGCAAGCGCTTCGAGGCCGAGATGGACAACTTCTTCGCTCTCTTCCGCCGTTTCCTCAACGACAAGGCCAAGGGCAACGTCGTCAACTGGGACCGCATCGCCCCCCCTCAGCCTTCCCAGGTCGTCGACTACAACGATCTCGGCAGCGAGGCTTCGGTCGAGTTCCTGAACAAGCTGGCCGTCGTCAAGCTCAACGGTGGCCTGGGTACCTCCATGGGCTGTGTCGGCCCCAAGTCCGTTATTGAAGTCCGCGAGGGCATGTCCTTCCTCGACCTGTCCGTGCGCCAGATCGAGCACCTGAACCGCACCTTCAATGTCAACGTGCCCTTCGTGCTCATGAACTCGTTCAACACCGACCAGGACACTCAGTCCATCATCAAGAAGTACCAGGGCCACAACGTCGACATCATCACCTTCAACCAGTCCCGCTACCCCCGTATCATCAAGGACTCCCTGCAGCCCGCCCCCAAGTCCTACGACGCTCCCCTGCAGGACTGGTACCCCCCGGGCCACGGTGACGTCTTCGAGTCCCTCTACAACTCGGGCACTCTCGACAAGCTCCTCGAGCGCGGCGTCGAGTACATCTTCCTGTCCAACGCCGACAACCTGGGCGCCGTCGTGGATCTCCGCATCCTGCAGCACATGGTCGACACCCAGGCCGAGTACATCATGGAGCTGACCGACAAGACCAAGGCCGACGTCAAGGGTGGTACCATCATCGACTACGAGGGCAAGGTCCGTCTGCTCGAGATCGCCCAGGTGCCCAAGGAGCACGTCAACGAGTTCAAGTCCATCAAGAAGTTCAAGTACTTCAACACCAACAACATCTGGATGAACCTCCGCGCCATCAAGCGTGTGGTAGAGGAGAACGAGCTGGAGATGGAGATCATCGCCAACGAGAAGTCCATCCCCGCCGACAAGAAGGGCGAGGCGGATCAGGCCATCTACCAGCTGGAGACCGCCGTTGGTGCCGCCATTCGTCACTTCAAGAACGCCCACGGTGTCAACGTCCCTCGTCGCCGCTTCCTGCCCGTCAAGACGTGCTCCGATCTCTTGCTGGTCAAGTCGGATCTCTACCGCCTCGAGCACGGCCAGCTGGTCATGGACCCCAACCGCTTTGGTGGTGTGCCCGTCATCAAGCTCGGCTCGGACTTTAAGAAGGTGTCGGACTTCCAGAAGCGGATCCCCAGCATTCCTCGGATCGTGGAACTGGATCATCTGACGATCACGGGTGCCGTGAACCTGGGCCGCAACGTCACCTTGAAGGGCACGGTGATCATTGTGGCTACGGAAGGCAGCACCATTGACGTGCCGCCGGGCTCGGTCCTGGAGAACTGTGTCGTGCAGGGTAGCTTGCGCATTCTGGAGCACTAATCTGTTGTCTTTCTCGCCTTGTCGAATAGTGTCGTTTAATCACTTGCTTCCTCTTACTTACTACTACCCCTTGTTGTGATTCTGCGTGGCATGTGCCATTACTAAGGATGATACCGATGGAGGTTCTTTGCATGGGATGATAGAATACTGTGTTAGAAGCGGGGCCAATTCGTTCATTTAAGTTTCGCTTAAGGAACCCACGTAGATGAATGTAAGCCGTCAGGACGTTGTTGACACCGCCATCATGATGGGGGGACGCTGAGCATATGATAGTCACGTGTCCGGTCAGGGCGGCGGGAGGAATCCCATCCTGTCAGATCATCGCGTCTCATGGAGAATGCATCCGGCCCATCCCTTTGCCGCGTTTCCATCTCACGATGATTCGGTTGCGAATCATCGCTTAACTTCTCCAGGCTGTCCAGACCTCGATTATACGCTCATATCATCGCAGCCATGGAACTCGTCTGCCCCCCCTGGAGGCGCGTCGGGTGGTCTCGGCCTCGTCGCCCTTGACGTTGCGACACGCCGTTCCTATCTAATCGAGTATTTAAGCCTGTTGAACAACCTATCGACAGGACTTGTCTGGGCTTGGGGCCTACATTGCCTACAATGTTCTAAATGATGCAAATATTTGTATACTCCACCGTCCACCCTCCACCATGAGCGAATTCTCCCCGCAGCGCCAACTGGCGCCCGGTCCCTCTGGGTTGCCCCTCCGGGAGAGTCCTCCCGGGGACGGACTCCGGCATCCTATGGACCCGACAAAGAAGCGGGTGTCGATGGCGTGTTTGGCATGTAAGAAGTCCAAGCGAAAGGTCCATTTCTTACCCAGGGATGTGAGGATCGAATTACTGAGAGAATCAGTGCTCCGGAACGGCGCCCTGCGACAACTGTCGCGCCTTCAACCGTCAATGCATCTTCGACGAAACGCTGGACCAACGCCGGCGCGTCGCGGCCAAACGCACCGCCGACGAGCTCAGCTACCACCGCGACATGCTCAACGACCTGTTCAAAGTGATGCGCGCCGAGGACGAGTCGTACGGCCTGCGCCTGCTCGAGGTCATCCGCCAGAACACGTCCCCGGACGAAATCCGTGCCTTCATCGACCACGCATTGACCGAGATCGACGGTACCACTGCCGAGCGCACCATCAAAAGGCTCGAGGAAGTGCGCCGCGCGATTGACATCGAGGGCGCGGGCCCGCCCTTTCGGCCCATGGTGATGGATATCCATTTCCTCTGCGACGAGGCGCCCTATACCGTGCCCGCCCAGCCGTGGACGGTCGTCACCGATGATTCGGAGCTCGTGTCCCATCTGGTTTCGCTGTACTTCACCTGGGATTATCCGTTCCACTCGTTCCTCGATCGCGACGTGTTCTTGGCCCATATGTCTCGTCGCGATACGAACTCGCAATTTTGCAGTCCGTTCTTGGTGAATGCCCTGCTGGCAAATGCCTGCGTAAGTGGATTGTGTGTGTTTGAGTGAGCTATACGGGTGTTGATGGTCAACAGCACTTCTCGGACTACTCCGAGGCATACGTCTTGCCTGGCGAGATTGTGACTAAGGGGGCAGACTTTCTGGCCGAGGCCGAACGCCTGAGGGAGTCGGACACGGCCAAACTCAGTCTTGCTTACTTGCAGGGCACGCTTCTACTGTACGAAAGGTTTGTCGTTGTCTCCCGCCCTTGAACCACCCGATCGCTCGATCTGATGACGACGTAGATACTCCATGTCGGGCAAAAACGATCTGGGATACAAGAGACTTCACCAGGCGATTCGTACGGGCGAATCACTGGGCTTGATCGGTCCTCTGCGATATCGCATGACGCCCGCGCAGCGCTCAGACGATATGGAGATTTCTATCAGGAGAACGGCCTGGGGGCTATTTCATATCGACACGTACGCCGACATCCACTGCTGAACTTCTTTCTTCTTTCCTTCCCGTGCTAACGGTGCTCACAGCGTTGTTCACGCCGATTTCCTCCGCCCGAGCCTGATCAACCATGTCAATGTGCCGCGTCCAGGTCGGACCCCGGCTACTGAGACGGAACTGTGGGCGCCGTACCCGTCTCACCGTCCAGCACGGCCGTCATACATGAGCCAATACTTTGACGAGTCATGCAATCTCTGCGAGATTGCGCGAGATATCTCGCAGAGTTTTGGGAGGACGGCCACGTCCGCGGAGCGCAAACAAAGCACCAAGGAAGCCCTATACGAGAGGCTGTGTCGTTGGTATGACGGGTTGCCAGAAATATTCGGTCCCGGGAATCTCCTACCCCCCTACGTGAACTTGCTCAAGTATGAATCCCTGTTTTCGACGTTCCGCATGCTTGCTGGGTCGAACGGTGCGGTAACCGCTGATCAGGATGCGATTCCATACCTTGGTTATCACCCTGCTCTGCTACACTGCTCCGCCAGACGATACCGAGATGGGTCCAGACGAGGCTCCTCAAACGCCCGAAAGTCCCCTTGGATTCAGTCCGGTGCCAAAGTACAACGAAGCTGAGATCGTCCTCGCGTCGGCACACGGAATCTCTTCCTTGGTACGGCTCCATCGGCAGGAATTCGGTATGAGTCGTGCACACCACTTCGCCCTGTACGCCACCAATCTGGCGCTGTTCACCCTGTTGAAACAGGGGATCTTCGATATACTCGATCCAGACTTTTTGTCCCTTGCCAGTGCCTTTGCATCCATGGCCAGTCGGTCCCAACTAGGCAGGAGCCTCTTTCACATGTTCCGACAGCTGGTGCGTGCCAAGGGTCAGGGGCAGCGAATCCGGGACTCCACCACCGCCACTGACGAGATGCGGGCCTTGTTTGGAGAATCGATTCCGCATACCCCGTGGGATGAATATGGCAAAGGGCTGGCGAAGCTGGAGGAAGACGAGCGATACCACGGCATCGGCAACGAGAGAGAACGCACGCTGGTGGACATGCTGGATCGATATGAGAGTTTGAGTTTGGGGAAGGACGAAATCGCGCCAGAGAGATTTCGACCCGGTTAAGGGTGCAGACCGGCGATTGGATCCCCTTTGATGTGTATAAATTTTGCTTGCCTGTTTTGAATGTTGTTCGGCCGTTGCGTCTTCATTGCATCGTGATTACTTTTAAGTTTTTGTGCGGAGCTCCGGAGCTGCGAGTCTAAATTCGGATGCGCCGAGGGCGGATGACATCACTTCCTCGCACCTGACTGACGCACGAACTTCCCCCTGTCAAGCTGATTTCGCCTCCACGCCATCGTCCACATATTTCTTTCGGTGGTAGAAGCTCGGTCCCTGTGTTGCGCCCTATTGCAATGTTGTGGACATGTTTCAATTGTGCTCCCTTCTTTACTTTTACTAAATGTCTCATTGTTGTCCGCGCCTCTGTCGGCAAGAGCCAGTCGTGATGGACGATGCATTCGACTATTTGTCCTTCAATACCCCCCTCGATGACAACTTCCTCCCCATTGCCGAGTCCCAGGAGACCCGGCAAAGACCCCCTGCAGATTGGAAATGGGGTTCAGCGCCCATGAGCCCCAGCTCGAGCCAGCCGCCCCCGTTCGCCTTCAACCCGTACTCTTTGCCACACACCATCGACCGACCGCCGCTGGATGCCTATCCATCGTCCTCGTCTCGTTCGTCCTACGATCTCTCGGCGACGGTACCCAAAGTGGCCATCCCGCGGGCAACCAGCATCAGCACGCACTCCCAGCGCCGCCGCTCCGCGCGAGCGTGCGAACCTTGTCGCCAGCGGAAGATCAAGTGTGACGGCAACAAGCCGGCGTGTCGGCAGTGTCTGGACCAGAATGTCCAGTGCCACTACGTGGATGTGAAACGGGTGCGGGATCAGAAGCAGCTGAGCGTACTGACGCGCAAAGTCCACCGGTACGAGAAGCTGCTGGGAGAAATCGAACATGAGAGTGAAGGCATGGTGGCGAGGCGGATTCGGAGGACGCTTAGGGTGAGAGAGATCACAATGCTTTCCGACTGAATATGCTAATACATGCTAGCAGACCTCGGATCAGATTTCTTCGGCGGAGGAAGACTCGTGTGGTTCCGACGACGAGACCTCGTCGATGGGCTCCCTGGAGGAGATCGACCTGATCGAGGAGGATCTCAATCGGGATGAGCGGTCGGTGGCGACGGGGTTCTTCGGGAAGAACTCCGAAGTATCATGGCTGCAGCGTTTAGAGGATGAATCCGGACGCGATAACGTCATGCGCACCGACGACTCGCCCACGGGGCCTGCCCGGGAGACTCCCATCGCGGCGGTGAACTACTACCTCGACGACCTCAACATCCCGCTTCTGGAGACCGTCGACCCCTACGCGCTACCTAAGAGGGAGGTCGCCGACCAGTACTTCGACGCGTACATGGATTCGGTGCATCCGTCATTCATGGTGCTACGCCGAGAGACGTTCACGGCGCAGTACCGGCAGGCGTGGACGCGCCGGCCACCGCGCCGCTGGCTGGCCATCCTCAACATGGTCTTCGCCATTGGCTGTCGCTACTGTCTGTTCAACAGCAAGGGCTCCGGCGGCGACGGCGACGCGGACGATCTGGTTTACCTGAACCGCGCACGCAAGCTCAGCCTCAGTGGGAACGTGCTGTTCGAGCACGCCGACCTGCAACAGGTGCAGGTGGAGTTCCTGGCGGCGCTCTACCTCTTCGTCACGGGCCAGGTGAACCGCGCGTTCAAGTTGTCCAGCTTGGCGTTCCGGTCCGCGCTCGCGCTCGGTATCAACCTGCGGTTCGTCGACCACCGCGTGCACCACGCGTCCAAGGAAGCGCGCTCCCGGTTGTGGTGGTCGATCTGCCTCCTCGAGCACCTTCTCACAGCTGTGACGGGTCGGGCGTCCTGCGTGGGCGAGGGACTCAGCTCCACGCCGCTCCCCATGCCTTTCGACGAGGACCGGCTCGACCACCCCGACGTGATCAACCTCTTTCAAGACCCGCAGCTGCGGCTGACCCGGCTGAAGATGACGCTCCTCCAGACCGACGAGGAAGCGCGCGCCACCGCCGACTGGCTCGCGACCTGCGAGCCCAGCTCCTCACTCTTCTTCCACTGCCTCGTTGACCTCGTCACCACCACGCAGACCATCATCAGCACTGTGTACAGCATCCAGGGCCTCCGCGAACAGCCCAGCCGGCTAGAGCAGCGTATCCGCAAGTACAGCCACACGCTGGACGTCTGGCGCGCCAAGCTCCCGCAATGCTGCCGCTTCACCGCAGGCCCAGACACCGACCGCCTTCGCCTGCACGGCAACGGTTCCGTGCCGCACCTCCAGCGCGAAAAGGTCCTCATCGCGCTGAACTACTACAGCTCGCGCATCATCCTCTGCCGCCCGTGTCTCTCCACCGGCGCCTGGCGCGGCCGCTCCCACTCCCCGCGCTCGCACTCCCCTGCCGACGGCACCGCCTCCCGCCCACCAAACAACCGCCGCTCCCAGCGTCCCCGGCACCAGCAGCGGCCACCGCTCGCGTATGCGCGCCCAGATGTCCGTCATCTGCCTCCGCGCCGCCTGCACCCTCATCGACATCTTCCCCGACACCCCGGACATACTCTGGCTGACGCGGTACACGCCCTGGTGGAGCGTGCTGCACTTCCTCATGCAAGCCTGCACCGCCCTCCTCCTCGGCCTCTTCCACTCTGCCACCAACAACCACAGCACCAGCGTCAGTGCCCCTGTCACCCCGACACACGCGTCCGGCCCGGCCCCCGCCAAGCCCGCCGATCCCCCCCTCAACCTGAGCATACCCCGCGACAGCGGCAGCCGCGTTGGCAGCGGGGCGAAGACAACGGTCGTCGACGACAGCATCAGCACGGCGGAGATGCTGGACCACGTGCGCAAGGCGTTCCACTGGCTCCATGCGATGAGTCGTTCCGACCCGGCCAGTAAGCGGGCGTTTGTGCTGTGCGATGGGTTTATTCGGCGGATTGCGCCGGCGGCGGGGTTGGATATTAGTGGGTTTCCGGATGGGACGGGGATGGCAGCGATGAGTTCTGGGGGGGAAATGTCTTCTCTCGAGGAGAGTTTGAATGTTTAGTCTTTGTTTCTATCGTGTTTTGGTTACGGGTTACGGTACGGGTTACGGGTGGTGTTGGGGGCTTGGTGTCCAGTGGGGGATGGATGGAGAAATTGAATATGCATTTTGAAATAGAAAAAAGTATTATGTGGATTATTTACTCAATAAGATTCAATCAATCAATCAATCAATGGACACTACCAAAGTCAACCATAACATGCTGATGCATAAGAGACGCGAACGAGTCAACAGAGAGGTATGGTTCGTAACAGACAATTAAACAGACGCATGAGGCCCATAACGACAAGGATCAAAAAAACAAAGTATAAGAGACGCGGAAGGCATGGACGTAACACCGGGATGGATGGATGCGTGAAATGACGTAGAGAGCTGTCAATCGATAAAGACACAATCCCAGGAAAAGGAAAAACGATTACATCTGATGAGGCATGATATACGCACGCTTGCGGGGATCGTCGTCGACGGGGCCCGGGCGCTTCTGCGCCGGGTTCATCAGCATTGGGTCGGGTTGATGGGGATGGTGCTGGTGCGGGTGGGAGAGGGGGTGGTGGTGGTGTTGCGGCTGGTGAGAGAGAGGGTGGGGATGTGACGACGGCTGGGTCTGCTGCTGGATTTGCGGGGAGGAATGTTGCGAGAAGGGGAGTGGCTGATGGTGGTGTTGCGGTTTCGGGGGTTGGTGCTGGTGCTGATGCGGCGGTTGCGGGTTGACCTGCATCGAGGGCTGTTGCTGATGGGGTTGCACCTTCATGGGCTGCGGAGGCTGTTGATGGGCCTGCTGCACTTTCATCTGCTGGGCCATGGGGGACTGGCGCATCTGGTTTGAGAGCTGGGTCGCGCTCAGTTGCTGCTGATGCGACATGGGGGACTGGCCCATCTGCGTCTGCTGGAGCTGGTTGGTGCCCAGCTGCTGCTGATGGGACAGTGGTGACTGGCCCATTTGCTTTTGCTGTAGCTGATTCGTGCCCAGCTGTTGCTGATGCGCCATGGGGGAGTGGCCCATTTGCTTCTGCTGTAGCTGATTCGTGCCCAGCTGTTGCTGATGCGCCATGGGGGAGTGGCCCATTTGCTTCTGCTGTAGTTGGTTTGCGCCTAGTTGTTGCTGGTGCGACATGGGAGAGTGGCCCATCTGCTTCTGCTGCAGCTGGTTGGGGCCGATCTGCTGGGTCAGCGGCGATTGACGCATCTGCTGTGCCAGAGGAGACTGCATCTGGTGGCCCATTGGGGATGGCTGTCCCATCTGTTGCTGGCCCAAGGGGTTCTGGGACATCTGATTTTGGGACATCTGGTTCTGACCCATCTGTCCGGGTTGCATCTGGTTCTGCACCGAGGTTTGAGGGTTCGCTGCCTGACCCTGACCCTGTCCAGAAACTTGCCCTTGTCCCGGTGCCTGAGGCAGTCCCTGACCCTGTCCTTGGCCGGGGGCTTGGGCTTGTCCGCCCGCTGCTGCTGCTGCTGCCGCCGCCGCCGCCGCTTCTTCGGCGGCCTTGCGAGCCAGGACATCAGCCTTCCGGGGTCGACCGCGGGGCCGTTTCGGGCCTTCTTTCGGGGGAGCTGGTTTGCGCGGCTTCTTCGGCTTCGGCGGGGCATTGGGATCAATCTCCGACTTTCGTGGCCGACCGCGACGCCGTTTGACTGGAACAACGGTGCCGTCGGGGTTGGTGATGGTGGCGGGGCCTGTTCTCGGAGCGAGAGCAGTGCTCGGTGCAGCTGGTGGTCCGGTGGTGGGAGGCATCGTCTGTGTGCCCAGGACCTGTTGCGGTTGCGGGAGCTGCCCCTGTCGCGTACGTTCTTTCAAGACATCCTGTCCGTCCTTGATCCGCGTTCTGCATTTCTCTCGGCTCGACCGACTCCCTTCTGTATCTCGCCTCAAACTTGCGCCGATACCCCTGTACTCACCCTCTTATGAGATTTCATTCCGATGGGCGTGGAACGCGCACCTCCGGCACACCCCTGTGAGACAAATTTTTGCTGATGGTCGCGGCGCGCCTTTAGGAGAGAGGAATTCGGGCGTGGAGGGCTTCCCAC